CGAAAGCATTTATGGTATAACAATGTGATTCGTAATTTTTGTTTTATCTTTTGTAAAGTAAATAAAAAAATATATTTACACAACCTTCGTGATAAAAATATTTGAAATGAAATATGTGAAGTCCGTCAATCTACAGTGGAGTCGCGTGGTGAACTATGGCCTAATTCCCCAAAACGTGAAATTTTGTAGATGAATGGTAAAAGCCTTTCGGCGCTGTCGGATTCGAATCTGCAACTTCCTTGAGGCCATCCGTCGCTTAACTTAGTTGGTTAATATTCAGCAAATATTCGTTTAGTGAGGAGACAAAAATTTTGATTCTATTTTTACTTATATATACGATTACTATTTTTAAATTACTGCCGGTGAGCTGCTTTTGATTTTTATGACATTGCTGAAGCGCAGCGTTAAAAAAAAATTCTTTCATGAATTCCGTGTCGTGGTACCGCGCTGTTTCCAGTATGAATTTGTTGTATACAAATTTGTCAATTCATGAATGATGAAATTTAAATGGCGCATCCATTGTTATATCCTTTCCATCATACAAACAATTTTGAACATCGTTTTACAACGATAATTCGAACGAGTGATGACGCCATTGCTTTTTAGAAATTAAAAATTTTTATAGTGCTCTGCACTGAAGATTAAACATTGAAATTTGTAGAAAATGTGTGAAAAGTTTATTGTTTGTATGCTGGAAAGGATATAACAATGGATGCGCCAAGCACTGTAGATAAAAGACATTAAGATTTTCGTCGGTGTGGCAATCAGCCGTTTAGCTTAGTGGCTAAAGCGTCAGGCCGCGAATGCCGAAAACGTGGGTTTCATTCCCACAGTGTGAACAAATTTTCGTACTTTTTCTACAAAGTTTAGTGTACGAGTAGACTAAAGCAATTGATAACTCTCGATTGTTTAGACAGCAATGTCATCCATCATTATTTACAATTATTCACATTACACCTCTGCAGTAACTATTGGGCCTTATATCTTATCCTTTAAACGAGCAATTCTTGTATATATATATATATATATATAATCGGAATCTCGGAAACGGCTCCAGCAATTTTCATGAAATTTAGTATGTGCATAGATTCGGGGGCGAAAAATCGATCTAGCTAGGTTTCATTTTTAGAAAATGTCCTTTTATCCCTGTTTTCAGGGAATGAAAAATATAATTCAAATATGACGGTAAATTTCGCCGTAAGAGAAAATGTCATAATAGCTCGGTCGGTAATCGGGCGGCCCCAAAACAGACGGCCGTGGTTCGCGTCACGATTACTTACACATTTATGTTTTTACTTTTTTTTTCGATTCCAGATCATTGCTTTCTCTTTCTTTTAATTTTTTGTTGATTTGTTATTTTGTTTAATTATGGATTTTTTTAACGTTTTATATTTTTTTTATGATTATTGGCAAGTAGCGTTAGACATGTGTTCATTAATTGTCGCGGTTGTAACGAAACGCTGTATATAGTATTATCTTCTCTGTGTTCAATCGCTTTCGTGTGTCACTCACTCAGGGTGGATATTTCATCACAAGTAATAATCCAATTCAGAATTCCCTCATTTGTATGTCTGTTCAAGGGGTTAGAGCATGCTTCGATGCGATTTTAGTGTTCAGCGGAATTCAACCCACTTTTCGAACTTTTTTTAACTATCCGATTTGATATAAATCAGTGTCGTTTTATCACACAAGTTGAAGGCTGCCGCTGGAAATAGCGGATCATGGTGTGACAAGTATCTACTGGAAGCAGATACGTCTCACTTTCGACTTAAACTTTCAATCTATAGTTATCGACTTTTGTTGTTTTAGTTGTAAATTGCTTGCGTTCATTTGCGATAACTTGTCCATATCTGAATTCTTAATCGAAAATAAGTTTCAGATTTTCTATGGTCACGGAAAAAGCGACATCAAAGAAAAATGAACAACAACCTAAAAAAAATTGAAGATCTTCGCACTAGAGACTACTGAAAATCAGGAATTTGATAAGTAATATAAGGGCTTGATAATATAACGTGATATTAAATCGTGCTATGACTGTATGGTCTACATTTGAAGACGTTTCGTTATGAACATTCAAAACCCAATTTGAGTATCAACAAGTGGTTAAAATGCGAATTACACAACCGCAGACATCTAGTGCCAAATTTCTATTTGTAACGACATATCGAGTCCGGTATATTTAACCGGCGAACATAAACTTTTGAATAGCAGCCCGAACAGGGTCAGGCAAAACATTATTACCGAAATCGTCAAATTTATCATTTACCAAACGAAGGCTCCGAACAATGAGACCGAGCATGTTATTAAAATAACTAACTATAATAAGCAATTGTTGCCGTCAAAAACATTCGCCTAAAGGATATTTTTACTGTAAATTACAGGTATAAGGCAATCAATGTCTGTACATTTCCTTGCAAAAATATCTATACATATCTTTGGAATACTTATGAAGCTGAAATAAAATAAATGTGGAGTCTCTCATGTAACACACGAGCGCCGAGCGGAGCTTCGATGTTTATCGGTTTTACTCGGAACGATATCGTTTTAATTACACAATGTACGAGGTTCGCTTCTCAGAATAATTATGACTTTGTTTGCGATTCCCCAAAACAAACGCACCGTTCTTATGTGCGACAGAATTACCTACAACCCAAACGCCAACGCGCTCGGCGCAAATAGATTCATTTTCGCGGTTGCAAAGCTACAACTTTTATACTGTAAACGTCATGTGACATGACGCTAATTTTTTCCGAATTAACAGCTTAAGAATAGTTGCAAGCTCATTATGGAAGGCTATAATACTACTATGGAATATTGAAAACTAGAAACAGAGAACTGTTTTTTGATGCACTAACGGTTCTAGCAGGAGTTCAGGAAAGCACTACGACCTGACACAGACCGCATGAAGTGTAAATAGTACATCTGCATATCGTCTGGTGAGAGACGTAGCCGGGGCCCGTTTTAAATGTTTCAAACGCATCCTACAGGGGTAAATGTCTATGGACGGCGTTAACACTATACAGTAGCCAAAATGATATATAAAAATTAAACACCTCAAAAATATTATTCCTATTTTTTAAATACATATACTTTTTATTAAGATAGAATTAATATTTAGATTTGAGACCTTCGATTTCTTTCTCAATAATACGATTTTGAGAACTATTTTTTTTTATTCAGTTTAAAAACATGCAGGCCCAAATATTTTTCGTCTTAGTACAAGTTAAATACAAAAAGAACATTAGTTATTAATTTCATTGCCTTTTTGCAAATGAGCAGATGAGCTTTTACAGACAATTGCCTACGTTTATTTTTCTTTATGAAGTACACAGAGCGAAAATATACTGTTAAATAACATACACACACGCAATTCCAGTAACAGAAAAATAATAGAACTTTCAAAAATAAAAACTTTCGGCGCTGCGAGATTCGCACCTGCGTCTTCGGGTGTCAAATAGTAAAATATCATTCGAGAGCACCAAGATAACAGAGCAAACATCGGCAGCATCAAAATTAAGGACAACGGGCAAAAAAATAAGTGGAACATTAATAAAAACAGTTTAATTTAGATATGAAACCGTTTTATGGACAGAATGTGATGTCTTACATACTTCTTACAGAAAAAATAAACGCAGAGAAATGGCTACTATGTTAAGAAAACTGAAACGCACTTCACCTAAACTCTTCAATTGTGTAACAGAACAGATGTTTTAAGCGCATTAAGGAAAACGCATACGCGACGCACGATATGCATTTGTTTACGAGCTTTCGTTACATAAGGTGTCCCACTGAGGACCATTCCAGGTACTATTTATATTTCCCTTACCCGACGCCCCGTGACATATATAATACACTCCAGTGACTAAGGACAGTCTAAAGATAATATCCACGCTCTTTAACACGCCCATTAGGTAGAGATTCGAACGCCCATCAAATTAGCGTTTTTACATTAGTTTTCGTGTGGTCAGATTTTTGTGACGATGCCCCGTTAGGTGAGCTACCGTAAAGAGCAATTAACATTAACAGAAGTGGATTAAGCTATTCAAAAATTCGACTTTAATTGCAGTAATTTACATGATTTATACCTAAACATTGAATCTTAAAAAATTTTCATGAACGCCATGAAGATCCGGATTACAGTTTCTTTTATTTTCATTATTTATTATTCCATTACCCTGATGAGTGATTTCTGTCATACTCCGCCACTAATCACAAACACAATAATTTCGCATTACAAAAATATAATAGATTTTGCGTCGTATATTATATATAATTACATATACATTTAAAAAACATACAGATGTAGAGATTATTTCGACGCAAAAATACAAAACAACTAAGGCTATAAAAATAAAACTAATTAAAAATACAAAATGATAAATACTTTTAAATTTGTAAAAAAACGAAATAATTGTATTAAGAAAATTATCTTCGTTTCAGAAATAAAAGGGTTATAAAGCCTAATTAGTGTAAACTGAATTGATTACCGTAAATTGAAACTAATTATGTTGTATGATACAGTTGTAATAATCTAATTCCTATTTATTTTTTTCTATGGAGATGTAAGTTTCTCTGGTACTACTTTACTAGAAATTGCAATATTTAAAATTTGGCAAAAAGGGGACACTTGACGTAAATTAAATAATAAGGCTAGCTCAAAAGCAGACACTATTCTAGCTACATGATGATTATCTACATTGTCTCAAAGACAATTTTGATAATTGATGATACTTTCGAGAAAGCTACACATTGAATTTTACGAAATAGATTACATTTATACTGTAGAGCTCGTTAAAATTGTAATCTGTAAAAATAATCTTTATGTTATTATTCATTAGCCTAATTTTGATATGTCCGGATCAGAAAAGCCTTTCACGGCGTCAAAACTAAGGGAAAAATATTTATCAACAAGACACGTGGCGGGTGACTGGTGCGGTGGCAGTTATCGCATTCAGAAATACATGAAAACTCATCGACATTCCACTCTTGAGCGTTGGTTAGTTCCGCTCGATTAAGCCTCCGGGCCGTTGCGAATGTTTCCCATTGGGTCTCAGTAGCGGGGTTAGGGGTGGGCTCTTTTGGGTACCGTACCGTCGCAGTGCCTGCAGCGCTTGGGCTCCGGTGGTGCGAGCTCGTCGCCGAGTTCGCGGTGTCGTACCGGCATGGCGGCGCATCCCGCGCCGGCGCCGCCTGTGCGTCAGTACTCTGGCGCGCTCCACCTCGACCGCTCCTGTAGCGGCGGCGGCGTCGCGGCTGCCACTGAGCTTATCGGGCCGCCGCCCGCCCCGGCCGGTAGGCGGCGCCCATTTGCTGGCTATTTTGGGCGGCTCTGACTCATGGCCCCAACTGCAGCGCGACGAGAGGCGCCTGCGCATCTCGCGCTGCCACGCTAACCCGTCTGATCCCTCGGGGTCTCGCAATCTTTTACGCCCTTTTTGTAATGAGCTTTCTGCCCGTATTGGCGTTTATGATGAATTTTCAACTATGAAGATTCACTATTATGGGAAAAGTTCTGCAATCATTCATGTTTCAATGGTCATATTATACTAAAATGAGATGTGCTCAAATAACTAGTTTTATTCCATGCTTGATAGAAGATCTTGTCGTTCATGAAAAAAATTATTACGACTTTTAATATCTATATTCTGGCTATATCACACACCAGAAATTTAAGCTGTTTATATTATAATTATAAACCATGTATCTGTATTTCATATTCCATCTTTATATGAATATTGTTTCTTATGTTTACACAAACTTTACATATAATTAAATGGTCACAGGAATGATGAATGATGCAAAGCATTCAATGATTTTTTTTATACAAGGGGCAGTCAATAATGAGCATGGGTACATATGATCTTAAGTACTGCCATCCATAGACATCTACAATGGCTGTTGGGTTGCAGTTGACTTTCTAACCGTTAAAGACTCCTAAGAACCTTTCATAACCTACATATTAATTATTATTTAGTTACACCATCTATCATCCTTCTATGGTTCCACTGAAATCAGTATTCACAAATTTTACTAACTCCGTGAACTCGTGCAGAGTGCAGACCTATCTGGAGCAATTAAATTGTATTTCTTTTAAACCATTTTCATTTATTTTTGTACCAAATAATTTTTTTTTCTTTTTAAAGGGTGTTGAAAGTCTAACTCAACAGACAAGACACAAATATAAAATGCTTTTACCTCATATTTGTTTTCTGGGAGGCTGTGAACCTTCCCAGGAAAGAGTTACCAAGTTATGCAAAAGCTGCTAAATGGCTCCATTGATATTAAAGCCTGTCGGATACTGACAATATTTACTTACAAAGATGTTTATTGGCAAATAAACATAAAATTGTTATGACCATCATAAATTCAACCAGGACTGTTCTCAAACTGTACACCACAGCTACAACATGATAACAAATAGATTTTATAATTTTTATTGTTCCGCTCCCACAAGTGCCTTGCTGCATTAAGGGTCACAGAAAATATTAGAATGTTTTAGATTTTCATGCTATTCATTTATTTACTAGCATATTCATTAATTTTTGTCAGGTAAACATAGAAGTTTACCCAATACAGGTTTTAACAATAGTTAATTAGAAGTTCTTATCTTACACTTCTTAGTATATTTTAATTTCTATTAAAATTTATAACAATTTTCTCCAAAATAGAGTATGATTGAGTAGTGTGGCTACCAAAATATTTTATTTAATACATTATATCTTTCAATCTACTCAGTGCTGTACTATCAATCATTGTTTTTCATAGACAAAATTTAGGTATAATAGTAACTATTCTTACAATTGTCTCCATTGTTTATCAAGTCAATGTTTTTATATTTGTTGACTGATGTTTGAGCTTTCAGTTTGTAGACTATTTAAGACTTCATGGGGGTTGTGGAAAGGCTAGGCTTTCAAAAAGCTTAGGTAGCTGTTGTACCTAAAAAGACTGTTTCTTTTTTTGTCATGCATGCATATAAAGAAATTACTGGATTTTCGACTATCAGCCATAGAGGTCCAGAATGCGGACCATGACACTAATAACCATTGGCTGTGACATAAGTGTACATTGTGTAGACGCTCCTTTGATTTCAATGTGCTCAACATCAAAGGAGCGTAGAGGAAAACAGAAAACATTATATCATTCATCATCTTTCTACCTTATGATAAGCTGTCTTGACTTGCTCTATTACAACTAATGTCCCTCATAACTAAGTCACTTTTTGTTATATCTCATAACATTTTATATGTAAAACTAAATTTATGAAAGTAAAAAATCTTTTAAGAATACGTAAGTAAGTTAAGTGTTAGTACAAAATAATAAGAAGTAATAAATTTACTTTCATATTCGAATGATATTTTTCATTCTCTGAAAACAGGCATAAATAGACATTTTCTAAAAATGAAACCTAGCTAGATTGATTTTTCGACCCCTAATCTACGCACAAACTAAATTTTATGAAAATTGCTGGAGCCGTTTCCGAGATTCCGATTATATATATATATATATATATATATATATACAAGAATTGCTCCTTTAAAGGATAAGATACTTGATATCTTAGTAAAGATACACCACAAATATAAGAAGATGTCTATAAAATATAACATATTAAGATAGTTGTAAAAGAAAGCCTCAAATTTTGAAAACTTTTACTTTTACTATACAATTAAACATTCAGGTCTTTCTCTTATGCTATTATTAGCACCATCCTGATCCATCCTGTCATCTATCAATCATTTATTATCTTTAAAAAATTTGTAATATTATAAAAACGATATGAATCATACTCAGTTTTTTTTAATGTATATAAATATCAAATTTTCGGGAATTAATGAGATTAATGAAATGTGGAAAGCATACTGTCAATTTTTTTTATAAACGAAAAACAAAACTGACTTCAAATATCTTGCTCTGTATTCATTTTAAACTTGATTTTCAGGAGTTCCCTACGTATCTCAAATCCCAAAGCCCATGATCCAACATTAATGAACTAAATTTGGGACCTCACCACCTTACAAATAATAAAAAGAATCATCAAAATTGGTTCACTCAGTCGAAAGATCTGAGATAACAAAAATAAAAAAAATACAGTCAAATAGGGAACCTCCTGCATTTTTTAAATCTTTTGAAAAAAGGGTAAAGATGTTAGCTCTCTAACTAAGCTTTACTGTTGCACGAATAGGCAGGATTGTCTGGGTAAGTACCACAAACTCACAGAAGACCCGCATGTTACCCTTAGCCTTTGGTCTGCTGAGTAAGATAGCCGGGGCCCACTTTATTTAAAGGTGGCAAAGCATTTTCAACCCTACGGGTTTTGCAAATTTCCATGGGCAGCGGTTATCACTTAACATCAGGTGAACCACCAGCTCGTCGTTACCACTTTCTCAAATAAAAAAAAGCTGTCTAACCTTTTTTCTTTTTTTATATTTAAATATCTATTTGATGTAGACCAGAGGATATATCGTAATAGTAATCCCTTGCTCGCAGATTTAATACGCTATTTTTTTAATATTTCATAATATATCAAAAATATAATGTGACATTAACAATTTAAACGTATTACTACATTTTGCAATGAAAAGAGTTGAAAATACATACGATAAGAAGCCGTTTTAATAATTAATTACACGGTGATTAATAATTTATTCGCACATAAAAATATTGGACTATCTGAAGTTTGTCGGTAAATAAATGAGTTTTGTTTGATACGTTAATGCCGGTAGGATGAAAACGTAACAGCGAAGAAGATAACCAATAAAAATTATTAATAAATTAACACAGTGTCCCATAATTAATGACTGATCAACTAGATAATAATAACTTTGTAACGCGTAGTGTCTGGTTACAAAATTAATTATGTTCATAAAGAAATATATTTAAAAAAAAACACTATTAATAAATTTCGTTCACGAGCTGTCGTGTTAAATTTTCTATCAATATAGGTTTCACTCCGTTAATAAAATATTGGAGTTCAATTAACCAGATTGAAATTGTAGTGGGCGGCTACATAAAACTTACCTTTAGTAAAGTACTTCTTTTAGGGCACCTTTAAAGAAAAAAGGTCAGCAAAATACGGTCCACCTGTTCTTAGTCAATAATCACAAAATATCCGTTACACCACGTCACTTATCTTTTATTGTCTTTATAGTTAGAAATAGACAGATACTCAACATTTCCCTGCCATTTTGAATTTTCGTTGTGTTTGTTACCATTAAAGAATTTTGGTGACCAGTGTTACTAGGAATAAATAAAACGTTTAAAAAAAATTAAGTACAGATCGTTACGAAATTAGAGTTCAAAGAAAAATTCGAATGTAAATAACAATTGTATGTGAGTTTTATCAATACGATTTATAAATTAAGTCTAAATAGAATTATGAAATAAAAATCTTAACAACAGTTCTTTTTCACAAAGTTTATCAACTTTAATTTTTACATTATCTCAACTTAATTAAATATTAGCTTTGATCCCTTGGGAGAGAAGTTAAGTCCTCGCTTGGGATGTTATCTATGTAGACGTTTTTGCAGCGTCTCATTCAAGCGGTCAGGGCCGGGGCGGCATCGAAAGTAACTGTAGTGAGTGGCTCAAATATGGGTCTTTTTGTTTAGATTATGTACCGTAAAATGGGGTGAATAGAAACGTTTTTAAGTTTTCGATAGATTTTTTTTAATGTTTTCTATGTATTTCAAAAATAGCAGTTGTTGCATCTCGTGAGTTAAAGATTATTAAAATGTTTTCAATTAAAGACGAACTTATTTTCCTAGTCATTTATTTAAAAATTAATAATATATGCGTGTTTTCTATTTACCCGTGATATGGATTAATGAAATAAAATAAAAATTAGAGTTTAGCACGTAAGTTAATTATACGATTATTTGAAATATTAGTTTTTTTCAAATATTATCATCTCGTAAGTCTTTTAGTATATCGTCATCGTTTTTATACTTTTTCGGTCTATCAGTCCTTTTCAAAATTATTATAGGCGCTTTGGGGGATACTTTTTTGTATTTTTTAGAGTCACAAATATTTTTGTGTGTTTCTAAAAAATTTATATTTTCTATAATCTGTATTTTCTTCTTTCCCATCGGTAAATTATTTGTTACAGTTTCTGCAACTGAATTTTCTTCTTCATTACTTTTTAATTGACAGTTGGACAATTATCGAATCATTACCCATCAAATAATCTTCCACCGCTTCCTTAAGAACATTTTTGTCATACTTTTTATAGCGCATGCTTCCAGGGTCAGGCTTATAAACTCGCGGCATTATCTGAACAAGCAAAATAAGCATTATTTTTATTTAGGAAAGAAGCAAATAAGCAAATATTTTAACTATAAAAACATTTTATAAAATTACCGTTAGTACAAAATACCTACATACAAAAATATAGTAGGCATAATCTTGTTTGACAGCCCTAGCGATAACAATTCTAATCACCCCGGACGCATTACTAATCACCCCTCACGCGTTTCTATTTAGCGTTTACGCGCTTCTATTTACCCCATTCTCAAATCTATTCACCCCCCAGGCGTCGTCTTTTCACCCCGAATAAGTTCAATTTATAGGTAACATAACTTTTCGGCACATTTATAAAAGAAATCAGAATTAAATTGGCTTACCTGTCACTTATTTAATAATAAAATAATTAACACTCTGAATGAATTTGAATTAATTACCAAGTTCGGTTGTAATACTGAACAGCAATAAAAGTATTAAGCAGCTCAAAACGATGACCGTTATGGGTTCACTTTGAGACACTATTTCTCCTATTCAGGAACAACTTCACTACTAATTACTTTGTTGCCATAAAATAACCAATGTTGCTGTATATAAAAAAATACATTTTAGGTAATTTCATTGAACGCTGTGACAGCATTCTTGCAAAGTACAAAGTTTCGTTTTTTTTTCTATTCCCCCCTTGAATTCTATTCACCCCATTTTACGGTATTTATGCCATTTGCTGTTGAAACTTTGGGTCCGTGGGGTTCCCGTAAATCGAAATTTTTGAAAAGTTTTTCTAGACGTCCTAAGCTGGTGTTTCTTTTTTTCGCTCAAAGGTAAAGCATTACTATTCAGCGAGGAAATGCAGCTAGTGTTCTTGGCACCATTCCGCGTGGACAAGGTTTATTAGAAAATATGTAAAAGTGGCCTCCGCGATTTTGAATACAAGCCTTCAACCTGCGCGGCCTCTAGTCTATAGCAGCATCAACGAGGTCCTAATCAATTTCGCGGCTGCTTTGATCTAGGATACCTGGAGTGACTACAAAACTCAAGATGAGGCTTTAAACAGCCTTTTCCTCCAAGTGCCATGTTTTATAATCCAACGGATTTTAATCGGGTCTGGCGAAAGGCCAGTTATCGATGCGAATGTTTACGCTCCGCCAACCAGTTTTGCGTGCTTTTCCCTGCATGAGCTGGCGTAGAATATTGCCACGATATACATATCTCTGTCTATTATTAAACATATATAGGTATGAGAAAGTGGTTCCATAAGGTTTTGTACTTTGATACACATATGCATTCATTTTTACGCCTTTCTCAAAAAAATATAACGCCGTTAAGCCCGATTATGAGACTCAGCCATACCATGAGTGACGATGGAAATGGGCCTCGCTGGACACGCGGACTGCGGCTGCTCGCTTCTTCACTGTTGTAGGCATACACCGTATCATTTTATTTTTTTGCAGCTCTCATCTATGGTTAAAAACTTTTAATAAACAATTGTTAAAATTTTTGTCTGTTTGTCTAAGCGTTTGTGCGTGCTAATTTCAGAAACGACATAAGTCCGGTTTGCAATAATGTAGTGTTTATCACACTATGTTAGTGAATACCGCTTAACTCCAAATTTATCGTTAGTTTTATTTCAACCATTTTATAAATAAACAAGTTTATCTAACTTGTTAGTTATGTCATATTTAGGACATATGCATAATCTAGTACCTAATATACCCTGAGAAGATAAAAACGGTGTCTACGAACTGAAGTCTAAAGTCGCGGGTAACAGTTAGTTTAGTACAAAGTAATTAGGTGTTATGTAACAAATCTATCCCATGCAACACGGTGCCAAAAATGCTAGAATACTTAATCTTTGGGCGAGAAAAGAACCAGCCATCTTGTCACAAGCCCCAGCGATAAGTCTGGTTTATGAATACCTATTGTATAGAATTTCTTTACGCCTTTTATTATTTTTAATATTAAAATTATAAAGTTATACACAAGTTTTCTAGTAATACTCATACAAAAATTCTCTGTTTTGATACAACTTTGTAGAACTAAACACACATATAATGAAAACAGTCTTTTGACATGTAACAACATATAACGAAAAACTATTTCGTCAGCAATCATTTGATTTTTTAATAGTTGATATTTTCATATTCCTTCATAGGCTATACAGCAGTGATTATCAATCTTATTTCTTTTACCGCCCCCTTTGAAAATCAATTATTTTTCAGCGCCCCCCATTTTTTATACACCCCTAAAATTTGAAAATCACTTACTTTAATTAATTTAGTTATATTAGTCGGTTCTGACGTTTAAACTTACATTCTACACTAGAAATTTTTACCAATGAGAACAAATAGAACTCAACTTTATAATATTAATATTTTAATCAAATTGAAAGAAACAATATTGATATCAGGTTAAATTTTACTCAAAAACAGTGAGTAGCAGCAGTAAGCAGCGTTGTCACAGCGCTAAATCCACGTTGACACAAATATGACGATGGGAATGCAAAATCAAAAATCGTTCAACGATAGATCACAATCCAGGGTACAACTGCGGAATTGACTTTTGTAGCCAAAATTGTTGCTAGCCATTTTTGTATTTGATTTTTATTTCCTCGTTCTTTGTCAGTTCTATAAGTTCTTCCAACTGGGTTGATATTGCTATGTTGACATTTGAAAAAGGATCTTACACCCAGTCAGGTATTTCCAATTCCAAAATGTCCTGGAATCTCTCAATGAAGTCACTGTGAAGATTTTCCAAATTTTGGCAGTAGACGAGCAAGTCGTCGTTGTTGCAGAATACTGATAAATTGGGAAAATTATGGAACTCACGTCTGCCGATATTCTTATTTAAATACGGAAAATTAATATCATTTCGTATTATAGATAAATATGGGTAATTTTTCATAGAATTTTAGTTTATAATTTAGAACTGGTTCAAATAAAAACCGCCGCCTAAGCCAGCGTTTTTATTATTTATAATATTTAATATTTATAATATATAGAAATAGTATTTACGATGTTTAAAATAAGTGAACTGTTTAGGCTTACTATACTATTTGGCACTGGACGGTAATGGTTTAATTGTAAAAAAAAAATTCTACCACAACTTTTTGAACAATAATTATACAGGGTGGCTTTTCTAATTAATAATGTAATACTTTTAAAAAATGATAAATATTTAAAATCACTCGTAATTAATTACATTCATTTGAACTTATCTCAAAAATTGCGTGATTTATGAGCAACTCATTTATTTTACGCGCGATCATTCATAACTAACACGCACACTAGTTCGTTTCAAAAGCATACGACGCATTTATGAATGACTACTGCATTGTCAATAAGTTCTGTTTTCTAAGGAATGGAATGGCAATTTTTTTTGAAAAAAAAGTTTGTTTTTTATTCCAATAAACGATTATACAACCGAGTCTGAACCTGTGTCAATTTGGGCACCTTTATAAAGCCACCCTGTATAAAGCTTCATTTGGTGCAGAGCTTGTAGAGTACAAATATGGGAAATTTTTGAAGTAAAACTTCTTTACGCACGCTAAATTGGGGAGTAAGCTGGTGAATACGTGACGAGGGCGTTACGAAGTGTGATCGGCTTTACGAAAAGTTGTTGTAGTTGATGTTACGCGAACGGTAATTTCTTGATTATATCGTAATTTAATTTCGTTTTCAAACAATTTTATAAATTAATATTTTGTTCAGTAAATTATATAGAATTAAGTAGAATATTTGACCATCGTGTTTTTCCAGTGTCAGGGTGTTTGTGTATATATAATATGTATTTATTTACAAAAGAAAAGTATGTTTAAGTAGGTTTATCAGTTTTCTAGTAACCATAGTACAGTAGTTTGGGACTAGAGAATGTTGTGTTTCTTACACAACATTCTCTAGTCTCAGAAAAAATATTTATATTTATAAAATATTTACTACGTTTAAAGTGAATAAAATTGTAAATTCATACAGATGGAGATACATATTACATAAAGATGGAGCTAAAGAAGGTTTTCTTTAGTCGTGTGGTCTAAAGCACTCATTTTTTTTGTTCTAACCAATCTAATAGCACTATGCGTAAAAATAGAATTTATTATAGTTATGTCGACATAACCACACCGCATGCAGGAATTGGTAAACTCGACAAGCATAGATATCAGCCAAGGGTGAAATACCGTGTGGGTTTGGAATACGGTGCGAGACTGCGAATCAGATATAGTTCGCGCTTGCTCCCGCGAGGGTGAGTATGCGTAGGCGTTTCCCCCAAATTAACACAAGGGATCATTCGGGGAATTACCACGGCCTAAAAAAACGCCGGCGGAAGTGTTATACTATCGCATTTTGTTTGGTGAGTGAAGTAACCAGGACCCACTTTTTAAGTGGTGATCAATGCATCTACGATCAATAATCAATTTAACAGTGGTAGGGCCACAAAGCAGCCCCGGCTGTGGCACGAATGGGCAGGCTCGTCCGGGTAAGTACCACAACCTCACAGGAGACCGGCGTAAAGTGGAAGTATGATACTTTCGCGTTTCGTCTGGTGAGTGAGGTGGCTGGAACCAAAAAGGTTGATAGCACATCTGCAAACCTACGGGTGTAGCAGATGTCTATGGGAAGCGGTATTCATTTAACATGAGGTGAACAGACGCTTGGTAACTTTTCTCATTAAAAAAAATCTACATCCTCAAATTTTGCAGATGTACATGGGAGGCGATTATTTAACATAAGGTGAGCCTGCTCGCTTTATAACTTTTAACTTCAAATAAGTACTAAAGTACTTTTTATGGATTATCCCAAAATTCGATCTCCGCCAATTCGCGATGGAGAACGTAATGCCGCATTTCAGTCTGTTGCCTAGCTTTCACTAATATTTAGGATGTGTTCCTAAGTAAACAATCAAATACTATAACTTATACAATTAATCCCTTAGTATATTTTATGTGAACGTTGATATGTAAGGATTTTCATTTTAACAAATAAATACACGTTTTAAAGGCTAAGTTATTTATAATTTATTAATAGTTTAAATTGACAGTGTAAATATCTGCACAATAAATTATTTGGTTTCCCGACTTGTTTTATACAAATAAATACATAAAATTTTGTACAGCATAACAAAAGATTTTTTTAAATAATCATAATCATCTCCAAAATTTTAAGAATGTTATAGGGTATATTAGGAAATAAATAACGTAACTATATTTTCCTCCATTCATTACATAAACAAGTAAAAATTAAAATTATTGATTATATTACGTAAAAGTTTGTCATCAACAAAAGTAAGAAACAGTGTATATGTAATATATCATATGAATATACAACGTGAAATGTATATTTAAAATATACTAATAAACAACGTAATTGTCACACATACTTAAAAATAAGCTTTATCAAACAGTGCATATATGCTTCAACATAAACAAAAACAAAACACACATTGTGTGTACAAATTATTTCGCAAATGTGTAAAATTTATAGGCGGGTGTACGAGGGAATTTATAAACATTTAAACACCTAGAATGTTTTTGGTAAACATTTTAAATAGTATTTTCTACTTTTGAAGAGAGTAGTGTATTATATTGCGTTATAATTATTATGCAATTAAGTAGAATCATTTTTGACATGGCAATCGCCATTTTGTTTTACATGACTTTTTTGTAACATCTTCGTGAGATTTAACTCTTTTTGCTCCTTACGGGTGTTTCGTAGCTCGAATTCAAGGCGATGGCGAATAATTCTTTGTACAATGTCCTCAGTTGTCATAGAGTTTCCGGAATTAAGAGTCTGCAAAAAAAAAACTTAATTAAATAAAAAATATCATTTGCATTATTTACATACAAATCATTATGTTTTATATCTACTTAATGCAAAAAAATAAAAACTCATTTGAAGAGTAACGTCAGTTTGGGTAACTTTGAACATTTTTTACAGAATTTGTGCTATTACAAACTGATTTATATCTATTCCACCTTTATTTTATTGAATGAATAGTGTCCTTTTGAATTGTTTTATTGTGACAGTTCTGCTGTTTTTATTTTAGGATGTAAAAGCCATCATTATTCGAATATTTTAAGGTTTGGGTAAAATTATATGACGTATTTTCATTAAATTTAACCTTATCTCTAAAAATTACATCTAAATTAACGTTTAAATGTTCTTGGTCTTGCCATTTGAATCAAGGTGGTCCAATTTGGTGGGAAACATAGTAGTTATTTTTTTTATAATTTTTTATTATTTACATATATGGAAATATATAGGTATATATTGGAACATAACGTAATAAATTATGTTTATTTGGCTATTAAATAAGATCAAAATCGTAATCACTAGTAATTAAATGTGGGCGCTTAGATTATCTCAACAAAAAACAGCACCTTCTTGTCACCTTGCTTATCATATAATGTCTTTGCAACCACTATTTAAAGATTAAATAATCTATCTATCCAGATTCGGACACAGCCATTCGTAAACCTGAAGGAGCTTGAAAAAGCCAATCTGACCACAGTTTCTTTCCTATAAATTTAAAAAAGAAGCAAAACTTCACCACCAGCATTTGCACAAAAGACCACAGTACAACACGGTTTACTGGTGTTTTTTATAACGTCAGAATGTCGAGAGACCCTTCGAAAAAGCAAAATCTTTTTTCCAGGATCCTCATGAAATCCCGATTCATCCATGTTGAATATATTTTCTGTCGTGACTCCTTCTATTTCCATTTTAATAGTATCATTAAATTAAAATTATTTCGATTTTGAACGTTGTCTAAACTTTATCAGTTTTACACAATATCTAACATCAAATACGATAAATCAAATTAATAATATATAAACTACTTTTTAAAGATAAAAACCAAAAAATACCTGACTACAATATTTTTTGTATTTTTAATTACGATTTCAAATCAGGGCAACACTTCCAATGACTGCACCACAGAAACGGAAAAGGCAGGAAATTTGCCAAATTATTGTCTTAAAGTTTTTTTTTTTTACTTTTCGTTATTTTAAAACATTTTGGCGATCGTTTTACGCAGTTACGATAATGAAACAAAAAACAGTTTTCGTGTAATAAATTAATAAACCTTTTTCACAACTTTGTTCAAAGTTAAACCGCAATTCAAAGTTACCCAAAACGACTGCACTATAATAGAATATTTTTGTACACTTTGGTATAAATAAATATATCACTTCCAAAAATCCGATCGCCCTCCACCTTTTCCATGATTCAGGTAACCCAATCGTTGGTGATGTCACCAAAGCCCAACTTAGGGGGGCTCCTAGATATAATATTAGAAGAGGTAATCTAACTTACCTAACGTAAGCGCATTTTAATACATAACTTAAAGATGGACGTTTAATTAAGAGAAAAATTAAGAAAAAAAGATGAATAAACGATTCGTGATAATTTCGACTTTCAGATCCAAAAGGTGGCCTCATAGCTATTAACATAACAAAGGTAGTGGTTTAATGACTGACGATCAAATTAGCGTAGGGAATTGTGTATGTGTGTGTATCATGGCGCCTAAGGCGTTTTGCGTTAAATCTCCACCACTAAAATAATAATACAAAAAACATAAGTTTTTTTACTAGTTAAAATATATGCTCTGAAATCTTGTTCAGTTACAACTGGATTGAATTGAATTTAAGTCCGAAAAGTACAAATAACTTAAAAGACAATATTCTGCGTCAAAATCATTTTGTAACCTGAGTATTAAAAACTCTTATACTTGAATTAGACAAACATACGGCTCCGTAGCCGTACATATGCCTAATTCAAGTATAACAATTGAATCCGTATTCGAAAACTAAAAATTGGTTCAATCTAGCACTTCACAAAATGAGAATTAAAAATAAAAATCCAGGGAACAATTAATAATAATAATAATAATAAAATATCTTTATTCACATAGACGCTTGCGCGTTCTTATGAAACGTCAAAATTTTCCAAGAAATTAACACGTTCGTAAGTTACCACCGGTTCGGAAAGCAGTTTCTGTTGAGAAGAAACCGGCAAGAAACTCAACAGTTGCTCTTTTTTAAAAAAATCAGTTTACAATATAATAGTACAAGTACAATAGTCTTGTTTTAGCCTACGTGAGTATCAACAGTATTAACCCCACACATTGGCGTCGTCAAGATATTCGGCAATAGTATAATAGGCTTTAGCCATAAGTTTACTTTTAATTTTTCGTTTAAATTCATCAAGTGGCAGACTTAATATCGACTGTGGGATTTTATTATACATGCGCACACTTTGCCCCATGAACGACCTGTTTACTTTTTGTAGGCGAAATAATGGCGTAGTTAGTTTGTCCTTATTTCTAGTATTTAGTTTATGTCTGTCACTATTCTTTTGATAATTATTAATATTCTGTTTAACATACAAAATATTACAATAAATATATTGAGACGCAACAGTGAGTATATTAATCTCTTTAAAAAGATCTCTGAGTGTATTCCGGGCTCCGATGTTATAAATTGCTCGGACAGCTCTTTTTTGAATAATAAATATTGAATTTATATCAGATGCACTACCCCACAACAAAATGCCGTACGACAAGATGCTGTGAAAGTAACTGTAGTAAACAAGTCTGGCAGTGTCGATGTCTGATAGCTGCCTAACCTTCCTAATTGCAAAAACAGCGGAGCTTAACCTGTTCGCAAGAGATGATAGATGGGGACTCCATTGGAGCTTTGAATCCACTGTAATTCCCAAGAATACAACGGACTCACAGGATTAAGGGTTACGCTATTCAATTTTAAGCTAAAACTTTGCCTTCTTACGTTGGGAAGGGCAAAAAGAAGGCATTTAGTTTTTTTAGCATTTAACACCATATTATTAATTTGTTACCTAATTACCTTGAAGCATCCACGTTGTTTCGGCACAACGTAGGGATCGGAGCCGTCCGCGTCGGTTGATATCGGCGTCAGTCCGTGACACACCACTTGAACCCTAAAATGGTCCATGAGGTCGGCCGTCACACTGTACGGTGCACCAATCACCACTTCGTGTACATACTGCAATGTGAGGCATCAGTAACTGAGTTCACAAGATCAATGTTCGAAGCAGCTGGGCATAGTCCTTTGAGTCTCACCTTACAAGCCAGAACGGACAGCACGCGTTCATGTAAATTCATAATAGGGTAGTTCGATCCCTTGTACCGATTGACCTCCAAATCCGTGTGTAGACCAACTATGAGGAAATCGCCTTGGGCGTGAGCAGCTTCCAAGAAGTCGAGATGGCCCACGTGAAATAGATCGAACGCACCGGCCACGTATACTACCTGTTTATAAATACATATGTAAGTAGTAAATAAAATCAAATATTCACACGCATTAATTCGTGGCCATGCTGCCACCTCACCAAGAGAAACCTCTGAAATTCGTTGAAAAGCACTCGGAGCTGTGAACGGGAATGTATACAGCGTGTCGTTACAACCGCGACAATGAATGACCACACGTCTAACGCTACTTACCAATAATCATAAAAAAAATATAAAAAGTAAAAAAAAACTACAATTAAAAAAAGTATTTTTCAAACAAAGTAATTAAATAAAAAAGAAACAAAACTTGTAACATCCATCAACATACCATAACTACAACTGACTGATTCATACATTCAGAGACGTTTTCATTCATTGCCACAACGTCGCATTACAAATCTCTCCTTCTAACATTGTTTTATCTCCTTTAAATTCATTCAACCCATTCAGATGCTTTGTGACCTTTACAAATGAACTTTAACAGTTATCTACGTAAGCGTATTCTAAAAATGTCTGTTTTGTAAAATTTAATAACTCGGTGAATATTGATGTTTAAAGAATGTAAATGCTTAATACAATTTTAAAAATGTATCCTCCATATGTGTGTTTTTTTTCAATTTCTTTCTTGAGTGTCTTTCAGTCTTGTCTTACTTCAATTCTCAACACACACAGCATCACCTTTTGGATGTTAATACGGGTTTCGCTACAGTCTTGCACGATCTTGTATATACAGTTGGTGCACTTTTCATCACTAGTAACAATTTTTTTCTTTTTGGGTTTTACCATGTTTAAACAGATAAACCAAAATGTGTGCACTATTCATTAGGTTTCTTCCTGTTTTTTTTTAATTTAAGAAACTGGCAAACGAGCTGGCGTTTCACCTGATGTTAAGTAATAATCGCCGCCCATGGAAATTTGCAAAACCCGTAGGGTTGCACCTAAACAAGGTGGGCTCATGTCCCCTAATGTCGAGTATATTGTTAGACTTTTTCAAATGGGTTTGTTTTATAGTAATTCCCAGTTCTACAGCTACGTGGTAACTACTAAAATACGGGTCCTTTCTGAAAAACTGTAACAACTTTTTCAGAAAGGACACTGACTATATCCAGAACGGCCATGTCAAATTTCTAACCTGAAAACGCTTAAACCAACTTTGTGCTACTATTACTGACAACGCGCTTGGACCATAAAAGTCCGAAAAAATTTTTGGCCGGTTCTGGCACGCTTCTCACTTTTCGGAATAAAACTCCAAAATGTATCTCTTCAAAAGATTCACCCACTTTGGCGGACAGAAAATTGTTTTTTTGGCCTTTTTTTTAATTTTCATATATTTACTAGCCTGATACCAACAGTACAACCAAAGAAATTTTATTAAACCTTCATACATATTGCCCCGATCTTAAAAGTATAACTACAAGTGTATATATCCCTGAGAAATGTTACTACTTACTAGAAAGAAGTGGGGTTCTGAATCCGATGTATTTTTATCAAACTATCATACTCATAATCTCCACCTGCATGGTACTTTGTGGTCATAAATGTAATGAAATTATTTTTATGTTCACCTTCATTTATTCTTATGTATAAATGTAATGAAATTATTTTAAATTCTACTAATAAACCAAGACCAATATCCTTAATGTCTTGCGTATGTAAGGTTTTTCATGCTATGGTTGCTAAAAGACTCGAATGGTACGTGGAGAAATTTCAAATCTTGTCGCCTTTTTCTACAGGCTTCAGGAGAGGTCAGTCTTGCCTTGATTGTCTAACTCGACTAGTGACTCAGATTCAGATAGGTTTCACGAAGGGCCATGCTACTCTAGCTTGCTTCTTAGATATCAAAAGTGCATACAATAATATATTAATTGATAAATTAGTAGAGATTCTTGATAATCTGCAAATTGGTAAGCTTATATGCACGTATTTATGGAGATTTCTTACTGAGCGCCGACTGTTTGTTAGGAATGAAGTAACAGGGGATGAAGAGTTAATAAGATATGCTAGAAAAGGGCTAGCACAAGGGGATCCCCTTTCCCCCCTTTTATTCAATATTGCCACTTACAAAATCTGCAAAAATTTAGTTAATACTAGCATAAGTCAATACGCTGATGATTTCGTAATATATACAAGTAGCAAATATATTTCAGACAGTTTTAATAAGATTCAAAACTCTTTAAATGTTTTTATTGCTCTTTTGGATGATTTAGGTTTAGAGTTATCAGTTAACAATCTAAATATAGTATTTTTAGTAAAGGTGGTCGAGGAACGCATTTAAACCTCTCAGTGGAGAATAATACTACACTTGATTCTGTAGAATGTTATAAGTATTTGGGTGTTTGGCTAGATAAATCATTACGTTGGGCTAAACACATTAACGACTTAATTATAAAAACACAAAGGACTATTAACTTACTTAAAACTCTCACTCACACTTATTGGGGCTTGCATCAAATTCACCTACGCAGAATTTTTATTGCTACCATAAGAAGTAAATTGGATTATGGGTGCTTTTTATATGGCAATAGTGCAAAAAAACTAACCTTTTCAAGTTAGACAAAATTCAAAATCAAGCACTTAGAGTAATAGGAGGATTTATAAGGACCACACCCATACACGTTATGGAATGCGAACTTTGTGTAATTCCACTGCATTTGAGAAGAAAATTATTGGCTATGAAATATTGTATAAAGGCACGTTCATGGACCAAAAATACTTGTATAAACGTTTTATTAGAACTAAAAGATCTTAAAACCAATAGCTATTGGTCAAATAAAAAAATCCCCTTACTTGTCGAAGAGTTGGAGACCATTATGTCTGAAAATATAAAATCCTCTCCATATTTGGAAATGTTCGGATTAGATACATGGATAACTAATATTAATATGCAGAATGTTATAAAATGTAACTTAAAATCCATAGATAAATCAAAAAAGGAATATTTTAACAGCTTTTTAAAAGTAGAAGTGTTAAAGGAACTGCATGAAGAATATAAAAATTACTATACTATTTATACTGATGGGTCAAAGAATATGGATGGTTGCGGTGCAGCTTTCTATGATCCCTTAAAACTAGGTTGCAACATCACTTGTAGTTTTAAATTTAATATTACCCATATTTCAGTTATGTACCTGGAACTCATTGCAATTTCGGAAGCATTGTCGTATGTAAGTACAATAGACAGAACTGATATACTGATTTGTGTCGATAGTAAAAGCGCCTTGTATCATATTGCTCGATGCGCCTCTGGACATAGAGGTGCATCGATAGCGTATGATATCTTAGGAAAAATTTATAGTTTAATGAACAGGGGCTTTAATCTCAAATTGCAATGGGTTCCATCACATGCTTATGCTTATGCACAGGCTTAAAAGGAAACGATGAGGCAGATTGTTTGGCTAAATTAGGGATATCTGAAGGAAAACCGCTAACGATAATGCCATACTATGCAGAATTGTTACCAAAGTACAAAAAAAAGTGCCACACACTGTGGAAAGAGTACTTCGATTTAAGATCTAGGGATAAAGGAATTTGGTACAAAACAATTGTGCCTGTACCACCGCAAGTGCCATGGTTCTACAGTAGTAGATATAGTAGAAAACTTTTAGTTATAGCTCTTAGACTGAGATCAGGGCACATGCCACTGAACAAGTTTAGCTATATAATGAGAAAAAGTAGTTCACCTAATTGTGAAACTTGTGGAATGTATGAAGATATCAATCATATATTAACAGAATGTGTGAGGTATAAATTAGCCCGTGATTACTTAATCAAATTATTAAAATTAAATTTATTCGATGTAGGTACTTTCCACCATATTTTGTCTAAACCTAGCTCTAAGGCAGCTTTTTATTTATATAAATTTGTACAATTGCGTTTCCTTGACAATGAGTAATCTTAGAAATATAAGTCATTCTGTCAACATGTTAGTTATAAGGTACAATGGGACTGACATATGCATATTTGTGTAAAAGTCCCTAAATACAATAAAGAGAAAAAAAAAAAAAATCTGTTTGAAAATCTGGTATTGTGCATTGTTTGCCATACCCCTCTAACTAGTGTAATATTTGTATCTCACGCATTTTGTCGCTCGCTACGGCTCAAGGCTAATGCTATATAAAAGAATTAAAAGTTATCGTAATCGTTGATACCATGCTTAGTATTTAAATGAAACGGATCTTATTTGCATGTTGTTAAGATTCAAAATTACTTAACTTATTCATAAAATCTGTTTAAAAATCTGATATTGTTGCCGTACTGCTCTAACTAGTGAATATTTGTATCTCACGGGCTTTGTCTAAAAATCTGATATTGTGGCAATAATTTAAATGAAACGGATCTTATTTGCATGACTTTAAGATTCAAAATTACTTAACTTGTTCATAAAATCTGTTTAAAAATCTGATATTGATGCCATACTGCTCTAACTAATGTAATATTTGTATCTCACGCGCTTTGTCGCTCGAAATCTGTTTAAAAATCTGATATTGTTGCTGTACTGCTCTAACTAGTGAATATTTGTATCTCACGCGCTTTGTCTAAAAATCTGATATTGTGGCAAACGCGTATGATATCGCAATTCGTGTTGGTATAGCGAGTTAGCGAGTATTCTGTACATCAGATTTCGGAAATATCAGATATTGTAAAATAAATAGATTTTGAACGAGCCAGTAAGCGATTTTCAGATATCGTACCAATATATAGTTTTGATATCTGATACGATTTGTATCGCCCACTTTTAATCATTTCTATTATTCTGCCAATCGCTTGTTCGCTTGTTGGGCCCAAAAATACTGAATTTTGCATTTTTTACCTAAAAATTCATCATTTTTAAAAATTTTATCTCTTGTTTTTATTTCAGTAGTATGTATATTTTGTGTTATAATGAACTTATACATTTTAATTAGGTGTTACGCCCTTTATTTTAGAATTTTATAGCACAGTAGTTATTTTTTTTTTTTAGGCCCAAAAAAAACTTTAAATTAAAAGTACTATGAATTACCTTGTCAGTGGGCTTAGGGGAAAGGCCACTACTGAATTGTATTATCTTCTGGGTTGTTGGTAAGAATTGAGAGCATCCTGTATATGGTGATCTGGCTGTAGCATCAGTGCCAAGATTTGACGAATGTTCGAGTGCCACAGTATATTCTTTGTCGCCTCTCCTAGAAATTAAAAATATCTTTAATCCTAAACTATAAATAACTTGTAAAACTAACTTTCTTCTCTTTTAGTTCTACATTAAAAAGGTGAGACTTCTCTATTGTTTATTCAATTAAATAGGGACGACAAATAAGGGCTTAATATTAAGTACTATAGTAAAAAAATATTTAGTTTGTGTAAAATTTGTTAACTTAGTTATATCTAAATCATTGACTACATGAAATTCAATAATGAGAGAAATAAGATAAATTGTTGTGTCAATAAAACTATGTTCTTGATAATTTGCAACACGACAGACATTTCAAAATAAATACGCAAAATCTAATTTATGCTCCATTTACTTTTATATCACTACTTCCAGAATTAGGTACTCTATATATTAAAGTTTCTACAAAAATTATTGACATATACATTATAATATTTATTGCGAAATAAAAACAATGACACATACAAAGAAGCAAGCAGAGCCAATGATTCTCTGTAAAAAAATAAAAGTATATATTTATACAGTGTAGAGCCATATAATTATACAGCGTGTCGTTACCATCGGGGCAATAAATGAACACACGTCTAACGCTACTTGCCAATAAAATTTTTTTAACGTTAAACAAAATCCATAATTAAAAAAAATATTTTTCAAACTAATTAAGTAAAATAGAAACAAAATTTGGAACATCCTATACAACTCGCGCCACAGCGTCGTATTACAAGCCTCTCCTACTAACAGTATGTTTTGTCTCTTTTAAATTCATTCAACCCATTCATATGCTCTGTGACCTTTAAAAATGAACTTTACGTTACAGTTTTGTACGTAAGAGTGTTCTAAAATTCTTTGTTTTGGAAAATTTAATGACTCGGTAAATATTGATGTTTGAAGAATGTAAATGTTTAATACGATTTTAAAAAGTTATCCTCTATATGTGTGTTTCATTTATTGTCGCGGTGGTAACGACATGCTGTATAAAATAACTTATTGAGCAAATATATCAAATAATTTTTGACACATTTAAATGTATTTTAGTTATACAAATTAAGGAAAATTAATGAAGGAAAGTCATTGTTTAGATAGAGTGGTAAATTCAGGTAGAATAAAATGTTAAGTGATATATTTTTTTAACTTGTCACATTATGTACTAATTTTTTTATAATGAACTAACACAATTTTGCATAAGTATCTCAATACATATCATTCTGGTAAATTTTTCAGTTAATTCAAATTATTATATATTATAACATATATAAAATTATTATATAAAATTTCAATATAAAAACGACATGGATCAACATAAAAATTCCTATTAATTTTTTTCATCCCAGCCATGTAAAACTACTTTCCAAGCTTTGCTTTTATTATTTCAATATTTACAGGTGTGTATGAAGTTTTATAGCGTTTATTAGTTAATTAATTTAAATCAAGGGCTATAAAATTAATTTGATTAATATTTTACTTGAAATGTTCTCTTGTTAACAGCAACATCCGTCCAACTAAATCTGTTGTAGAGACTCCAGCTGTCCGTGATACTTCCCTGTGAATATTTAAAAAATTATTTTATTATCTTTTGACCTCATTGTAACAAATGATTATGCGCTAATTTAACCTATATCTGCCCGCCTCCTTTACTAAATGATATGTGTCTATTCCATCAGCTGTTACTGTGATGTCATCTGGAAATAGAAAAGAAAGAATTTTGAATCCACTGTACTACTCTTCCTTTTATTAGTATCCTAAAATACTAACATTTTTGCTACACTAGTTTATGGATTCTGCCAGACTGGAAACACTGGTCAAAATACAATCTTATTTGAAAATAATGCAATGTAATAGTGCTGTCATGCAATAGTGCTTTCAAGTCATTCAGTTATAATTAAGTGATAACTGCCACCCATCAACACCCATGGAATTAAAGTAGCTCACCTGACATAATGCAATCATACAAATCCTTCTGTGAGCATGTGGTTGTCAAGACTGCCTAATTGTGGAAAAGCTGAAGCTACTGCATGGTTTATATCTATTTAATCTAGTTAATTATTGGCATTTACAGGTTTAATGTTATATAAGGGTATTGTTGTGAAATTTATAATTGCCTAGAAAATCCCCTTTGCTTTATGGTCCCAAAATTCAATTTAATGTCATCAATAAAATTTTATGTGTAATGTGCACTAATTTATGTGAAATTATTATTTACTGGTTAATTCTAATTGAGAAGAGATTAAATAACATACCTCCATGCACACAAAAATCACACTGATATTTATCTAATGTTTCAAGTGTTGTAACATATGGTGCTCCTTCTACCACCTGGTCAACCCATTTGATTGCACGAACCATCTTATAGCGCTCCTCTTGAGTGAATACTGGAGGACCTTTGTGCTTAGCAATCTCTTCATCAGTGTGTACACCAACAATCAAGACATCACCTAATGCTTTGGCTTGCCTAAGAGAATTTGCATGACCAAAATGGACCATGTCATAGCTGAAATTACAGTTCATATAGTGAACAAAACAATATTTGTAAGAATTGATTGACAGCTATATTTGTTTTTAACAAGACAAAAACATTAACAATCATTTTTTAACATATAAATTGACAAAAAATGCAAAATGCATGCGAACATACATGATATAAATACCAGGAACAAACAAATTAATCTAAATCAAAATAATTAATTAATCACAACGAGACTGTGTAGAATAAGTAATTCTTTTATTGGTCAATGTATATGTTTTTACAACAAAATCCCCGAAAATGTTCGCAATGCATCAATTTCTAAATTAAAAAAAATTGTAAAGGAATATTTGTGGGTTAAAGGATATTAAAAAAAAGGAAAGTATCAGCCTATACATGTCCAACTGCTGGGCAAAGCCCTCCTCTGTACACTGATACCCTCATCAAGGCATAGTCCACCATGCAGCCCCACTGCGGATTGGCGGACTTCACAATACATCTTCGAATTTTTTTTTAATTATTATTCCGAAAACATGTAGGTTTCTACGATGTTTTCCTTCACCGCTGAGCACAATATAATTCAGCAATTAATATTGAATTAATCGCTCCAGAATCTTTTAAGTGGACTTCAATACATTTGTAAACACGTTTTTTTTTGTCATACAATGGTTAAAAAAAATGTCCCGCTGAGTTTTTTTCACCGGTTTTTCTCAGGTCTGTGGCTTTTCTTTTCCGAACCAGTGAGTTGTGACAATCAATAAGCAAGTGTAATGCTTCTATATTGATCAAAGATATTAATTTGAATTGAATGCAAAAGCCGACAATATCAATGATATAGTTATAATGATTTTACAGGAAATATAAATTTTAGCCCGTCATCTTAAAAAATGTTAACGCTAAGGAATTTCCCTATAGGATCTAAAAAAGTTTCCCTAAACGTATATATATATATATACGTTTAGGGAAACTGTAGTGGATTTAAAAATAAAATTAATTTACTTACCAACCATCACACCATACGCGAATTTGCTTTTTATCTTTTTTATATTCACTCATTTTACCGTCAATTATTAGTGACTACAATATTTTATTGCGTGTTACTATATAATAATATATTACAAGTAAAATTAAAACGAAATTATAACAATATATTAATAATTCCTAAGCAGTAACTCCTCAACTTGACAATTTCAAATGGCAGACTAACTGACTGACTGACTGCTTTGGTGTTGCCATCAAGTTTTACAGAGCTGCCGTATTCGATATTCCAGATCGCCGTATTTTTAAATAAAATCATGAAATTGCCGAACAAGAGGACAAAAAAAATAACCTACTCATTATGTGTGATTCACGATAGAAATTACTAATCGACTCAATTACTTCGCTGCCTACTTAAACAATATTTGTTATAATTTTGTATGTAAATGTACTTATTCTGGTGATAAGTTTTTCAATATTGGAAGAACACTGGTGGACGAACTATATATTTTTTGATTTATTTGCAGTTTGTTGTAAGTTACGACGAAGTTAACTAATCAGCTGTTAAATGGCTTTCCAATCTGAAAATGTTTCTGATTAGTAAACTTCTACGATAATCAGTGTTTCAGAAACCAGACGTAAGATTTGTTTTGAATAGCTTCGTAATCTCTGCACACTCGGGCAATGATTTTCAGGACATTCCAAGTAATGTATAATATATAATAAATAGGGATGAGCCACTTAGTGCCATTTTATTCTATGTTTGCTTGGGATAATGAATACTTAAGTTATAACAGTAATCTTGTGAATCAACATTGGATTGCCGTACATTATAATACGATAATGCAAAACATGCCGTATGCTGTATTATCTGAACTTATGTGTTCGAATGACCATATATTACGGCAATTGCCCTATCAATGGCAACGCTGACTGACTGACTGAGGAGAAAATGGTATGGAAAACGATCAAGCTGAAAAGATGAATAAACAAAATCATTCACTTAGCAAAACTTTCAATACCTACCCGCTCACGGACGACAGCAGACCCTATTTTATCAGCAATTTTTTTCTTTAATAACGGCAATAGTATATTATAATATGTACTTGCGACGCGCCCCGGCTTCACACGGGTGCAGTGTACATACATACCTTCCTCTTGAATCACTCTATCTAGTAAAAAAACCGCATCAACATCTGTTGCGTAGTTTTAAAGATCTAAGCATACATATGGACAGACAGACAGCGAGATGACTTTGTTTTATAATATGTAGTGACACATAAAAAATAGGGGGTGATCGTAAAGGGGTTAAGAATTGAGAGTAATATAAGATTTTTTATTCCAAGTCATGACAAAATAAAAATAAAATTCTTACCAAAAGTTTTTAATTAATAAATGAATAATAGGGGTTGATCTTAGACGGGTGAAAATTTAGGGTTAATTTGTAATAAAAAACATGTTTATAACACAAATATGTAATAAAAATAACACACAAATATATATTTTACATAAAAATACTTGTATAATTTGTATCATCTCCCTTTGCCTTTTAATTCATCGCAATATAAATAAAATAATTTTCTGCACCCTTATACTTAACTAACGGCCCACCCCGGCTTCGCACAGGTACAATGTATTATACATATAAACCTATTAAAAAAAACCGCATCAAGATTCGTTGCATAGTTTTAAAGATCTAAGTATAGTATAGTATAGTAATACGGACAGACAGACAGGCGAACGCGATGTTCTCGATTCGATATCTTCGTGTGCCAGGCTGCTTTTGAATCGCTTACGTCGAGATGATAATGTTATTTAATAGCGAGTCTGCATACGATTGTGCATTAGTTACGTAAATAATTACGAAACTTATAATTTTCGAAGACTAAAGATATTCGTAAATGGCCTATTTTCGTAAATTTTATGTTTCGTATACTAATATATCCTACATGAGGTTCAATCCTCCATTTGATCCCCTTGTGTCGTGCCTCCCTTTATTGGTCGAAGGGTCCATGCTTCATGAAGAGGGGTCGCGGAGATGCAGCAGAGCGGACGAGGTTATCGTGTCCATGTCGTGCATCAAATAAATTGTTCGCTTGAAACCGTGGATTCCTGCGGTCCTCTTACAACAAAGCTGTTAAAATCGCTGTGCTAAATGCCAACTAAATTACAAAAAACGCTACTCTTAACTTTGTTGTTTTTTGTTCCTATTTGTGTGACTTACGGGGACATGACTCGGTGAAAGTGTATATATATACTTATATATTTTTTTCTGGGCAATAAACGATTAGAATTATTGTTGATTGTTGTCGATTGTTATTATTAACGTGTTGTCGTTTATGTTAGCTATACCATCCGTATTTTTTACGAAGTGTTGACATAAGAGTATACCTTCGTCCTCAAAAAAAGAAACAAATGCACTTGAAACAACCTAGGAGTTTTGTACGATACGGTGTGGAAACTTTATATGTTCCTTGTAGCTAATGACATGACCGGATTCGATAGATGACGATGCTTTTAAAGAATATTCGCTAACCTATCGTTATCAATCGCGTGACTAGAAGACAATAGTATCTAACACACCCGTTGAAGCGCGCCAGTTCACTCAGTTGCATTACCGTAGTATCCGAGATAGAGCCAATGGGCAATCCCGCCGGGGAAATGCTATAAGGGGATGAACGTTGCATAAATACATGCGTTATATATGGTCATCTATAACATCTGTAGGTGGCGATAATCAATTAACATACATCATGAAATCAGTTGAATCGCCTGCTCACTTGTCTTAAATAAGAAAAAAATATATCGTTGGATTTTAAAAGTCGGGGTATGTAGCTATGGTCAGTAGTAATGGTCGGTGCTGGTACAGGCGTCGCAATTGAAATCCTATAGCCTTAAGCGTGCGAGCATCAAGTTTAAGAGCTAAACATATATTATTGGCAGTTCCTGCCATTAGTGCACTAAAAAAGTTTAATGTTTATGTTCTAATTATTACATATATTTCTGATGTTTAAACTTGTCGATAAATTTTAATTTTGAATATTATTTTTTTTTATTTAACCTCTTTTTTTTCATTATACGTTACTCTTAAGAAATAAAACAACAAAAAAGTTATGGAAAATACGTAATGTACTGACATTAATTTATATTTTTTTTGCGTGTTTAGGTACACTATAAAGTAATAATGACTAAAGCATGCACAATGTTATCTAATCGTGAAAATTAACTTAATTGGCTCGATTAGGTCACGCCACTATGAATGACGAATACGAAGCGATTTTGTAAACGATTGGACTTTGATTTCGTGTATATACGATTCCTTTCACATGCGGGGGTTATTTAAGTTATCTCATGTCTAGGATTCGTCAATGTAGAGGTCAATGAATTCTTCATTTAAAATAAGGTGTTATTGCTACCTTTTAAATACTGCATTATTTAAGAATTAATGATATTTCTTTATTGGTATACCGTATCATTGTAAATATTGTATATACCTACTGTTAGATAGGAAAGCAGGCCTGAAAGTGCTGTTGTGTGGTTGTTATTTTGACAGTTTTACACTGTTTACTACACAAAACAATATCAGCCTACCGCCGTCCACTGCTAAAATTAACAACGTAAGTTTGCGAGAGGCAAAGTGCGCCAACTATCTTGGGACCTGGGCAGCTCGCATCCATGTTGTACGTCGGACCCACCGTCGGGGGTCCCGCTGAATAACACTACACCCACAGTTAGTGTAACAACAAACACATTAGTCTGCCCTCGCCTCCGAGCACGGCGAGACTAGCACAACGCGTACACAAGGCACACCCGCGTTCCAGGGCGATTCTCACCGCCCCAAGCCACCGATTAGCTAATTACACAGTCAACGGCCATGGGGGTTTCGGTCCGAACCGCAACCTCGATGGCCCTTAGATGACCTACCATAGTTAAACGGACGCATGAGCACATGCTCGGCCCTACCCACACCGGAGGGCCCAAACCCGTCGGTTCTGGCTATCCCACCGGTTCTGCGTCAGATGAAACTTTAATAGTCTCGGGACTGGAAGCAAAAACATCAGTTAATACAAGATACAAGATCCATGCTGTTTTTCATGTATTTATAAAATTCTTTGCCTTTTACATATCTGTCGAACTCAATTCCCGTCAACGGCTGGTAGTTTGTTTTGTATTCCCGTATCGTGCGATTAAATTAGTGTTGATTTTCAATTTAATAAATTTTAGAAAAGGTTTTGTCATTGTATATTGTCCTAAAACGTGTTCAAAAATGCATCAGACATTAGTATTTGTCTGCAAGAATTGTACTGAAACAGTCTGGGCACAAAAGTCGTTAACAAACCTCGATCATGTACAACATTTTATTTGGTGTAACTAATTATAACATTATTTATATGTAGAAATGTAGATAGTATCAAACTTATTTTACATTTAGATTTACACTAAATTTATGTTGTAACTGGCTGAATCCACGTTTCGCTGTAGCTTTTTGATAATATCCTTTGGAACTTCGTAGGTAAATAAAAACACTTTTCTGTCCAATAGTTATTTTGTGACCAACAAGTCTAGTCATCGGCTAGTTTTTGATTTTTGTGGACACAAAGAGACGCAAGCTAAGTTTTTATAAAAAAGATTGACATGTCTTCTGCTAAAATATATTTCCTATTTGCCGGCGAGTTATATATTTTATGCAAGTACATTATGAACGACATTTTGAATGTGATTCTACTAAAAAAAATATTTTTCTAACTCTTTATTATTTCAAAACAATTAGTTTGTTTGTTACAATTATTATGTTTTGGTGTTCCCAATGACTAAACATGTAACGCTTAAAAGGTTTGTTTTTATCGACGTTATCTATTACTAGCTAATAATAGCAAGACATATTTTGGTGATTTCAAGAATAATAAGGCTGATTAGTAGATTTTCGTTCTCAATGGATAATCGATCCTTCCATCTTTTTGGCAACTTAATTGACATTTAACAAGCCATTTGACAACTGATTAGTTAGAAGTCTTTCAGGAACCGAGCGTAAGAATGAAAAAACACTAATGTAATTCAATAAATTATTTATAAAAATCGTTACACCAAACACCTCAATCTTTAGCGTCAGAGACTCCTCCATTAGTGATGGCGAAAGTTGCTTCGCTTTCGGGGAGATCCGGCGAGTCGTAAATTTTGGCGATTCGGTTCTCTCCCCTACCCTTCCTGAGTGCAATTCTGGTGGTGGATGCATGCGCCAAAATGTTGCCCCCGATAGGCTTTTTCGGGTCCGCTTGGAACGTTAAGGTGGCGCCGGGATCCGCCGTCATTTGATTTGTTATAAACACGGCCACGTTATACTCTTCGGATATCTACATTCACAGAATATAAAGTATTATTAAGCAAACTGTTAAAAAGTAATTATGTGTGTTGTTAGTGCAATTTATGTCCAAAGCCACTTTGCACACCTGTGGAATAAAATGCATATCGAAATATTTTTTTTATGCGAAAAGTTGCCAAACGAGCAGACGGGTCACCTGATGTTAAGTGAAGTACCGCCGACCATGGACATCTGCTACACCCGAGGGTTACAGATGCGTTGACAACCTTTTGAAAATTGGGCTCCGGCTACCTCACTCACCAGATGAAACGCGAAAGTATTTGTCATACTTTCACTTTACGCTGGTCGCTACTTATATCGAAATATATCGCTTTAATAAACTAAATCAACAAAGACATTTCAATGTTTATTAGGAATCTTCATTCCCCCGTTTACAACCAACCTAAAACTATGTACATGTCGTTACAACTGATGTTTCATTAGGTTTTTATATAATTAAATTTCAGATTGTTAAACATTACCTACTCTTTATGCTCGAGCCTGAGTTCACTAATAAATTTATAGTGCTAATTTATCACGTGCTCAGCGGATAAGTAAACTATCTTGAGAAACCGGCACTTTCTCGAAATAAAAATATAAATTATTTCAGATCTGCAATCCCGGGCCAATCCTTTTCACAAATACGTTCCAACACTGGTATATGTAGGCTGTTTACTTTTACTTTAGGACTACCTAATCTAGAAAGATTTATGGCATAAATACATCTTTATTAAAAAAAAAAAAAAAAAAACTAACCGTACTAACTATACTCTTATACGAATTTAAAACTAATCGCGAACCAAATTTTTATGAATATCGTTTATCTTATCAACCGGTACCCTAAATAAACACGACATGCGGGCAGCCCTACTCCCGGATACCCATTATCTCTTCACCTTCTGATCTTCCATGCATCCCGGATATACTATTGTTGCTTTAGTTGTATCAAAGAATTATAATGGAAATAACGATTTTATTGTTAATAAATGACATTATAGAGCGGTAATAGTATTTACTCCAGCTATTCCGTCAAATAAAGACGAAACAGTTTATGTTTAATCCAACACATTCGTTTAAGTATTATCTTCAAAAACTATCTGTAATTTGTGAAGTGTAATTTCACGTATAACCTATGGAAGCTTCCGTGTGGAACACGAACTTACACTTAACTACATTACGAAACGTAAGACAAGACAAGAAAATAAATGCATTATTTTATCAGATCAGTTAGATACAGCGTCGATTTTATGTTTCGTAAATTGGTTTGAATTAGTCGGATAACGGACCTTTTGCAGTCGCGATAGCACTTGGGCCAATTTTTGCTGCCTATCGGCCAGTTCACCTCGGCCCGAGAAATCGACCCGGAACAAAGCCATGATAGAGTCGATGATCAGGAGTTTGAAAACGCCCGCCTCTTCATGGAACTTCGCCGCTACGTAGTCTAATAATTCAGCCTATAATTTTTAAGCACTCTGTACATTGGTGATTTTGATTTTGGATTGAGTATAAGGAGTATTATCATGGAGTAATTTTACCATAAGTCGTACATTTCAAAGAAAGCCCCAAAAATTGTTAGAACATTCGTTACTAAGTTATCAATTGACCACTTAGGTCTTTCGCTTATGCTACTGCACCTTTGTGGTCACTTATTCACCCCTTATTGTATACATTTTTGTTGACACTCTTTTAGTGAAAAACACACATGAGGTACTACGCCTTATACTCTACACTATACATATAATATAAAACGTATTACACGCACGTCACCTTATAATAATAATTATTAGGTAGCAATACCTGATGTTCGGATGTGTACGCTCTGGCATATAGGACATTGTCCAAAACGGCGTTTTGGTCCAAATTGAATCTGTCTGCTATCGGTCTTAACCTATCTGGACGACTGGTACTTTTAAGGTAATATTATGAATGAACATCGATAGTTAATATTAAAATTGATGTTCTTAATAAATTAATAACTTTTAAAGTACGCCTCATCGGAAACGGACCATGAGTTACAAGTTGTAAGTATGACGATATCATAACAAAGTTCGATATCAACCACAATTTAACGATGCAAATTGTCTTTTTTTATATGCAAAAACGTTGAAAGCGTTGAAAATATTCGTCTCAAAACATTGAACATTTGAGAAAAAATACTAATACATACGATTCTGCATTGGTAACGGCATTGACCTCTTCCCAACCGAGGTAACGATGCAAAAAAAAACATGTTTTTCAACGGTTCATTGAAATATTTACAAACCGTGTTTGAGTGAAATCACAACACTGCACATTGCCTATTTACAACTCTTTTATTAGGGCCTGTACAGGTAAAAAGTTTTGTTTCATAACACCCCTCTGTCACTTAACTATAGTTTAGTGCTATATTAAAATGGATATAATTGATTACTGTTGTTTTAAAGATACAACATTAGCTTATGCTATATGTGACATAATCTGAAAATATAAGTTTGAATACAATATTTTATTAAAATCTAAATCGATTGGTATTGCAACATCTCCGCGGTTTGTGCACTGCTGGGCAACTGTCTCTCATAGCAAAACCCCAAATGAATAATTCTTACACTTTCGGTGTAGAATTGCTGCTAGAATACTCAAGTCTAGGTTTGAGGGTGTCCTTCTCATGGTTTGTCTAACCGCGGAATCGTTTCAATGAGAAAAAAGTTTCGTACATCATAAATATTCCGTGATCGATTTGCCAATTTACCAAAATTTTTGCAAATTTACCAAAATGAATCGGAAAAGGATACAAAGTGTGCTCCGTGTCGAGGAACATGACCTTGCCGCCGTGGTAGCCCGACGGATTCGGTATTTGAGTGGTCACGCACAAAGTGTGCGACAGTTGCGTTTTGCCGGTGCGGAACTCGCCGAACACCTCCGTTATCGCCATAGATTCCACGCCGCCGGCGAGCAGCTTACTTGAAAACAAGTTTTAAACGACACCCGTCCATAGACCCGATGCTCAAAACTGCACGCGTCAAATTGTTATTGGAATTTATGAAAAAAAAAAAAACTAAACGTGTTCAAATCGTACAATGATAATATAATATAAACGAGCGATAATAATAGTAATACTAATTTACTTTCTTTAATATTGGAACATGATGAGGTTTTGATTACAATTGACATCGATATTTTCTACTACTTAATATTACGAAGTATGCAAATATTACATGTTCGCTAGAACGTTCTCAAAAAAATAATAAAAAGTAAAAGTCCCTAAAGTAACCGCCTATATGTATATTTCAAACTGCTGGGCAAATGCCTCCTCTGCACATGAAGGGTAGTTACTATGCCCTTATAACCTAATTAGTAGTTAGGTTATAAGGGCATAGTCTACTACGCGACCCTACTGCGGATTTACGTCATATTATATCTTCGAAATATTTTTGTTACTTTTTCAAAAATATGCAGGTGTTTTTTATTTACATTCTTCATGATGTTTTCCTTCACCACTGTGCACGTGATATGTCAGCACATAAACTTAACAATTTCTATTCATTGGTAGTTGGTACTCAGGTCGCTAGAGTATAATAAATAAAAAGCGAAGAAAATAAAAAAAGTAGTAAATAATGGCATTAGGTAGTGTTTGGGGGTCTATTTTAAAAAGGATTGGAGATCGATGAATGTTTTATTGTTTCTATGTTTCCTATGACGGCAAAGGCCTCCTTATCTAAATATTACAGACACTAACTGTTTTGAAGTAAGGTCTCTTAAGTTATTAAAGCATGTTAGTTTCACTTAATAAGAAAAACTGAGATATTTATTATTATTTAGAAGCCTTAGGTTTTAAATGTTGGGCTAAAAAAATAATATAATAGTTAAAAAAAATGTAACTTACTCCAAATCGCCGCTTCCAGTGCTAATTTTAAAAACATTTTTACGTCTATCGCTGACTTCCAAAGCGGTCATAAAGCCAAGTGCGACGACTTTTTGACATGCTTCTTTAATTTTTTCTACTTTTGTTTCGGAAAATCCTTTTATATTACATAACTTCTTTTTTGTTGACATCTGAATTCCTTTGACGGTGCAAATTCCTGCACCTTTTAATTTTTTTATGTCCGCTACATTAATACCATGTTTTTGCAAAATGTCTACATCTTGAAAAAAACTTTCTTCCTCATCATTTTCAGAAATGTTGTCATCAAGGGTTTGATCAATCATTTTTATTGTTTAACGTTATTCAAAAAGTTGTGTTAATCTTAATTTAATAAGTGTAGTTTCGCGCGCATATTTTGAATTTTACGTCAATCAATGTTGCTATTATCTAATTGTAACTGCTTTATTGGAGCACTGGACGGACTGGATTCTTTGTGTTAAACTTAAAAGTTTTTAAATAAATTTAGGTATGGAATGTAGAGATAAGACTTGTCTATTCATATATTATTTTAACTGAAAAAGTTACCAGAAACCATAATGGCATTAATAGTATTTATAATAGAGATCTGAATGGTAAATCGATGGTGCACTTATTTTAGCCATTGTTCTCATAATTTTTGGTCCTTTCTTTGAAATGTAGAATTTCTGGTACTATAACGCAATCTAAGTGTATTCTCTTTTATGGCTACAAAATTCCGTAAAAGCGAAGGAACATGTGGGGATGAGTGGTTCCTCCACACACACACGCACGCACACGCACGTACGTTGACCTTTGTTTGTTTTTATTATGATTGTTATAACTTTGTTGTTTTCGTGTTTTGTTTTTATTATCATATTTCATAGTTTTAACATTGTTACTTGGTTTTTAAGATATTTGTGTAAGCTGACGTTCTCGCCCATCTACCTTCTTATATATAGCTTCCACTGAAAATCAGCTTAAATTAAGTTTTTTTTTTTTTTATTAAACTTCGTGAATTTAACGCTGAGTGGAAACCTTTTTGGTGCACCAATAAGCATAAAATATTTTTGTTTCTTTCTAACTAAATTACTGTGTTTATGTCTTTTATGTATTTTTTTTTTGTTTATGTACCAAATAAATATTTTTCTTTCTTTCTTTCTTTTATATTCATATTTTTATTTATTTCTTATTTATTTTGTGCCTATACATTAACATTACTTGCATTCAAAAGTAAAATGTATCACTGATAAGTAAGAGTTTAAATAATATATGAAGACCAATTTGCACATTGCACACATCATTATAAAAAGTTTTATATAGACCAAAAATACAATTAAAGTACTAAAATACTTGATCATGATTTACAACTAAATAAATAAAAAACATTAAACCTTACTACCTTTCTGATACTAATATATTTAAAATTCTTTATGAAAGTTTAAAATCTAATATTTTTAATATTTAAATACTCTCGTCTTTTACTTTTAAATTTGTGTAGAGAATCACTAAAAACATCGAAAACTTGCTATTCTTTATAAATTTCGTAGTATTCGATACATTAATGTTGTATTCCATGTAGTGTGAATGTTATTTCTTTCATTCTTTTTAGTTTTAGAACGTTACATCTGAATTCAGCTCGTAGCTTCATCGCTTATGAAGAAATATACCATATAATTTTAACATTGGTGAAATGAACTTCTTATAAGTTTAACGTCAGTAATATTTAAATTATTTTTTTATTTGTACTAATCTTTGTACCTAAGATGATCCGCTGCGGGAATCCAACCCATGTATTCCGGATTCACGACCAGTTATGTAAAATCATGATAAAAGACGTTGAGATTTACGTCAGTGTGGCAATCAGCCGTTTATTCTTTTTGTTATAGAGTCTGAGCGCGAACCCGGAAGACGTGGGTACAATTCCTGTAGCGGCGACAAACTTTTCTTCCTTTTTAGGGTTCATTACCCAAAGGGTAAAACGGGACCCTATTACTAAGACTCCGCTGTCTGTCTGTACGTTTGTCACCAGGTTGTATCTCATGAACCGTGATAGGACAGTTGAAATTTTCACAGATAATGTATTTCTGTTGCCACTATGACAACAAATACTAAAAAAAGAATAAAAAATATTTAAGTGCAATACAACAGACATGATTTCTTTTTGCCGTTTGTATATATAATGGTACGGAACCCATCGTGCGTGAGTTCGACTCGCACTTGACCGGTATTTAAATATTTTTTTTAGAAATAATCAGTAAAATTATTTAAACTTAAGGCTAAGAATGTCACCTATTCGTTTTTGTAAATTTTATACATATTAAAAAAAAATATTTATAGTATCTATATTGATAACCTTAGCAGGATCGATTGATGACAACCATTGGCAAACAAACGTTCCTTTACAAGTTTTTTGAATTTAGCAACGGATTCATTTTGAAAGTTTTCTGGGATTTTGTTGTAAAAGCGTATACATTGTCCCATAATAGATTTACATAATCTACGCAATCTAGTTGAGGGTAGAATTAATTTATGCAAATTAGCATTATGCTATATGCTGGAAGTCAAGGCAACACAGCGCTGATTTTCAGTGCTAACCTTGTAGCTTCGTAATACTTCGATGCCTTACTGAAATACTGATCCATTGTTGTTGATATTATATCGATTGATAGAATTATAAATATTGTTTGTTGGTATTTCCTGATTTTCTATTACATTTTTCCTAATGATTTATTATTTACTGGTATTCATTCTCCTTAAATTAATAATTATGCTTAATTGATTAATTCTACAAATAAAATGAAAAGTTTCAATAAGCTGAACAATACATAAAATAACATAATAATTATGTTTTAGATCATTTCTCTTGTTTTAAATATTTGAACTTTATTATAATTTATATTTATTACGATTTTTACGAAAAAGATAATATTAATGATTAAGTATTTCTTGTATACTAATCGATGGTGGTCAAAGATAAGGTATGAGCGTCCATCTGAGAGGTCCTTGCCCCAACGTTAAAGCAAGACTAACTAAAATTACACATACACAATACAATAACTTTCTTGTATAAAAGAGGCAAATACATTTTTCCATTCAAGAGGAACATAATTAATAAATTATGTAGTAAATTGTTATATTCATGTTTTTTATTTTATATAATTATTTGTCTATAAACTGTCAATTTTGATTATTCGTCTCTATGATGCAAGTTCTCTATATTCTCTGCTTCTTTTGATCTATTGTCTATGATTAATTAATAATTAATAACTGCTGCTATGAAAGAAGCTTGATGCGGCGCAAACTGAAGAATTAATTTATACATTTTAATTGCATCAAGAATTTTACCGTCTTATCCATCTCAGTTAAGGTAAGGGCGTAAGGTAACCCTACGGAAGTTATGAAAAGTGATTATTTATTATGTTCATATATATTTCCTCCTATATCACAGCCATGTTGAAGTAGTGTTGATTTTAATAAGTTTTCGTCAGTTTATCGTTTACTAGAAAGTTAAAGTTCACAAGTAAATGTGACAGACCCAAGTTTCGTTTGTGTTGTGATTACAAAGTTCAAAAGTCTTTACAAAATGAAAAGTGTTATAAAGTGCCACCGATTCTGGCGTCGAGGCGTCATCTTCAAGGTAAGGCTGGATGTGTCTTCAATATACATCAGAACGTTGTAGTTCTTTTAAAAAATGAAATCGTGTCACAAGCTGTTCAGTTGTTGAAGAAGTATATTAAGTGAAATTAAAAGTTCAACTTCTACTTTTGTAATAATTGACAGACTTTTAAAGTGCCACGCTTTATGATATAGAAACGATATTCCATTTAATTTTCTTCTACTATTTTAATAATTTGCAATCCCCGCACTATTATTATTATTAGTTTTTTATTTTTTATATTATTTTCAATGTAATCAATCATAATATGTAATGTTCATAACATTCTTAGCCTTTAAAGGTATTATTAATAGGGCATTAAATTATGTTTAAAAAAAAATTAGGAAATATTTAATCACTTCCCTTCTGTTTGTTAAATTGTTTTGATTTGTGTGAAATGTTTTGGCAACTGGTTGACTACTAATTATTTAAGTCATAATTGCTTGTTTGGGCTGGGTGAAAGTCTTGTAAGTATTATGAATTTTACAAATCATTGACATCTTTTCTTCAGGAATGGACTCTGAAGATTCACATGATGCTACTGGAGATGCTCATTCTTCTTCAAGCAGCAGTAGTTCCAGCTCCAGGAGTCGAAGGAGTTCATCATCAGATAGAAGTGATAGATCCAAAAAGAATCCAAAATCTCCTTCTAGATCACCTTTATCACCAAGATCTAATGGGCCAAGATCACCTTCACCAGAAAGTCGATCACAATCTTCCCAAAGATCACCATTATCTAGTAAAGCACCATGTTCCCCCGGGAACTTAAGCGGTGCACATTCTGATATCAACTCCCCTGAGAATTCAATGCCTGCATCACCACAGGGTCCAAAATCACCGGATGCTCCTAAGTCTCCTAGTGATTTAGGATCAAACATTGGGTCACCAGAGCAACCTGAACAGTATTCTTCAGCACCACCTTCTGCTGGTGAAGGACCAAAATCTCCACAATCACCTGGTAGCTCGGTAAAGTCTCTGCCTGGTTCACTTGGCTCTAGGTCACAACCTGTGTCTCCAGATTCTGCATCCCAAATAACATCACCTCCAAGGAAACCTCAGCGCCGTTCTCCTACCTCTAGTCCTTCTCCAGATAGAAAATCATCACAGTCATCACCAGTAAGATCACCATCAGTTAAAAAAACTGATTGGAGTCCTAAAGAAAAATGGAGGAGGCATACTAAAGCAGAACAGAAGATGGTGACAATTCCACACTGCCGTAGTAGATCAGAATCTAGCCAATCTAGTAGAAGTTCTTCATATAATAAGAGAGCAAGTATAAGGGACCCAGCTACTGAAGAAATTTCTGAAGGTATTTTAACAATTGCATGTTTTAATATAGCTTAATCTTTGAAATAATTACATATTGAAATTTTATAATTGAATATTTAATTTTGAAAAATTACAACTAAAAATAAATACTCATATTTTTATATTTACTCATTCAGGAGAAATGGAATCAGATCAAGAAGATCTTAAATCTCAAAGCAAAACAATGGCAACTGAGAAAAATGATTTAAAAGATCACAACATTAGTCATGAGGACTTATCAGATGTATCTGATTTAGATTCAGTTGGACCAGAAGATGACAAAGATACAAAGGTAATTCTTTTGTCTTTCCAACCACAAATTTTTTCATATGGTATGGAATAAATACAGTGTTTATTTTTTAATACCTACTCCATATTACATAATCAGCTATGAGGGTCACACTGAAAGTTCTTAGAAAATCATGAAACTGCTCAATGTAGAAAGATGGAAAGATGGATGAAGCTGTGGGCCCATTCCTCCATAGGGGATATTTTTGAAAGAACTTACCGTATCTTACAGAATCGTAAAGCAAATACCTGTGACAATGTCAAGGCATTAGTCATCTCTGTTGAACTTTTCTAACATATTGTGACACTAATTCATGCGAAAGCTTTTCCGTTCTTCGGTAAAGGTATGGAGAGTCCATCTAGTATAAAGAGTACTGCCACCAAAATGTTTTTTTTAAATATTTTATGTCAAAGCTTGCCCAAACCTGCTGGTAGTTCACTCGCTTATCTTCCTTTGTCATGTGTTGCAAAGGATTATCTTCAAAGATTTATCTTCAAATGTGGCTGTTGACGGACGTCCCTAATGCTCAAACTCATAAAACCAATTATAAACAGTGGATTATTAAATGCCAATCGAAGTCCGGCTTTGTTGATGATTAAAGACCAGTTTTGTTGCTGTATATATCGTATTGTTGATTACTAGTGATACATTGAAAGTCGTAATAAATCAGGGACTGAAAATTTTCTCACATTAAGTTAATTTTGAGCTCTCGCAAGACTTGAAATTGCCGCCAATTCACAAAAACAAATGACAAATAAATGCACATTTTACTACACAGGTTACTAAAGAGTTTATATATTAAAATTTTCAAAGTTTTAATTGGCAATGTTTCTATCTGGCCAGTATGTACCTTTTTTTTATGTACCTTTGCCACTCCTGTGAATGATTGATTGAAGGAATTGAAAAATATTTATTATTATTTATTTACTTCCATCCATAAATTGAGAGTTGTGACTTTTATTTTTCTAATTTTTAGTTAAAGACACCACCAGCATCACCAGAAAGAAAACAAGATATTAATACAAATGGGAAAATGATTAATTCACAATCATCGCCAAAATCTGATGGTGGTAAAAATGATGTACCAAAATTAGACAAAGTAAGTATTATGTTAAACATAATAACCATTATTGACAAAAAACATTAACCACTCTTTTTAAACTTACATAATTATGGTGAAAAAATCGACATAATCTTCATCTTTACTTCGTGTTAATGTAAAGGTACCCCAAGAAAAAACAAGCAATACAGAGGATGGAGAAGAGCAACTGGATTTTGAAGCTGAAGAAGGGGAATGTATAGAACCTAAATCAAAAGATAAATCTAATGGAGAATTGGAGCAAGCTGGTGACAAAGGTTGGTTACATATTGTTTTGGTGATTACATCTTTTGGATGGTTCGGTTTGTGCATTACCACATCTCAGTGTTCTATATCTTCATATTGAGATAAACACAATAGCTTCTTTATTAAAATTTAGCTACGGAGGAAGCTAAAGCCGCGCGTCGATCGCGAGGTTCTTCGTTGGAAGAGGGAGAGGTGTCTGATGAGGCTGAACGTAGGCCAGAAGAAAGCGAACCGCGACCCGTTTGCCGATTTTTTTCCCGTGGCGCATGTACATGGGGTGTTAGTTGCAGGTATAAAATATTTTTTATAAAATAATTAATATAAAATTATTTAATTAATATTAATAATTTATATAAAATAGATTTTTATCAAATTTTATTAATACACCAATTATAAAATTGAAGTAACCCAATCTCTATTTAACTTGACAAGTATTACTACTCCTTTGTTTTCATTATTTATTTAGGAGGGATTGCCCCTTACAAGGAATTCTCATTCATTCAGGTGAACTGCCAACTTCTCCCATTGGAAAATGCATTATTAAAATGGAATAATGTGGAGTGTAATTTTCCTGTTGAAATTATTTCACGATAAAAGGATATTTTATTCTGTGAAATAATATGAGATTTACCTGTATTCTATAGCATCTTTTAATTGATTGTATTAAAAGGTGACTTACCTAATACAGGTTTCTGCATCCCGGCGTTACGGACAAAGGGAATTATAACATGTTTGACGTGGTGCGCGGAGTTCCTACGGGCGGGCCATATACCGCGCCGCCGAGAGACGTCGCTCCACCCGAATCGGCCTGGGAGAGAGGCCTGCGTACTGCTAAAGAGGTATCTACACTTGAACTAATTGTGATGATTTTGGCATACAGTTGCTAATCATTTAATCGTATTAATAGAGATTGGTTTTATACAACACAAAACCTTGAAATATTAACAATTATGTAACATGAAAACAATAAAAAAATAGTTTTAGATAGTTTAATTTTTATCAGCATATAATTAATTGTCATATAATAAACTGTCAATATTTAACATTTTGTTTGTATTTTGTAAAGGTAAACACTTCCACTGAGGTAACTGGGAAATATTTGAATTTGGGTGTTCCACTGTTACATTAATAAAACTATTAATTTATATTATATATCAAAACACTATTCCTATTTTAAATTAACTTACGTAAAGTACGTAAGTACCAAATACTAGTCACAGGCTAAACACTAGTAATAAACGAGTAAGGCGTCCATTAATTACGTGGGGCGATTTTTCGATCCCTTTCCTCTTCCCACCTCCCCAAATTTCACGAGAGATTTTTTACAATGTGTAGTCTATATATCTGTGCTCGATTTGGTTGGATTACTTTAAAAAAATAATTTGCTTCACTTTTTTATTGAAAATGGTGATGAGAGACCATTTTAAGCTTCTCCATCAAATAATGTCTTATGCTGGAGTGCTGATAAGGAGTATGACGTGACTTCATTCTTATCTGTCGATGACCACAATAAAAAAAAACAAGTTTTTGTTTAAAGCTATAAGTTTGTTTAAAATAAGATTTGAATTTAAATTTAATTATCAAAAATTGTGTTTACACTTCTGGCTCATGCGTTTTTAAATAATATTAAAATTATTATTAGCTAGTATTAAAATTATTTTTTTTACAATATAATAAATAGTGGATTAAATTTTGTTATTTTTTCTTCATATTACATTATACATTACAAAAATATTTTTTTGAAAAATTTATTATAGCATGCTTACATATTTTCTCAATTTACTTTTGAATATATTTATACTATTACATTCTTTAAGATAAATGGGTAAGTTGTTAAACAACTGTGCTCCCTCAAATAAGATAGTTTACATAATTTAGTCCATTGCCGAACACTATTACTGGCTACTGTGCTGCTTGGTGGCGTTTGAATAACCGCAATAAATATTATTATACTATAATATCATTAAGCCAGATTTTAATGAAGAAACTTTTTTACTGAGTTTAATAAGAGTGTTATAATTTTTACATAATTTGGCCCCGCCTTCAAGATTAGGGTAGTAGTAGAGTAGCCTATTTAAAAGTAATGTACTAGGTCTGTGATAATTATATAATATATTGACTGCTGAAAATGGTCCAAAATGCTAATGCATGTAATGTGGTCTCTTATTAATACAAATCATAGCAAGCATAGTAAGCATGTAAATCATCAAATAAGGATGATCTATGTTTATTCATTTAATTTTGGCTTTTTTTTAAGCTTTTAAATGTATATTAATATTAATTTTAAAGTGTATTAGTAACTAAATTAATACATAAGCTCCCACCGAGTAACTAATTTCTAAAAAAAACAAAAATAATACAATCATGCTGTAATTCACTAGACTAAAATTCAAGCAAATAAACATGTCAACACGGCAAGAATGCGAGTACAGAGGTTGATATTTTTGAAACATGTCAGTTTCCAATTTCCTAATACACAATTTGTTTAGTTATTGCGTTGTCTGCGAACAGATGCTGAGGATAGCGAACAAGCGGAAGGAGCAGGACATGGACTTTGAGGAGAAGAAGCTGCACCTGTCCGTGGGTGGTGTCGTGCACGACCCGGACGCGGAGCTGGCGTACGCGGCGGCCGCCGTGGGCGCCTCGCCGCCGCACCAGCACGACCTGCCCGCCCACCGCGATCCCGAAATGTACAGGTGCCCTGCACATTTATTTCTTGAATCATGAGTGCAACGCCTTGGGTAGCGAGTCTCAACGCCTACTGCGACCCGCGAAGATCTATCCCTTCCCTTCGAAAACGTTGCGCCTTTAGTGCAGGATAACATCATCCTGTGGTTTAAGAAATTTCTACGTACGTAAATTTCACATGGACACTTAATACCCAGATCCGAAACGAATCTATACTAGTAAAAGGAGAGCCAGGTTTTTTGTTCGATTATACTGCGAAAACTAGCAAAGGAACCGATCGGAATAATACCTATACCATTAGATGCATCGTGTTTCGCAGGTTTTAGTAAATGATATGTTGGTGATTACTTATCCTTCAAAATTTAATCAAAGAAATTTTATTCATATAGATTGATCTGTTAGAAATATAATGTTGAAGTTTCGTTGAATGTATTTATTTCTTTTGTTTAATCTATTGCCAGGATGTTGCTACGACTCAATTAACTGTCGTGAAATCCTGATTTATCTTCACATTGACAAGTATTAATGGTAACTGAACTAACATTATTTTGAATTAAATCATCTTGTTGTTATCACACAGTAAAGTAAAGTAAAGTAACAGCCTATACATGACCCACTGCTGGGCAAGGGCCTCCTCTATACGGTGGTAGGGCCACGCAGCAGCCTCGGCTGTTGCACGAATGGGCAGGCCCGTCCGGGTAAGTACCACGACCTCACAGAAGACCAGCGTAAAGTGGAAGTATGACAAATACTTTCGCGTTTCGTCTGGTGAGTGAGGTAGCCGGAGCCCAATTTTCAAAAGGTTGTCAACGCATCTGTAACCCTCGGGTGTGGCAGATGTCCATGGGCGGCGGTTTTCACTTAACATCAAAAATAAAAACTATACAGAGGCTATCGGGGCATAGTCCACCACGCGGCCACACTGCGGATTGGCGGACTTCACATATCTTCGAAATATATATATTTTTTGTTATTATTTCGAACATATGCAGGTTTCTTTACGTGATAAGTCAACACTTAAATTTAAAAACTTCATTGGTGCCGGCACCGAGGATCGGATTTCAGATTGCTCGAGTATATTGAATTAAAGGCGAGCGCCCGGACACTGAGCTATCACGGCTCTGCACACAGTAGTGTAAGCTAAATTTAGTGTTCTCGTAGGTCTTCTGTCTTTCATTTAATTTCTACTGACAATTCTTTATTTGAATGTGCGTAATGTTTGCAGCCGACCGTACGGGCCAATGTACCGGGGTCGCGGCTTCCCTCGCCCCGGTATGGACGAGCGCGAACGCTTTTACGACCGGGAGCGGATGTACGAGCGGGAACGGATGTACGAGCGTCCGCCGCATTTCGACGAGCGCGCCGCCCCACCTGAGGAGTTACCATTCCACAAGGTATTCCTTTCTTTTTTATGAAGGAGTTGGCAAACCGGCAAACTGATTTTCTATGTTGGTGAAGTTCACTGCCCGTGGACGTTCTACCTAACTAGTTGGAAGCCCGTTTTGTCCTTGTATTGTCCTTGTCTGGAAATTTTCATTTTAATATTCTAATTACAGAGACGTGTTCGCTCGTCGAGGGAAGTCATAGTGCAGAGGGCGGAGGTGGAGCGCCGCGAGGGGCGCGAGGGTCGCATGCGCGAGGGGCGCGAGGGGCGGGAGGTGAGGGAGGGGCGCGGCGACGACTGGTCCGACCCGTGGATGCGCGCAGAGCCCGCCGCGCGCCGCCGACGCCCGCCCTCCTCGGAAGAGTCCTACAGCACATCCAGGTACCGTATCGCCATTGTAATAGAATCCATTTTCGATCGGATACACAACGAATTACAGTTCACAAAATACGCGAGATAGCTACTGCCTAGCGTGACAGCGCTGTTGAGCATTATTATATCGAATTATAATTCTTGAACATTCCTATCTTTCTATATCCTAGTAATTTTAATTCCTCGCTATTTCATAGCAGATTCCCTGTTAGCCCAAGTTATAACAGGTTTACAATTATTATTTCATTTGATGATTTTTATGTCAGATTGCTTTGAAATATTTTTTTAATTTTTTTAATTGATTTAAAATAAATATCACAACAGTTCAATCTAATAGATAATTTCAATCCTCACAAATGCATCGCTAGATAAACATTTAAAATAAATATCACAACAGTTTTGAAAGGATGTTGAGTAATGTTCCTGAAATATTTGGGCTATGAAAACAATTATTGAAATAAAATAGAAACAATAGTTTTTTTTGCGTTATTTAAAAGAAACATTTAACATATAAGTTTTCACTAAATTGATATTTAAATTGCTGGCATTAATTTATCAATTTAATTATTTATTTTTATTATTGTTTTATTTCTTCAACATCTCTTATGATTGCCTCTGAGTTATACTAATCGGAAAATCCACTCCCCCCCTCGCTTTGTCCTCCCCACCGGCCGCTGGGTTCGCTTTCATTACTCGAATGGTCGTGGTATTACTGGTGTTCGATCTTGCCGAGGCCACTCATCTCCGCTGTAACCGTTGCATGTTATGTCCACTGTCATGGTTTCACTGACGGCCGAGTGTGCGTGCGTGACGTGCGTGTGTGTGCGTGCGCGCGTGCGGGTGTGCGTGACTTCGACCTGCCCCGGCGTTCCTTTGAGTCCTTAGCTCTTCAAATTCCAGCTCGCGTAGCTCGGGCTCGGCCGGCGCACGCCGCAAGAAGAGGGCAACTTCGTCCACGCGTCAAAGGTAACTCCTAACATCTGTCGGTTCGGTCTGTGGCGATTAACACGATATTGGTGTCTTGGCTACTAATTCCTATTAACACTTGCACTAAAAAAATATGTGTACAGTAATTGTTATGTGGATGTCCATTGTTATTTGGCCTTCTTCTTATACACGTGCCAATGTTGCCAATAGGAGAGTAAAAAGTTTTAAACTGTTTACTTGACATATTCTACAGTCATAAAAAAATAGTGGACTGTTTTTAGTGAGGGATTTCCTATGTTTGTATTTACATTTTCAAAGCGTAATTTGTAAATGGATTGTGAGAAATAAAGTACTTTTCATTTTTAGGATTACATCTTTATATTATGGAAGTTTTATGGATTTTTTTCTTAAATTTTTCGTTTTTCTGTTTTCATTTTCGTATATCTTGTTTTTGATTATCAGTTTTGTAACAATCTGATGTAAAATACAGCGTGTCGTTACAACCGCGACACTAAATAAACCCACGTCTAACACTACTTACCAAATACTTAAAATATAAACGTTAAAAAAATCCATAATTAAAAAAAAATATTTTTAAACAAACTAATTAAATAAAAAAGAAACAAAATTTGTAACATCCTATACAACTACAATTGATTGATTCATACATTCAGAGACTTTTTCATTCGTTGCCACAACGTCCCATTACGAATCGCTCCTTCTAACAGTATGTTTTGTCTCTTTTAAATTCATTCAACCCAATCGTATGCTTTGTGATCTTTACAAATGAACTTTTACGTTACAGTTTTATACGTAAGTATGTTCCTAAATTGTTTATTTTTGGAAAATTTAATAACTCTGTAAATATTGATGTTTAAAGAATGTTATCCTCTATATGTGTGTTCATTTAGTGTCGCGGTTGTAACGACACGCTGTATACCATTTTATTTTTTCTAATTTTTCCGTACTTACTAAATGCATGTCAATATGGGATTATTAACTTTTGTTATGTTATTTTAACAACTTGTAATTTAACAGCCTTTCTAATATTTCATCATTCACACCACTTCTCTTTTAAATGTAAATAACTCTGGAAATATTCATGTAATGATATATTAGGATAAAAACTGAGTATGCAGACAGAGAAAACTAGTAAATTAAAAAAAAAACAAAAGAAGAATTAACAATTTTATGAAGTATTTGAAGTACTTATGAAATTAACTAATGTTTCACCTTCAATGACTTCATAGATGTAATAATAAAAAGGGCTAAAGTTTGAGGTTCTATTGATGTACATAAAGTAATATTCCTAAGAAACAACTTAACAATTACTTTATCCTTAGATCCTTGCAACAGGCTGGAATTGTGGAATTGTATTATAGTAATGAAACAATATTTATGTGTCCCTTGAATACAGCGTAATGTGTGATAGACCATACCGCGCAACAATCGAAAGAGATTTACCGTTAAGGCTACACATGACAACGCCTTGGTTCAATAATTGGATTGTGTTTCGTGGCGATTGCTCTTCTATCATTGACAGTTAAAGCTTCATGCACTAACAATTTCGAGCTTAGGTCGCTTTTTCGTGAATCCATTGCATCATTCTCTCGCTAAGCGTGTATTTGTAACTTGTTATTGAATGGGGTTTGTCAATCAACATTTTACATTAATGATAATATGTGTATATATTGTATATGAAACAAGCCTTCAACAGTGGGTTGTTTTGAAATGAATAGTATTTAATTCTGTACGGGATCAAAATTGTGTTATCATAGGCTTAATTTGGGGACGTCACCTAATTTTAAAATATTTGACTTCCTAGTAACTTTACTTCTAGCATTAAATTAGTTTATGTGCCAAACCCAGTCTTATTAACAATTATTGAAGTTTGAAAATTATTAACATGCCTCCGATTTGCAAATAAAAATTAGTGCTGTATCAGCTCAATCGACGTCATGAATGCAGCATTTAAATTAACAAAAAAGTAAAAAGTAAAGTGACAGCCTATACATGTCCCACTGCTAGGCAAAGGGCTCCTCTATACAGAGGGTATCCACCACGCTGCCCCACTGCGGATTGGCGGACTTCACATATCTTCGAAAAATATATTTTTTTTGTTATTATTTCGAAAATATACAGGTTTCCTCACGATGTTTTCCTTCACCGCGGAGCACGTGATAAGTCAGCACTTAAAGTTAAAAACTTCATTGGTGCCGGCACCGGGGATCGAACTCAGGTTGCTCGAGTATATTGAATTAAAGGCGAGCGCCCTGACACTGAGCTATCACGGCTCAAATTGACAAATCCTGCACAAAATCCCCATTTCGAAAAACAACTCTATCAAAGCTGCCGAGGCGTAACAAGCGAACATAAATACAAACTAGCATTTTAATCTGACAAAAAAGGAGATGGTTCTCAGTTTGGTGGAATTGTTTTTGTTTGTCATCTTAGAATTTCGTGGCGCAGTTGCTAAGCCAATAATGAGTCGTGGGTTCGATTCCACACGGGATAAGTATTTGTCTGACCCATAAATAATTGTTCTTTCTTTTAATTGACGTCAGGCAGCCTAGTCAAAAACACTTACAACAGCATTTAAATGCTAGGCTGACCCCACCCAAAGGAATAAGGGCAGAAGGATGATGATGACATGTAGATAAATTCAGCGCAACACCGCACAATCAAATAGAAAATGTATATTTGAGCGCTACGTAACATTCCGCTCTGTTGCACGAATGGGCGGGTCCGTCCGGGGAATAGTCACGACCTCACAGAAAACCGGCAGGAAGCAGAAGTGTTATACTTCCGCGTTAAGTCCGTTCAGTGGGGTATCCGGGGCGTGGTCCATGCGGCGGCGGTTATCATTTTGATCAAAATGATAACCGCCCTACTCCGCTAGCCTGGAAAAAACCATTTAAAAGTATATTCATATAATAGTTTTGTTTTTCGTTAATATTTGTTATTTCGACGCAACGCCGTAGACTGTCGCCGTCGGTGATCGTGCGGGAGCGGCGGCTGGCGACCGCGCGCGCCACCGCCATGAACCCGCCGGCGCCGCGCCGCCGCGCGCCCTCGCCCGCCGCCGCGCGCCAGCTGGCCGCCAACCCGCCGCCGCCCGCCTCGCACCGCCACAAGGTGAGCTCCCACTAGCCCCGTTGCGCGGACGTGCTGGAACTGTATTGTGTCGGCCGGGGCCGGATTTAGGGGCAACAGCCCCGGGGCCCCCACAAACGAGGGGTCCCCACAACAGAGACACTTTGTACAAACGTGATAAGAGTGTTAACAGAAATCAATAGAAAATAAATTGGGGCCAAGAGGCATCCACTCCTTCGTAGACCTCCAGATCCCTAAATCTGGCCCTGGTGTTGGGTAGCGAGTCCCGACGCCCATTGTGACCTAGAAGATGTATTGTGGTCTTCGCTTCGAAAACATCGCCCCTTGCTGTGGGATAACATTGTCCTGTGTTGTGTGGACATGAATTTCACGTGGAAAACCCACAGATCCAAAACAAATTATCTGTGGGTAACACAAATTGTTGTCTCGTTTGGGGATCGAAGTAACAACCTCCATCGCCGAAGCCTTGCAATTGCACCACGGAGTTGTCTTTTGCTAACATACTTACTTAATCAAATTATTCGACCTCGTACACGAGCACAAGTAAAAGGTTAACCCACGTTCCAGGCTGCTCTTATCCACTCCCAGCTACCGCTTAATAAGATGGCGATTAACAACAATCATCGGAATCACTGTCCGTACCGAACCTCGATGGCCCATGAGAAATGCGACAATCGTAGAGACATTCTAAATTTCACTCTATGTTAAGTTATTATCCGTACAGTCATCCGTAGTCATCCCGTGGACATCTACATCTATGGGGTTGTAGATACTTTGTGAACCTATAAGTGTGGGGGCGCCGGCAACCACACTTTCTAAAATAAACTGAAAAATATAGTACTTTAACTCCATGCTCGATTAAAGCCGTGAACTTCCCTGGACGAGCCTGCCCCTGCGTTTTGATATTGCTTTCATTGTTGATATTAATTTTATATTACGTATTTAATAGGAGGAATCGGATCCATACGGGCGGAGCAAAGCGTCGAGTCGTAACAGAAATAGGAAGAAATATTCAAGATCATCATCATCCGGCTCTGGTAAATATTTAATAAATTGATTTACATGCATGCATATGGAAGGGAAATTTGTATTATCTACCAACCTGGCTGGGGATTAGTTTTAGTTTTAGATAGTTGCCTGTTCTGGATGGTGTATATACGCAGAAATTGTAGATCTAACTTCACTCAGGTGACGCAACCTATATAATTTCGGTCTGTTTTCAAACTAAGGCCTGGATGTATTTTCTGTATTTGTAACATTGTGGGTATTTAGTTGTATTGCCATTCTTCTTCATCTTCCCAATCCTTCAATGCTGGGGATCGTTTCATGGACAGCCCGATACATGCTACCGCCCACTGTTGCTTTCACAGCATGAGACCACCTTGCAGGCGCCCTGACCCGAGCGCGTTTGCCATCTATTTGGCCCAAGATAATGAGCCTCTCCAGATCATGTCGCGACGAACGCATAATGTGACCGAGAAGCTAAGGGCACGTTCTTGGCATATTCGTGAGAGTCGTTTAGTGATGTTCAGTTCTTTAAGGATAGATATTGCCATGTTTATATGATTCCCATTTGATGTCGTTCTTTTAGCCTTAGTTTAAATCGAGCCCATAAAATTTCGTTAATTGTATGAATGTAGGGATATTTTATATTACCTTTATTTATATTAAAATTATATTTATTATGAACGTTTATTAAAGCTAGCTGTTGAAATAAATCAATTCAATGAAACTCGTTAAAACTTGACATTATTAATACTTTCGCACTCACGTCCTACCAAAAAAGTGCATGCCCCGACCAGTTTCGGACCTATCGGAGGTACGTACTACGTAAGGGATGATATCGCACCTATCGATGAGTCGAGACGGCACCTGCACGGATTGGAAGCGAGATTATTATTATTTCGCTGGTAAAAACTTGTGTTCATCGCCTGTGTATCGCTTTCAGAGTCCTCGTCGTCGTCCAGCGAGTCGGAGAGCGAGTCGCATTCGTCGTCGACGTCGGGCAGCTCGGGCACGCGGCGGGCCCGGCACGCGCGCCTGCTCAACGCCGCGGCGCGCCCCAGGTACGAGGAGACCGTTTATTCCATTCCACCTTATACGTTTACGACCTCTTTGGCGGTGCGATCAAGCGCACCTCTGGCTGGTTTCTTTCATTTATTTAAAACTCAACTTAGGAGGAGAAGACAACCTGCAGAGATGGATGTTGAGGCAGGTACACAAATAGAATAATACGCAATAAGAGAGACAAATAATACATATAGTTTGGAGACCATTTTTTACATAACAGTATATACAAAATTAAAGGACAACTGGATAAAAAACAGTAAACTAAAATTATGTGGGGTCCAGCCAGAAGCTGCAAAAAATGCAACTTTTTAAAAGGAGTAAAATGCTTGTAAGGTTACCTTTAAAATGTGAAGCGACTCTTAGCCACCCTTATTTTGAGAGGTACCAAATTCCTCAGAAGACTATACTGGATGAAGAAATAAAAGAAATCACAACTACCTTTTTATTGTTTATCTGCGTATGGTCTAAGAAAGGAGAATTATATGTTATCATGAGAACAAAATTTTGTTCTCTGCGCTCATCTTGCGAAATTAAACAAAAATAGCATTTTGCGGCAAAATGAAACTGAACTAAACGTAATTAATGATTGTCGCAGATAGATTGATTACTCCTTCATCTTCAAATGGTAGCAATTATTTTTTGTAAATTTTGGTTTATATTATTGAAAATAAGAATTTTCGTTGCCTCTTCACACAAAATTGCCGATATCGTGATTAGTTTCGGTACGTTTTTCTTTTATTTAATAACGCCAATAGATTTATTTAAAAATATTTTATGTAAGCTGACAAGACAGAAAAGGGTAGAAAAAAAGCAATCAAAATGTTACTAGTCTCAAAAAAAAAAAAAAAAAGATCTAGTCTAATTTTTTTCATATTCACGCGTGAATCTTAATGCTATATTGATTGAGTTAAAGGTTATTTTACTAGTCACTGTCTCGACTTATTGCACAAATTTTTGTAATGAAAGATTAATTTACGCTCGGCCGCTGTCGTGAGTGGACACTGTCGTTTGTAAGCGGCAGCTCATGCTGAAAAAGCTCGCTGTATGCATACAAAATACATATTTGACATAACAAATTTGATAGTTCACACATTCTGAATGGATTATAGACAACCTGAATAAGAAGTAATTCACAATTTCTTATATTTTTGGTAGAAGTTTGTAGGGATCAAAAATTCATATTTCGTGTCAGTCTTGATGGAGTTACCATGAGTTGTACTTCAAGGACTGTTACTGGAATTAATAGACGAGTAGAGCTAGGTGTACCGAGTTTGGCCCTGTTATGTTAGTTATGTTGAGAACTTATCTTTGGATATGATGGAGTGACATGAAGGTGTACTTTGAGAACTCATAGAGCTATGTGTGTCGAGTTTGGGCTTGGTTCGTAAGTTATGTTAAGACCTTACATTCAGACTTCATGGAATGACTTGAAGGTGTTCTTAAAAAACTGCTATTGGAACTAACAGACGAGTAGAACCGGCTATAAGTTAAAGACCACTTGCTGGAAACTGTTAATATACTGATTTAAGATTTGTTTCATATTAATAACACAACTTAAGATGCTGAGTTGTATATATTGAAAGTTGAAACTCTTCAAATCTGTTAGATAGCGTGTGGACTGTACATCCATTAGCCACATCACTTGAGCTTAGAAAGCAAATAAAAAGCAAGCATCCAGACATTGAACTATCAGTTTATATTATTAAATCTTCACATTAATGTCATGTAAATACCGATAACACTGACCATCAATTCATGACGAACTATTTGTAATATATTATGACAGTTTGGCAATTGGTAATTTTGTTGATATTTTTTCAGGCTTAACGCTAAGACGAGTGCCGGTCTAGCGGCAGCTGTTTCAACAGTAGTCAGCAAAAAGGAGGGTCCAAGTGATAAAGGTAAGATGTGTTATCGTGGAATAGATTTTAATATGAACTACCTAGTATTCATGATGAAATTGAAGACATGAGCATCCTTTTAAACTAAGACCCTATACATGATACTAGTTACATTAAGACTAAAATTATATTAATCAAAAATAGGCTACTTAACTTTTTTAAAGTAGGTCTCAAATGATTAATCCGCCTTTGATTAGATAAAAAAAATATTACTAAATTTTTTGGGACCTACAACAGGGTAAAACTTTATTTTAAAATGAAGTTTTTCTAAACAGGCGAAAACGGCGTCCGCCATGTTAGTCTATAGATTATCTCTGTTGGACGACATTCGTATAGTAAACAATCATTTTACATTTTTAAAATAACCACACGCTTAGCCACATGCCGTGATAGCTCAGTGTCCGGGCGCACGCCTTTAATTCAATATACTCACTCGAGCAACCTGAGTTCGATCCCCGGTGCCGGCACCAATGAAGTTTTAACTTTAAGTGCTGTCTTATCACGTGCTCCGCGGTGAAGGAAAACATCGTGAGGAAACCTGCATATTTTCGAAATAATAACAAAAAAAAAATTTCGAAGATATGTGAAGTCCGCCAATCCGCAGTGGGGCCGCGTGGTGGACTTTTCCCTGATACCCTCTGTATAGAGGAGCCCTTTGCCTAGCAGTGGGACATGTATAGGCTACTACTTTTAGCCACATGCCAACTTAGTAATTTTCTTCCTAAATTTAGGAAGAAAAAATGTACATTAGAAGTTTTTTAGGAGGTAATTTTTTTGGGAATATTTTTAGGAGTTAAATTTTATTTACATCTTTGGAAAAAAAAATTGACCACTTATTTGAACAAAAAATATAATTTAAAAGTGTTGGCTGCATTAGTGCACATCAGGCCAAGGCCTATGTGGTAATATTTTAAATTCCTCCGACCTAAACTATAAAAGTGAATATTTTATGTCTTAGTCAAGATGTAAAAAAATTGTAACTGAGTATTAAAATATATTAGTCATTAGTAACCACATTTATTTACTTATTAAGCATATTTTTTATATTTTTTTAAGCAATATAAAATTCCAAAAGATGATAAAACTGTCGTCGGATATGTTTACATTATAAATGGTTATTTTAGTTTATGTATTCTAATGATTAGTATTTATTTTTTAACAGTTGGTAACACTGATATCATTAACAATGGCTTGTTTACAAGTTATGTGACGTCATATCATGGCCGCAAGCGTTTTCAGCGTTTAGAAAAATAATAAAAACACGTAACACAAAGTAACGAAGATGTCGGTCAACAAACTGAAGAGAAAATTTTGTAATAATTCAAGTTCAATGTCCTTAGATACGGCCAGCGCGGCCATCGATACTACATGTAAATCTTCCTATTGAATCACTCTATATTTTGCTGAAAACTGAATTAAACCATAGCTTTAAAATTCTAAACGTATAAAGCGGGAGCGGCTTTGTTTGTATTATGTAAAGATTATATGAAACATCTTATTTTCAGAGATTGCTGGGAAGAAACGCTCTGCAACGTCACCCATAAGCGGCGGCGCACCGGCTAAAAAATCTGTCTCAAGGAGGGAGGAGTTATTAAAGCAGTTAAAAGCAGTTGAAGATGCGATAGCTAGGAAGCGTTCAAAAATATAAAAAAAAATGTATTTAATCGCCATTTATTATGACACAAGTAAAACATATGGTTGCCTTATAGTTCAATTACTATGATGAGACCTAATGTTGAAATGTTGCTGTAATTGCTAAGTAAGGCATTCTGGACAGGGGTTTCCTTGCGCTACTTTCGCTTATGTGGGATTAAGATGTATTTTCGTAGTACGCGAGTGTAAAATTAAGCTATTTTTGTATTTATAATTTGACTTTAAATTCTTAACGGACTATGTATAAGATAAGGTCTTAAAAAGTAGGTTATAACATGTAGACGTTTCATTATCACTTGAACATAATAATATTGTAGCAACTCAACATATTGTTCTTATTGCAACAAAGCAATTTCAAGTTCTTTGTTCATCACAAACTTGATAACAGGGAATAAACCTATTACAACAAAATAACCGCAGACAACTCACTTAGAATATTAATAAATATTAAAGAAGTAATAAACAAAATCATTTACAAGATGTGTTTTTTTAATGTTTTATTTCATTTTGTTGTTATATTATTATTCTAAAGGTCTTAAGGTAATAGCCATCTTCAAAAGTGGGGATAAAAATGATCCAGGCAACTATAGACGTATTTCCATCACTACGTAAAATTTTTGAAAAATTAATTTTAAACCGTAAAATTTTTCATGATGAGCAATATGGATTCACTGAAGGCAGATCGACAACAGATGCGGGTGTCGCACTTGTCAAACATTATAATGCCTGGGAAAGGTATAGGTGTCTTTTGCGACCTTTCAAAAGCTTTCGACTTAATATAATAAAATCCTACAGTTTATATTAAGTCTGCCGCTTGATCAATTTAAACGTAAAATCAAAAGTCAACTTATGGTTAAAGCATATTACACCACTGCGGAATATCTCGACGACGCCAATGTGTGGAGTTAATACTCGCGTAGGTTTGAATAAGACTATTATACCGGTATGTTCTATTGTAAACTGATATTTTTGAAAAAGAGCAACTGTTGAGCTTTCCGAACCGGTGGTACCTTACGAACCTATATGTATTAATTTTTTATGTAAAATTTGACGATTCATAAGAACGCGCAACCGTCTGTTTGAATAAAGATATTTGATTGATTGATTGATTGACACTTGAAGAAATCGAAAAGTCTATTTGCTTGTGTTTAGCGAAAAAGTATCCCCCCGCGCTTTCCCTATTCTATATCTCTTGATCGGGCTGAGCAGTCGCCCAGCAGCGTTTGTCAGAAGTGGTTATGTCGACGTGTGATATGAAAAGGAAGATTCAGATGGTGAAGAAACGGATATCTGAGGAGCATGAATCCAACGTGGCAAATCGTTAACAATCACATTGTAATCTCCTAATATATAAAATTCTCGTGTCACGGTGTATGTAATTGAACTCCTCCGAAACGGCTCGACCGATTTTCGTGAAATTTTGTGTGCATATCGGCCAGGGTGGAGAATCGGACAACATCTATTTTTCATCCCCCTAAATGTTAAGGGTGGTCCACCCCAAACATTTTTTTCTACCCTACAAATAATTTATATGGCAAAACAACGTTTGCCAGGTCAGCTAGTAACATCTATTAAATCATATTCACCTTCCAAAGATGAGTCCAAAGATTCTTTATGAAATAATTATGAGGAAATTTACTTTATTTGAACCAATGTAAGGTTGCATTAATAGGGAGAAAAAATAAACACTAACACAGAGTAGTATGGATGAAATTGAGCTAAATACTTTCCTTAGCCATCTTTCTATATTCAACGGTATATAAGTCCAACCACGGAGACTGTATTCTGTTGTTTACGAATGATGGTAGCGGCCGCGATATTTGCAGATTTATTCGTACCTTTGATATCAAAAACTAATTGTCTTTGATATCAAAGGCTCATAGCAGATAAAATTAATATTTTATACTATAGATAACTACACGTATGCTTGAAAAATCAATAAATAAAAGACGTCCTCGTTTTTTTTTGACGTTGGTATTTCGTGAATATAAGTTGATTAGAGACGAGTTGTTGTGTATTTATCAATTATAGTTTTAATTAGATTTACGTAAGTGTGCCAAATATAACAGTTGGATCTACGATTTTTTTGAACGGGGCAGAAACTTTATAGAGGCGCCCCTCTCTCCAGCGTTTGAGATAAATTATTTTTAATAAGCTCGCAAATATAATATCATGCTTGGCATTTTTTGTGACTAGAGCAGTATTTTTTATTTATTTTTAAAAAATGCATCTATACTGTGACGTTGAATGATGCACATATTATTGTTCTAATTTACCAAATTTGTTGTTATTAATTAGTAGTTAAATTTTTTAAGAGCAATGGCGACATTTCTCGTTGCAAATATTCATCGTTGAACGTTATTTGTAAGGTGTTTGATGCGGTAAGGGATACCCTAGTACGCGCCACGGATTGTTAAAAATGAATGCAATAAAACTAACGTAGACAGATGCTAAGAATTTCGCGCCGTGACGTAAGATAAGACATAGGCTTAGCAACTGCTAACGAGCTTAGTTGGTAAAGCGTCTGGGCGTGAAACTAGAAGACGCGAATTTCGCGGCGCTGAAAGTTTTACAATTTAAAATCAATGGATGCAGTGGCACAGTTGCCAAGGTATTGGCTTCGACGTTGAGGGTAGTGAGTTTAATTCCCACGCGGGACAACTATTTGTCTGGCCCTCAGATAATCGTTTTGGATCTGGTTGTTTGTCCAACTTGTGAAATTTATGGAGGTATGTATAGTCCTAACAATTAAAAAAAAAAAAAGTAAAGTAACAGCCTATACATGTCCCACTGCTGGGCAAAGGCCTCCACTATACAGAGGGTATCAGGGCATAGTCCACCACGCGGCCCCACTGCGGATTGGCGGACTTCACATATTTTCGGAATATATATATTTTTTGTTATTATTTCGGAAATATGCAGGTTTCCTCACGATGTTTTCCTTCACCGCGGAGCACGTGATAAGTCAGCACTTAAAGTTAAAACTTCATTGGTGCCGGCACCGGGGATCGAACTCAGGTTGCTCGAGTATATTGAATTAAAGGCGAGCGCCCGGACACTGAGCTATCACGGCTCAACAATAAAGGATAATATAATCCTACCGTAATTGCCGTATTTTTTAAACATGGTCTATGTTTAAAAATATATTATATTATTATTGACTGCAACAATATTGTGTACACTGCGTCCGTAAACTAGTGCCTAAAAATTACAATGTGGGCATCAATGATGGCAACCATTGATGAGATTAGGTTTAGAGGCCATCTCATCTCATTATCTTAAGAAAAAAAATTGAGAAAATTTAGATTGATACTAGTTCATATTTTCTTATTAAGAATCTGGAAATGCAATATTAATGAATTTGTAACATAAAAAAATTTGAAAATGTGAAACTCCTATAGTTTCTTTTACTTATTATATAACAATGTATCAATAATAGATAGAAACATAATTTTTTGAACAATATTAAGGATCACAACTCATAATATAACAAAAATATAATGTCAATACTTAATGTTAAAAGCATGAAGTTCAATGAAATAATGTTTTCTTCATCTTTAAATTAATTATTGCTTACTTCATGAATCATCATTATATAATTAGACATTTTGAATAACTTGAATTTGAGCCAGGTGATACTTTCGAGATGAAATATTTCTTACAATCACTTTATCTTGTCTACTTTTTAAAAGTTCAACTAATGCATTAAATGCTATGAAACCATTTCCAATACTGATTCCTTCTGTAAAACTAAATGCTCCATGACATACATAACCTATAATGGATCTTGAACATGTTTCCCGAACTGTACTTATATTTGATGGAAGCCAAAGTTCTCTCATACTTTTAACATACTCAGAGACCCCTGTTTGCTTAAGTTTATGCTTTACAATTTTTACCTGTAAGTTAATAAGAAATAATTAAAGTTTAACATTTATAGGAAATATTGTAAAACAAATAAAAAAAATTACCATATTACTCTTTTCTTTAAATTTTCTTCGCTTTTTTTTCAATTGCTTTAAAAGTAGCCTGTGTTGTTTTCGTTTCTCTTTCCTTAATTTCTCCTTGTTATCTTCATGTAGAGGTTCAAATAACTCTTTAATATTTTCAATGTCATTTTGTTGTGGAAGGCATACCAGAGCATGTTGTTTTAAATTGCCTTTGCCTATCATTTGCAAACACACAGCCACTAAACAATATACAGCCTTATCAATATGTGGTGGCGCCTTTTTAGCTGTTATGCAGTTCTAGAAGAAATAAATAAAACTAATTTAAGAAATAATTTACAACATAACAAACAATACAAATTATGTAAATTTCTTCAACTAGCTATGGCTATTATAAGGCATAATACAATTTGTGATTTGGTTTATATTAAGATTACAGCTTGAATAAACGAATGATTCTTAATTATTCAAAATATCTTTATTAAAATTATTTATGAAACATTGATATTTTACATTAAAAATAAAATACGAAAAGTTCTTAAGTAAGTTACCACCGGTTCAGAAATCTTTTTCTATTGAGAAGAAACTGAAACAGCACTTTTTTAAAAAGATCAGTTTAGAATATAACATGGTACACCTTCTTGTATTAACTGATGTTTTTGCTTTCAGTCCCGAGACTATTAAAGCTTTATCTGACGCAGAAGCGATGGGCTAGCCAGAACCCACAGGTTTGGGCCCTCCGCTGTGGGTAGGGCCACGCATGTGCTCATGCGTGCGTTTAACTATGGTGTGTCATCTAAGGGCCATCGAGATCGTGGTTCGGACCGAAACCCCGATGGCCGTCGACTGTGCAATTAGCTAATCGGTGGCTGGGGGCGGTGAGAACCGCCCCGGAACGCGGGTGTACCTTGTGTACGCGTTGTGTTGGTCTCGCCGTGCTCGGAGGCGAGGGCGAACTAGTGTGTTTGTTGTTGCACTAACTGTGGGTGTAGTGTTGTTCGGCGGGACCCCTGGCATTGGGTCCGGCGTGTCTAAGTCCCCTTCCTCGACCGGGTCGATTAGGACGTTTCGCGGGCGACGCTTGTTGACGTTCGCGTTTTTGTCGGGTTGGTAATTTGCTGCGCTTACCACCAGAGGGTTGGGATGATGTTCGGCTCTATCGAAGAACCGTTTGGTCAGGTCTTTAAAATATTCGCGAATCGTCGGGGGAGTCTGCAATCGCTGTGCAGGTCGACGTTGCGTTGATACCACTGCGCACCGGTTGCGCGGCGGATGAACTTATTTTGTACTATTTGCAACTTGTACAAGCGAGTAGGGTGCGTGTGGGCGAAGGTCATGCATGCGTAAGACATAATAGGTCGTACGCAGGTCTTATATAATAATAATTTGTGCCTTAAGGGCATTTTACTTTTAGCGTTAGTTAAGTTGTGTAGCCGGCCGGAGACGATAGCGGCTCTATTGCGAACGTTATTAATGTGCGTAGTAAATGACATACGCGAGTCGAAAGTGACTCCTAAGTATTTGACCTTTTTCTCCCAGGGGAGCGGTTGGCCATAAAGGGATATTTGCCCCAACTTTCTGCATTGACGAGGGCCATTATAAAGATGTGTCGGGTAAGTACTTCGTGTGAAGTGAATCGCCACACTCTTTTCGGGATTTATTTCTATTCTCCATTTGCGGAACCAATCGCCGAGGCGGTCGGCAGCGCTTTGGAGTCGAGTGGTTAGTTGTCTAAGGTTGCGGTCTGAATAAAAGAGCGCCGTGTCATCCGCGAAAAGCGTGAGATTGACGTGGGGGTCTTTAGGTATATCGCTCGTGTAGAGCGTAAAGAGCAAAGGTGAGAGGCAGGAGCCTTGTGATACGCCGGCGGTGAGGCGGCGGCTTGTGGAGAGGGTGCTTTCAACTCGTTATCGAAAAGAGCGGTTCGACAGGAAGGCCTGGATGGTGTGTACGAGCCTATCTGGCACTTCGAGTGTGTACAGCTTGTAAAGCAAGCCGTTGTGCCAGACCTTGTCGAATGCTTTTGCAACATCGAAGAAAAGAGCCCCTGTACTAATATGTTTAGGGTGATTTAGGCCTTTTAGGATATGTTCCGTTAGGCGGAATAGTTGATCGGGACAGGAATGAATAGCTCGAAAGCCGAATTGTTCCGCCGGCAGAAGGCCGTTGGAAAACACGTGCTCATTGAGCCTGTTTAATAAAAGCCGCTCGTAGAGCTTCCCCAGGCAACTGAGGAGGCTAATGGGACGATAGCTAGAGGGCTGGTTGGCTGGTTTATTCGGCTTGCGAATGCCGATAACCGTGGCTTGTTTCCAGTCGTCCGGAAAGGAGCAACTGGAGAGCAGAGTGTTGAAAATGGTCGCCAGTAAACAGATAAGCGGCCCAGGGAGAGCTTTGAGAATTTTGTTACTGATCTTATTTGGGCCCGGGGCGGATTTCGGTTTTAAATTTTTAATAATATCTTGGACCTCTTCGGGGGTCACTGAACTTAAAGGATCGCCTTCCGGTGGAAGCGCAGCCCTAGTCTCGATTACACGGTCCACCTCCGTTAGGTGGGCTGTATCGATGTGTTCGCGCGATGGCGTACATTGCTGCTCTAGGTTGTCCGCAAGGCATTCGGCTTTTTCGGAGTCATCTAGGGCTATTGAAGCGCTATTAGGTCTAACTAACGGCGGTAGAGATTCGCGGGGGTCTGCTTTCAGACTGCGGACCAACCTCTAGGAGAGTGTCCCACGTTGTATGTCGGTGTTCCGATACACGATCTTTGACTTCTAGCTGAAGGCGTCGAAGTAGGGTTCGGTTCGATTCCGATCGGTATCGGTCGAAAGCGCGTTTGGCTGCATTTTTCTGCCTAATTAGGAGTCGCAGGTCGGGTGGAAAGTTAAACCGTCGATCGCCCGACAGTTTAACCGTCCGTTCCGAGTCTGCGACTGTGGAAGTGATGGTTTCTCGGAGACTTGCTATCGCTCGATTTGCGTCATCGAACGTAGCTATCGTCTCGGGTAGGTCGACTAAGTCCTGGGGGTCCAAGGCCTTGAGTTTGACCTCAAGACGATGCCAGTCCACTACGGATTTGGTCGGAGGGACCGCGCCGGCGTTCTGGCCCAGTTTACACAGGACGGGCCTGTGATCTGAGTCTAGTTCATGGATTGTCTCTATCGACTCGATGTCGAACGAGACCTCCTTGAGTAACATGATATCTAGGATACTCGGTGTCGCGTGTTGGTGGTTGTCCACCGTAGGATACCTAGTGGGAGTCGCAGGAGCAATTATGCTAAAGTTTAAATTATCGGATAAGCTAAAGAGATGCTTTCCGTTGTTATTTGGGATGCTGTGGATGTCCCATGAGCCGTGTTTGCAGTTTAGATCTCCTGCAATTATTACGGAAGGGCCTAAGTTGAGTAGCGTATCTAGGTCGCTTTGTAATAAGGTTTTGTTCCCCGAGAGGTAGGCTGAGACTAGTACAAGCGGCCTATGGCCGGTGAGCGCTAACCTACACGCGGATGCCTCTATATGGCTTAGCTCTGGAATGTCGAGCGGGCTACAGTGCAAGGACCGTTTGTAATAAATTAAGGTGCCTCCCAGACGGTTTGCCCTCCCGGTCGTGGCGGACTATGTTGTAGTTTGCGATTCTGGGATCGCGTACACTAGGTTTTAAGAATGTCTCTTGCACTAGAAAAATATCTACGTTATAATCGCGAAGGAATTCCGCGATTTCGTCCCTTTGACCCTTTATGCCGTTTGCGTTGAAATACGAAACAACCAGAGCCCGAGGTTTTGTTCTACCTGCGGTTGTACTTCCCATTAAAGTTTTTTATGAGTTCTAACTAACGACGCGGCGGAGCGCGGTTTTATTGCGCGGACTATTAAGTTTATGGTTGGCTTGTAAATGCCCAGAGGGCTTCTACAAGCATTTTATGTTCGCTAATGGCTTTAAATCGCGCGTTGCCAGATGTGGCGGCCGCTATTTTAGCGGACAATACGGCGAGTTCTTGTCTATTAATGCGGTCTAATAAGGCGCAGATGTTGGTAATTTGGGCGAACGGGTCTTCCTTGTTTTCGGCGAAAACCGACGGTGTCGACTGCACCTGCGGCGTCGGCGCCGTTTGATAGGCGGGCTGCGATAGAGTGATCGGTCGTGAGGCGACCGGGGGCGCAACTACCTGCGCGGCCATCTGCGGTTTCGCCCAGGCGTTTACGACGGGTACGGGCGCGGGAACGTATTTCACGGGCGCGGGTTTGGGCAAAGTAGATTTCGCGGGAGCTTTTCTCGCGGGAGTTTTAGGGGCCTTAGCGCAGCCCCTGTAGCTAGGCGGGTGGCCGGTGGTATGACAATTAACGCAGTCCGGTGGATCTGCGCAATCTTTTGGCCGCGTACAATCGGGCGTGCCGTGGTCACCGGTGCATTTGACGCACCTAGGGTGAGCGAAACAATTATTAGCTGTGTGGCCATAGTGTTGGCAGTTGTGGCACTGCGCCACAACTCCCGATCTTCGCGGGGGCTCGATCACGAGGTCGCTGAGCCCACAGACCCTCTTCAGGTTGAAGATGGCCTTACCTTCCGGGGTAGGGTCAAGTTCAACCATCACCATGTCCATAGGGACACGGGTTCTGGGGTGTCTGAGGCGTCGGACGGCATGCACAGGGTATCCCTGAGTGCGGATGTCGGTTTTCGCCTTGTCGACATCTGACTCTTTGGGGACGTCCTTGATAACTACCCGAAGCTTGCGTTCTTCGGGCAAAGAGTAGGTGTGAAAACCTATCTTATTTTCGCGCAAGTATTTCGTTACACGGCGGAAATCGTCCGTTGTGTCAAGGTATACGCGGATACCCATTTGTGTATTTTTCGACCGGAGGTCGCGGATATTGTGGCGTTCAAACCACGAAGAAATTTGGTGCCACTTAGCCTTCTCCTGAATGATGATGGGTGGAGGAGGCTTTATTTTTCGCTCGGAGGCGAATTCGGGCATCGGTTTAGCCGCCGCAGCCGCCTTTTTGGCGGGCGTCGCGGTGGGTTGGTTAGTTGAAGCTTCGGGGTCGCAGGTCGGCAGCGGGGCGTTTTTTGCCCTTCTTACGCGACTTTACGACGGTGAAGCCGTCGACGTTCGCGTTTTCAGCGGGGGTCGTTTCGACCTCCATGTCCGATCCGCCGTCCGATTGTGAGTCGGGAACGACGGCGCGGAAGGGGGCCGAGATGGGATGCGCGAAAGGCGCGATGGGTACGATCGCGGCGGCGGAGGTCGACGCGACGGGCTTTTCTTGTGTCGCTGAAGGCGACGCATTAACGGGCGCTGAGAGCGCCGGAGATGACGGCGAGGCGACTGCCGGTGAAGCCGGGCTGTCGCTGGCGAACTCGACGACTAAACATTTTTATTTCGCGAACGCGAGAAAGTTTGCCCACACTTCGGGACATCGTTGGCGAAGGAATTCCTCTAGGAGGGAACCCACTTCGAGCGCTTGAGCCTTTGGGGCTTGCGCCCCGCCGACGTGTAAGTTACTAAATAGGCCTCCCCACCTTGCGGCAGGGAGGTGTGTGCCTAAAACTAACAACTAATCCGCCTGCGCTTTAGGTGCGCTAGGGTGGGTACCTAGCTGTCGCCTATCGCAACAAGCACACAGTTATTAAATAAAAACAATGCCGCCTCTGAGGCGAGAAGTGTGTATAGAATTCTACTACAGAACAGGAACCTGCCTACGAGCACAACACTAACACTAAACTACTGCACTGCTTGCACAAAGATTTAAATTGCAACCGAAGTTGCGAGTAGCGTCTAATTCGGGTGGCATTAGCCCTTCGACTTAGAGAGAGATCCGTTCCGTACGAGAGCACGAAGCGGAATGAGCACGAAGCGGAATGACATGGTACAGGTACATAATTTGATACAAATAGAAATGAATGACAAGATGATAGTTATCATTGATGAAGTTGACATTGTGATAATTGTGAAAACACAACCACACAATGAAGTATTTTTTATGTGAAACATTGTCAGGCGGTTCACCTGATTATAAATGAATACCGCTGTCCCATGGAAATCTGCAACACACGATGGCTTCCTGATGCGTTGACATGTATCTTTAAAAATTTGGGCCTTGTCACGTCAGTCCCCATACGAAACGCGAAAGTTCAATACTTCCACTTCACGCTTCTGTTATGTCAGCCAGTAGTTCTTCCCCAGACCAGCCTGCTCTTTCGTTCAACAGCAGAAGCTCTTGCAAGACCCTACTACAGTAAATCTGTAATCACACTTACTTGCAAATCATTTATTAACTTTTTATCTCGCAAAACAAAAAAATCATCAACATTTTCACCACTCCAGTCACTTAATAAAATTTTCCAAGGGCATATAAATGGGCTGTTTATCGCAATTTTTTGATAATTGACTCTTTTACTTGGTGGTCGACGAAAATATTTCTCTCTGAGTTCCTGTTCTATTCTTTTTTCTTCTAAATTTCCTGCTGTAGAATCTGGTGGTAAGTTGATTTCAGACATTTCAAAAGATAAATTTCTTGATTCACGGAGACCCCCACAACGAGCCCCAAACATTACAAAAGTCTGCCAAAAAGACATAGCATATCCAGCAGGCATAATTATATCCCAGCCACTTCCATAACCTTTAAAAAATAACATGAGACTTTTTACTAAATCATAGGCAAAATAAGAACATTACATTATGTCTTAATTAATTATGTGTTTTATGTTCACAAAAAAGTAATAATACTTCTTGTCTCTTTCCTTAATCTCAACATGATCCCCGTGTAACCCTGTTAATATGTGTTCCAAATTCAATTATAAATGGGCACCAGTGAATGGCAAAGTTGATAAGTTAGGGAAAAATATTTAACTTTATTATAAAACATACTGATATTTTAATAATGGATTATAACACAAATTAAGCCAATTATTTCAAACTACCTTTCGTTGAGTGTTGATCTACTTGTCCACTCCTGGATTCTGTTTTATCTTCGAATTTTGGGACACATTGTATATCCTATATATGGAAATACATATTATAGATGTTAGTAAATATCAGGTATAAATACAGGACTAATTCAGCTTATTCAATTTTGCAAATCTGATTGATTTGTCTTTTGTTAGACATGAGAAAGAGAAGACATGAGACGAGAATATTGAGGAACTTAAGTTTTTGGACCCTTCTATCATTGGATCGAATAAAACTTTGGAGTTAGACAGAAGGCTTAGAAGGAAAGACAGAAGGAAAATTAGATTTAGTCTAATGTAGATTACAAATTTTAGGAAATGTAAACTCCAATGAAGAGTGTATTCCTTTAACATAGTAAATAATAAAAATAACTTAAGTTTGCAATTTAGTATTTGTGTTATCCAATTTTCCAGTGTGGGCCCCACAAAAATTACTTGTTAGAATTTATATACAAAGCTATTTAAATGCTTATGCGGTTATCACTCAGTTCCAATTATCACATAAAATTAAAGGTATTCCTGTACTGATATAACAAAACAAATATTTTTAAGTATCCCATTTTGTGTATAATTTGTGTTTGTAACAGGGACCATATACACAAAAGCTAGCATAGTGTGGTAAAATTGTTAGGTACACACTCTTCTGTGGGATCATACCTCATGTTTTACATACACTTGCCAGCATTATCTAAATATGTGCCATGTATGCATTCAAAGGCAATGTTTTAATTTTTATAACAGGATTACATTGGAATAAGATTAAGGTACTAAACAACCAGAAGAGAAAACTAACATTGTAACTATAAACACTTGATATTAGTAGCTGAGTAATGTACAAGTCAGATGAAATAAAATATTACCAACTAAATAGTGTCATGGAAAACATACCAATTCTTTTGTAATTTGAAACTTGAGAGCCAGGCCTTTGTATTAAGACTACAGGAATATTTTGCAATACTGGATCATTTTCATTTATTTCTCCAGGCACCAGTTGAGTTTTAGTTGTGTGTTCTATAAATTGTCCATTAGTCATTTGTTTCTGCTTAATATGTTCATGAAGCATTGGATTCCAAAGAGGTGAGTATGAAAGATATGGTGGACTTTCAACTAATGAAGCAATATTGACATCTTCACTGTCATTGTTTTGTGCTTTAGTACGGTAAGATGGTCTACTCAGGCGAGGGTCTTTGATGATTAACCCAATAACCACATTAGGTGGCAATAAAGATGGAGAATTAGCTAATTTAGCGTTTTCCCAATATTCATATTTGAGATTGACCTGTAGAAATGATAAATTTTTAATGTGTGAAATCCAACTATCTTCTGGTAAATTATTTAAATTTGTTATACATTTAATAGTATTATTTAAAACTGCATGACTTTTCGGTCCAATCAAGCGAAATCTGTTAAACTTTCCAGTCATAATGTTAACTTTTATATCAGAGTATTTGCCACAAATTTTTCGTTTTTTTTTCTCATGTTCATAAGCTGAACTTTCAGGCTCATAGCTAGTTAAGGTCTGAAATACACTTTCTATTTCTTTTATTTGAGAAGGGTGAGCAAATAACCATAGTTCTTTTTTAGATTCATCATTTTCGACCCAAATAAATTGGACCTTGCCAATGTATCCCAGTGGATAAGAATCGGGGTTAAAAATATGAACTGTCCCTTCTTTTCTCCCTTCTATATATGCCTTTGCATTGACAGTTAGTCCACATGATTTATTTGTGATACGGTTGAACATACCAGCAATCATATCAACAGGACCAACAACTTGAACAGGAATATAATATGAAATATCCTGCAGTAAGCAATGTGCAGAACTGGCTCTGTAACATGCTCGAAAAGCTTTGTCACAGGGGCGTTCAGGTAATCTGTATCCCCAACGCTCAATCATGTGGAATCTTTTTGCATGCCAAATGTGTGTTTCTAACCAAATATTCCTCCTTTGTCGCCTATTGTATTCTTTTAACAAGTTTGCAGGACGCCGTCGATACTTTCTAGACGGGCGTTTTTGCTTTGGAGGAAGACCACTCTTTTTTAGCTGCTCTATATGTCCTTCGCGCAGTTTCCTTGGTAAACGTTTCTGGTTATGGCTCATCACCCTACGCCTCATATGAACGGGTAGTGTTTGGAAAATTAATTTTGTTTTACTTGGCCGAAGAATGCTTTCTGACATTGCTGCAATTTCAACACTTCTCGAAACAGCAAATTTAAAGCTGTTTGCTGAAAACGGCAAATGTTCTGCACCACCCACGGTGGCATCAAATTGTGAAAACTCCATTGCCATTAAGATAAATAATAATATTTTTTCAATTTAATTAAAACTTCTAGGATTTTTAACTTAAGATTTCAGTAATGTTTATAAAAAACCGTGCTTGCCACATTTCAATGACATTGACAGTATCAAATGTCAGTCTTTAACTCCGTACTGTTAGCTGTCAAAAAGGCTTCTGTTTCGTTCCGTATTTTGCCAAATAATAAATGTGTTACAATTCTTTTTTGTGTAAGTGAAAGTTGCTGTTAACCCACCCACTTCGATAGATACACGTATGTTTCAAGAATTTTGTGGTTAAATATCCTGTGGAGTCAGGAGAAACAACGTAGTTGGTGTACGGCGATAATATGTAGCCGTCCACTCCGCGACCTTTGTAGGCGAACCGGACAATGTACAATTCGACTAGTAAGAGGAGACTCGACACGATCCAAGTGATTAGAACCTCGGCACGGGCTACAACCGACAGTGGAACCTATCCAGGAGAAGTTAAAAATATCAATACTGCAGTAAAAAAAATCACGAGATGTAAAACTAAATTATGATGTCAAACTAAAATTGCGAAACCAATGAAATTACATACGATTTGTTTACGCGAATATTACACTTGTTTGTACAAATTGTAAGTATTAAACTAATTTTTTCGCGCCTAATTTTATTTCGAATCCTTAGTCTCCAGTACTTAGATGGTTTTTAATCCAGAATGTTATATTTAGTTACTACCGTCAACTTTTAACTTTTTTATTTCAAATTTCGAACTACGCAGAAGAAACGAACAGTATCTTGATGTAATATAAAATATTTAGTTTAATTATATATATGGTTTGTTCATTGGTTGTTAGTTCAAATTAAATCGATCACAATTTTCCTCGAAATTTAAAAAAATGGATAGCCTATTGAAAAAAACCCGTTTTACCGTAATTAAAATACGTTACTAGATACAATATTCATTGATATTAAACGTTAGATAATAATTTTATTAATTACCTTAGATTTAGGTTTCTTATAATCGTATTATTTTATATTGGAGCTTCAAAGTGAAGAAACCTTGGTAATTGGTATTTAACATTATCAGGAAAGCTATAGTGAAAAATTTTATTTTAAAGAACAAATACGTTGAACAGAAGTAAGAACATGTCTTTAGTTCTAACTATGGAGTTCAGACATTTTAACTTCTAAGTTGGAATATTTATTTTCTAACTTAGCCAAAAGTTGGTTATTTATATTTTAATAATTATTTTGAGGGTACTTCACTTCGTCTTCTTACCGTTATAATATTACATTTTAATGGAGACTTTTTCAGTTTTAAAGACATGAGATTTACTTGCTCTTTACATTATCTACTCGTCATTCTATACATTCCATTCTTCAGATATATAAGGAAAATCACATTGATTTCATATTATAATTGATTATCACTTTAACTTAATAACACTGATTTCTTATAATGAAAAATTGCAATGTTAATAATATATACAGAGTGGTTTTCTAAAGGTGCCCAATATCACACAGGAGGTTCAGAGTCAGACTTCGGTAGTATAATCACTTATTGAAATAAAACAAACATTTTTTTTCAAAAAATTGCCATTCTATTCCCTAAAAAATAGAACTTGTTGACAATGTGGTAGTCATTCATAGATGCGTCGCATACTTTTTAAACGAACTTGTGTGCGTCTTAGTTATGAAGTTATGAATGATCGCGCGAGAAATACATGAGTTGCCCATAAATCACATACTTTTTGTGATAAGTTCAAATGAATATAAATAATTAATTACGAGTGATTGATGTAAAAGTTTATATTTCTATAATTAAAAAAATGAATACACTTGGAAAAGCCTCCCTGTATATAAATTAATATTTATAATAAATTTAATGGTATTTAATAATCCATTTTTTAAAATAATAAAATGTTATCGCAAGTTTCACAGCGTTTTTATGTGAATTTGTAATGTGTAATTTTGCAAGCCTGCTAGCCAGCAGGTGATAGGCGTCGATCATAGAAATCAACACCTTATACACTGCAAATGCGTTACCAACCATTAAAAAAGTGTGCCCTAGTTAGCTTACTCAAAATACACGAAAGTAATATACTTCTAAATTAAATAATGATTTGAAAACAATAATTAAAATGAGTTATGTAATTATGTTTTAATTTTGTTTGTTGATAAGTGTGACATGTAACAATCATTCGAATTTTGTTAGGAAACTTATTTAAGAATATAAAACACATTACACCGTACTTGTAAAATTTTTATTTAAATATTGTATCATCATCATTCAGCCCTTTAAAGTCCACTGTTGGACATAGGCCTTCTCCACAGACTGCCACGAAGCACGATCCTGACCCATCTGTATCCACAATTAATTTATGGGCTTCAATTAAGATTTCTTTTTCTAATTTTTAATATTGTCATAGTTATTAATATTAATGTGCATTTCAGTTTACATCATTCTTGTTTTCTTTTACGAGTTTAAGGTTTACCTACACGAATTCTCGGGAATCAAATCCAGGATTAGCGTGATCAAAGTGTACTGTAACCTCGTCAGACTTGCATTAATATAATATTTCATTATTTTAACTGAAAGTAAAATTGTACATCATACATTAACATTTGTTAAGACATAAATAGTTCTTATGAATATATTATTCAGTAGTCTGATATGTTATTGTCATTCGTATTACACATTTTGCATGTCGTCCATCATTCTAAGAGAATAACTGACACGGATGAACTAATTGGGAATAAGGTAAAAAGGACAGGGATACAAAAATCTAGCCTGCCATTATTGCTGGATGAAATTATTTAGACACGAATCCACACGATGATGAAAGACAGTGTTAAATTTTAAATTGAAGTTTAATTTCCCCAAGTTTCGCACATTTTCCAGTCTCCCTAACATAGTTAATGATGTACGGTATAAGCTTACTGTAAGCACTGCAGGCGGTGTTGGTGTGTTTGAATTTAATTTCATAAACTACTAGATCCGACTGTGTTGGTAGTTACTGTGGTAGGGCCGCGCAAGTCTTCGCGGTGCACGAATGGGCAGATCCGTCCGGGTAAGTACCACGACCTCACAGAATACTACCGTGAAGTGGAGGTGTCACACTTCTGCGTTTCGTATGATGAGTGAGGTGGCCGAAGCCCAGTATATTATAAGGTGGCAACGCATCTGCAATCTTACGGGTCTTACAAATGTCCATGGGTGGCGGTTATCACTTTACATCAAGTGAACCTCTCGCTCGCTTGCCACCTTCACAAACTCAGGTGCAACGATGTATGTAACAATTAGTGAAGTTTTCGAAACGTCGAGAATTTGAATATTAAATTTCAACGCGATAAAATCCGTAAATATACATTCAATTTATTATGTATTATAATCCGGTGTTTTGGCAAATACAGTAATTAAATAAAAGATATTGTTTATTTCCAGGAAAAAATACCGTTTGTATCAAAGGTATTAAAGGCGAAAATCGTGAAATGTTGCCCTGTGAAAATATAGTGTATTTATCGTATTACCTCGATTTATGTCTTTTGTAACGCGCATACCTGGAAAAGGTATGATGTCTTAAATATCGTATGTCTAGACGTTTATATTACATAGTCAGGCATACACAATACCGACACGGTTCAAAGAATCTACAGATTATCAAAATAGTTAATTTGATATAATTATGTAAATATACAAAGTGGCTTAAAATATTTTTTTTTAATTCTAAGTCTAATTCTATAGCTTGCACCACTATAATAATCGGTACCGCTTGTGGTCTCTGGGTGAAGTTTCTTAACTTTTACAACGGACAGCAACAAAGAGTAAGAATAAGCAGAAAGTAGAATGTACTGCGTTCGTTGAATCTTATATAATTTACGGCCTGAAAGCAAAAACATCAGTCAAAGTAAAGCAGATGTAGTAATTTATACAATAACAGCGCATATTTAAAAAGTACAAAAACAGAAAATTTCAGACTAATAGTAAATTATTAATGAATTTATTGGTTAAGGCTTTGTTTTTTTCTTCATTCGTAGAGATTTCACGCCGCGTCGATTTCTTCATACGACATAGGAACAAAATCAGCTTTCACAATGATCTCAGAATATGAAACAATCTGTCAAATCATTATGAAAACCAGTTTCGTAATTCCTTTTCGTTTCTTTCTTCGCAATTTTCTTCAATGCGTACTTTTCTCGTGAGCTTCTTTCTTGCACATGCAAAGTGTCAACGGATCAAAAGCGTTGATGCCATAAATCGGCATAGATGTGGAAAGCGTGCTCTGCACGGGCATTGAGACACAATAGGAGAATGTGGATGGGTCCGTCATCGCTCGAATAGGTGAACAGCGGCGGGAATGGGATGTGACGTGTCCGCGCCGGGACGCTCCCATTAGCCGCACGCCATGACATCATGCTGAGTCAGAGCACTGCCCCAGCTCCTCTGTATCTGTAACGTTACACAGCAGTCATTAATGACAACTCCATTGTCGGGCCGCGACTCGGAATTTGCGCGCTAAACGTCCGCCATCTTAAATAGGAATAACGGAGGGCAACGCGGGCTCACCCACACCGCATGTGAGCATTAATTAGGCGAGGAGTGCGGATGCTGGCCGCAAATGGTGCGAATAAGCGCCTCCGGCCATGTTGGGGCGGCTGCGCGGGAGTCGCGGCGCCGTCGAAATTATGTCGCCAATTTGTCGGAGCCAACGCCGTCGCCCATACGTGGGAAAACGCGAAGGCAACGTAGTGTCCACTGACGCAACATCGCAAAATCGCACGACGATGGCGCACGGGTTGCAATGAATTTGGCAAAGCTGCATCGAACGCACAACGTATCTTACATTGAAACAAGTAAATATTTCACGCGCGAGGGGTAAAAGGGTGTACTGGGCGACGGCGGTGGATTTGCCGCGGAGCGAGGATGCTGTCGTAACAGGTGCGAGGTCGCGTGACGTCACGTCTGCCCTCAATGGCCGCGTTATGTGGGCCACACGTGTCACCCACAAACGCTGCTCTAATTGCTGACAACTATGGGAAATAGCGCAAATGTGTTACTTTTTATCGCGGAACATGTTTACACTTGTGATAATGACAAATGTGCCCGAGTATTCGGTACTTGTGCGTGCGTGCGTGAGTGTCTGTGTGGGTGTGTTTCTTTTATCGTTACAGACGAAAACTGTGCCTTGACGCCTCTGTCAGTCTTATTTCTCAAACAATAATAAATTAATCGGCTCTGTTTAAAATTAGAATACGTCACGAGTTTTACGTGTCATCATGGGAGTAAGTCGTATGCGTTTGTGGAGAGCGCGGTGGGGTCATCGGTGCTGCATCGCCGTCCGATATGAGCCGGGAGGGGGGTGCGGGGAGCGAGGTGCTGTTACGTCAACGGGGAGCGGAATTGGGAGGGGGGAGGGGCGGTGTGGACCTCCGAGATGGTGGATAATGGGTTTGGGAGAGGAATTTAGCGCGCGAGGTGACGAAACGGGCTCCCGGCCGCGCATCGACATGACAAGTATGTAGGGCGGGTGACGCAGCGCCTATTGATAGTCGCCTCACCGCTCCAAACCATTATTATTCCAAACGTTCATTTTCGCGTTTTATTACCTTTGCTTAAAGAATCCAATCCATGTATAAGAGACATGCCATACCATGATCAAATAATTTCCATTTCTCGTACGTTAAGTACGTTCTAGTAAGGTTACGATACCTTGTACAAAATGTTTAATTGAAGTTTAATGTGAAAGTTCACCTTATTTAAGACAAGTCAGACAACGAATTGAAGACGAACCTGCGATCTTATTAGAAAATATCATACAAACAAACATTCCGTAGAGTTATCGGTGCCAAAGTATTATTAATAAAATTCAATCGCAGCGCTATAGGAGATATGTGTGATCCGTAAATATGCAAATGGAGGTGTCCCTGCGCGGGCGCTCTACTCGTAGAGGCGAGATGCGTCCGCTAGATGTGTCATTATCAGTGGGGCTCGGTCGCCGTTATGGGCGCGCGGGGTTAGAGTCTCTAACGGTGAGTTATTTTGCCGAGCACACGGCGGCGGCGTGAATGGCCGGGGATGCAGCGCAGGCTGCAGCGAGAGAGACCCTCGCCCCCCCCCCCCCCCCCGGCCTCTCTACGACCCACTCCCCGCACCCCTCCGCCCGCGTCGCATTCCGCCGCTCGCCGCTTGCGCAACCTCCGTCGCCGCATTCCATTCATAGCGGCGCGCGACTCAATAAGCCGCCCGCGCCCGCCGCTCGCACGTCGCTTGGCCATCGCTCAGCCGTCGCTCGGCAATCGCTCCCAGTACGGCCACCGCCCTCGGCTTCCCGGAACGCGCGGACGGACGAGCGCGCTTTTTCGAATTTTAGAGCGTTACGCCACATTTCTTTGTAAAGTTCACGCCGGTCGGCCGGTGTGAATTCCGTCGGACATTAACCCGCCTCGGCGCGGCTTTCTCCGGCTGCCTGTTTGCTATTGGAACGAATCTATTAATTGGAGAAACTTAGTTCACACATGAGCGTGGAAAGTAGACTGCGCGGGCTGCGGCTGTGCGGTGTCGCATCCGATGCGGCGGGAGTGACGAGCGCCGCCTCTTGGAATTGACGATAAGTGTGCAAACACAACTGGACGCATGCGCTCCGTCATTCTACCGTTTACCGTTTAATATTTCTTGAGAATCCTATCATATATCACTTTGCTTAATGACTTTTTTCATTTGCACTATAAAGATTTCCAATAACCGCTATTGGAAATCTTTTTAAATATTGTTGTTATGTTATATTCTATTTAATTTAATTATTGTTAATATAATGACGTTCTCGAACTATTACGGAAAAATCTGATATGAAATTAGTCGCGCTGCGCAACATTTTGGCGCGTAAACGTCAGGTGGCAGGTTGCACAGTTCACGTGTGCAATGTGCACGCATGCAAGGGGAGGTCCGTGGAGAGGTATCGCGGGGGCTCTGGCCGAGAGCGTGGCGCGCGGTCGAATGCCGGAGGCTGCATTTCGCCCCCGCCACCGGCGCGGGTGAAATGTCACCAAACGGCATTCCGAAATATTTGAAACGACCTTTATGGCGCGAAAGAAAGTGTCCGGGGCGTGGGGGCCGCGGGGAGCCGCGCGACCGTGGGACAGCGGCGCGCGCGCCAGTCGCACGGCGGCCGCCCCCCCCCCCCCTCTCGACCCCGGCCCCGAGCGCGCCGCGTCCCGCGCCCCTCCTCCTGCATTCCAGCGCGCCTCCCCACGGATTTATTCAGCCGCGACCAGGGCCCTGAGCTGCGCCGGCCCCGCAACCCACCAGCGCCCTCCGTAGCCGATGTTTCATCGCCCCGGCACACGCGGGGCCATGTTCGGCTGCTTCCAGGCTCGGCAAATGTCGAATTAGCAATTGGACCGAACTAAAGAAGCCTTTGCTTTACTTAGGGGGTAAAAGGGGCGATGGTCGAAAACAGGTGAATGTTGGGTACAATTAAAAATATATTGCGCACCCTAGGAACACGGTTGGAAGCACGCAAGCGCGGCGATATATGTCCGCACGTTGTGATGCAATATCGCGTGCGGTTCATGTGTCTGAAAGTTGCGGCAGCGGCGACGTGTGGCCACGGCGAGCGACCGGCGCGGTTGCGGGCGCTGCAGCGGAGGCGGAGGCGGAGGCGGAGGCGGAGGCGGAGGCGGAGGCGAGCGCGTGTCGCAAATAGCCCGTGACGCAGCGGGCGCTGCACTTTCGCGCGGTCATGTGCCCGGCGCCGCAGCCAGACGCTCGTAATCGGCCCTCTATTTAAAAACGTCGCCGCCGGCGGCGGGGAATGCGGCGGCGACAATGCGCGCGCGTCAACGACCGCACGCGGGCGGAAGCGACACACTTCCAGCCCGGAAACTTGCGCCCGCGCCTTAAGGGACCGCCGCCTCACTATTTATAAACGCCGCAGTGCGCCGGGACACAGCCGTTGACGGGACCTGAGCAGTGCGTGCACGCTAAATGCACCGCCGAATAAAAAAATAAATTGCCACGACTTCACAATTGATCGAAAACGCGTTCCGATTTGTATAATGGTTAATTTTTCATCTGACTTTGCGAGTATTCGAACAGATCTAGCTGAGGCCACGATCTATTTATTGTTACGTCGAACGGCGACGGGAAGCTCGGAGGCGCAGTGAATGGGAAATGATAATGACTCAATCGGATCACATTCGGGCGTCGGTTCCCAGGCCGTTACGCCGCCGCGCACCGCTCGTTAAGCCCGCCGAGGAGGCGAGGGTCCGCCGGAGATAAGGTCAATAAATGCGCGCCACCGTCGCTCATAATTAATAAGAGGCGCGCTACAGTGCAGTCTAGGGGGCAATTACCGAATTGTCTCTGGTGCGCGCACGCCTCGTGGGGTCCCGCTTCCGCGAAGAGCTTATTTGGGCGAGTCGGGGCTATGCAAGCTTAATACCTACATAGTGAGAGCGCGCGGTGATCGGTACGCATTCGTCACACGTTTCGGGCTAGACGCGCCGCTGACGTCATACGGAGAGCGCGGAATACCTATTTAAAGATGCCCCATTAAAGCGCGCGTTGCGTATTAAATTGGGGGATATTGAGCGTCGGAGCGAGGTAACAGCTGATGCGAGTTCGATTCAACCGAGGCGCGGAGCCGGTGATAAGGCGACTTGGTCATGGCTTATGGCTTCAGCGTGCAGCGCTGCAAACCATCGCTGCCGGTACATTTTTTCGTGGGCTTTTAAACTCCTTCGCCGCTAGCGACCGCGCCCTCGGTATTAACCGTAACATTTTGGTAACGTTCAGCATTAAGTGTGCACCATTGAGAAAGAAATACAAACGATGTGTGTTTCTTTCTAGGTCGCTTCAATAAAGCGCTACGCAACCGCTACGCGCTACGAAGACGATGATCGTTAAAAGGTGATGAGTGATTTATGGTAGCGTCGGTCCCGAACTTAGGATGACGAACTTGGTCTTCTAGAAAATCTATTGCAGCGATATAAATTTAGGTACATGAATAAAATTATTGGTAATTATATACTATTAAATAGATTTATACTATCAGGATAATCAAAATTTCGAAAAGTGTGATACTAAAAAAGGGGAATTATGCTATTCGACGCAAAAAAATATCTTCACTTCACATTACATATAGATACGACATTCTCAATAATTTTGTTAGAGCGCGTCATATGGTCTATTCGGTATGTTCCGTAGTCGCGCCGACAGTGTACGATACCATGATCCCGTTAGGAGCTTGGCGCTCTCCAAGCAGGCGCCGGGGGGAGAGGCCGCATTCCGCTGCGCTGGCGCCGAACCGCGCCGTTCTGGCCGCATGTTTTATTCAACACCGGCCTCCGCCCCCCGAAATCGGGCGCGCGCCTCTTGTCGCGCACCAACATGGCCGACGTCGGCGCTTCCTCGGGGGCCGCGATGGTGCGCCTGCCGCTGCTGGCAGGCCGATGTCACTTTCCAGGTGGTCCCCCGGCCGCTCGCTAGATGGCGCTGGCGGTTTAAGACGGCCAGCGCCACGGCGGGGCGAGGGGCGCGGGGGTCGGCGGCGGTCGGTCGGGTGTCGGCTCGGGTGTCGCGGAATAGTCCATTGTGCGCGCAGCCGGCGCACCGGGTAAAGGGGTCAAGGCTCGATTGGCGCCTACTCGACGTCCAGACGTTTTCTACGTACCCACCGACTACCTCGCGGCGAGAGCGGCCGATTTTTATATTTAGTAATAATGGATTACAAAGAACGTAAAGTTTATATTCGGAGCGCACAAACTCTCGGGCGTACTCGAGAATCGGGATAGTGGCATTACTACTGTATAAATATTAGCGTTGCGGATAACGTTCGCGGAACGGACAGACAAACGGCCGGCGGATAAATATCGTGGCGCGGTATGTACGCACGGTCTGCTCTATTCCTGAAATTGAGCGTGCGAGTTCGTGTAAACGCGCGCGCGGCGCGGAGATGTGAGGCTCGGTTTAGGTGCGAAGGTCAATGACCGATAAGATTCGTGTTGTGCCGACCTCTATCCCCCCCCCCCCCCCCCCGCACAATCCGGCGGCCCCGCGGCGGCGGCAATCGCACGCCAGTGGAGCGAGCGTCGTTAAGGGGGCTCGGGATTAGGCAAGGGGCGCAGCGCTGACACGGCGTTGTTTTGGACGCGCGGGGGACAAGCAGGCGCGCGGGAGGGGGAGGGGGGGGGGGGGGGGGTAGCGCGGGTACGCTATCGGCGCGGACGTAAGGTGCACCTTATCGCGCCATTGTTCGCGCCGACAGATTTATAACTTCCCTTTGCCCTCAATAAGGGCCCGTGACCCGCGGGATTGCCGCCTCCGGGCCGCGTCCCATAAACCACAGGGGGGACGATAATAGGAAAGGAACAGATTACATACCCACAACCCCGTCGTTGATACATACGAGCGCCGTGAAACGTAGTCTTGTCAAGCGGACTGTTTCACAAAAGCTGAAAAGGAGAGAAAAGAGACATGAATATTGCTATACGTCCAACATTAAAGAGCAACCGGTATCGACTGTTAATTTGCATTATTTATAACTTATTGAAAATACGGGCCGGCCATTTTCCTAGCCGCACCGCAACGTTATGTGAGAAATTTCCATTTGACAATTGTTATGGTCTTTTGTAGCGTTATTTAAGACAACGGTGATTATTGGTGTGAAAATTATTATCGGCGATAATTTGCCTAGTTCGACACCCTGCGGCGATTATGGGAAATTTTCTCCGACTGCGCCCGTTTTAATTTTATATACACCGAGTATGACATAAACATTTAAAAATGTTTATGTCATCAAAGACAGTGCCCACCAAAAATGGAATCGAAATGAGAGCCTGCCGAAGTAAAACTATACGCATTCGTTCGACGGAGCGCATAGAGGTTTCTAACAGGGCCGACATTCCCGCTCGGATAGTGGTCGTGACGTCACGAGCGCCTACCAGCCGCCAGTGACAAGAGGCGCGCGGAATGCGGCTAACGGTCGTTGCGAGATCCGCGCAGCGTTCCCAGGGCTAGATCGACGCCCCCAGATAAGCCCAAGAGCTGTTTCCCTGAAGCGTTCAAGAGCAGCGCTGCCGCGACGGGTGAAAAAAAAGGATGAGTGGGGGAAAAAAGCATGACGGACCGAGGTGAGGAAAAAATGGCCCACGTAAATAAAGCGGGGCGCGCGAAGTAAGAATGGGCCGAGTTCCGGGAAGGCCGGGGCGCCGGCGCGGCCTTTGTGCCCCTAATGAACGCTTTTTGTGGCGCAGCCCTTGATGGCGCGCCGTGACGCTCGCCTACGGAGTCAGCCCGTTCTGGCTTACGCTCAGCTTTCCGTATGCGCAGCCGATCGGCAATGTGTACCGAAGGCCCACGCGGGGCGCAGTGGGCGTCGCGGCCTAAACGCACAGGTCCCGAGTTATCAGGCAAGAGAGGCAGAGGCGAGTGGGCGATCTACGCTACGTCACTAGCCATGACTCAGACGGTGACGTCCGTTTTGAGTCACGGCCCATCTCGCGCTATCCCACCAATGTCTCCTACTCGGGCGCTGTCGCGGGGAGAGACCAGCTGCCAGTTGGAAATTCGCTCAGCCCCCGTCAACGCTACGGAAATCGAGCCAGCAACGTTATTTTTTAAAGGGAATTGAACAAAAATCGAAATTAAATTATAATTATTATTGTTATGTATTTAACAAAAATAAACTACATGTTTTAATTTAGACGAAATTATGTTAACACTTGGATAAGGTAGGTAGAGTTTCGTAATAAGTATACACATATATTTTTTTCGAAAATACATCAAATTCGCATACCAATATATTCGTAGAAATTATTTGAACATATTTAATTACAAATATCTTATTAAATTATTAGTTTAAAAAAGTTATAAGGGTGAAGCGAATGCAGTGAGTAGTTTAAATGATTCTCATAAAATGTATCATTTAACTATTTTCTTTCTAATCTTTTTAATGTTTTTTAAATATTTGTGAACAAAAAATATAACCAATATTGAGATTTTATTTCAATCTGTCACTATAAAATCTAAAACTAAGCGTATGGCGCATTAAAAAGCAAATTATAAAATACGTTAAATTTTATGGCACTGAAATAAAAACATTCAACAATGCATTCAGCATCCGAGTGCATTGTAAAAACTGGTAAAATTCCTAGGCGCCCGGCGGTTTGAGCGCTCTTATTTAAATGTCTAGAATAATATCGGACAGAGCGGAACATACGGACACGGTGGATTGGCTAGTCGAAGCCGGGGGCGACGCTAAGTGTTGCTAAACTGGAGTAGGACGGCGCCACGGGCGGCCGCGTGACGCGCCGCTGCATCCCATTGTCTTGGCGCGATACGAGATCACTATCGAGCGGTCGCTTATCATCGGCGCTTATTGCCCGAGGGTGTCAACTGCCCCCAGTGCGGGTCGCGCCTCGCTTTGCATGAGACGTTATGATGCCTATATGCCTATTTGCTTTTGTTTTAATGAAGGAAACAAAATAACGGATAAAAGGAGAGAGTTTTAAGTACTATCAGCTGGGAGAGCAAAGCAAGTTCGAATCGCGCAGCGTCGAAAGTTTTTTATTCATTTATCTACAGAAAAATTAATATTTAACTATGAAACAATTTTAAAAATCTGAACGGAACGGCGGTGGGTAGGAGCAAAATTAATAAATAACCCGCGCGTATTCCTACAGATGTATAGGAACGAGAAATAATAAATTAAACACTTTCAATCTTACGCTATCGGATGTAACATTCCATTAATGGGGAGCGCAGATCACAATAGAACTCACTATGCACACAACTTCCACTGTAAGAGCGTAGTTAGAGTTCGGCAGAGGGAAGAAACGACACTCGCGATCGCAGCACTGAGCGCGAAGTCCGGCTTCGGGCGGCGGCGTTCACTAAACAACGCGCGATAATACAAAAAGAAGTCAGAGGTTAGGATGTTATCGATGGAGACATGAATATTCGAAGACGCGAGGGTCACGAGTGAGCGGTCGGCGTAGCACCGCGCCGCGGCGTGAATGGAGCGGCCGACATTTTATGAATCGAGAGCCGTCGCTCATTGACCTGGGCGAGCGCGGCGGCGGCCGCGAGACCGCTGCCCGCTGCCCGCCGCGGGCTCGGTTCCGGCGCGGCCCGCGCCCGCCGGAAGTGACGTTCCCGCCGAACATGGCGGCGCGCGCGCAGGAAGTGCGCAGCTTACCTACCCGGGACGCCGGGCCTCGGCGGCCGCGCGCGGGCCCGCATGCGCCGCCGCCCGCCACTCGCTAAAGTGCGCGCGCCCGCCGACTCGCGAATAAATTGTTCGCGCTGCTCTTATCTAAAAATATTCGTTGGCGACGCGGAGTGGGCCGCGAGGCGCGAGCGGCCGCGGAGTCGCACACGCGAACCGTTTCCCCGCCGCGGGGAGACTGATGAGGGCAGGCCGCGCCGGCGCCGGCGGAGGCTCCGGCGCACGCGCACACCGACGGCCGTCCCTTTCCGCGGTCATGGCGCGCCGCCCGAGCGAGCGGGACCGCGACACCTCATTATCACAGCGCCGACTCGTGAACACCAATAGACCGAGGAGTAGGGACAAAATATTCGACCTTCACTTTACGCGCACCCACACGGGCGCGCAGGCGCCTCGCCACGAGCGCACACATGCGCACCTCGCGAATTGCTCGCCGCCGTCGCTCCGCGCCGTTGTGCTACTTTTGACAATTTTTCCAGAAAACTGACATGCAGCGTCGCCGTGGCCACGCCACGTGGCTCCCGGTGCTCACTGCCTCCGTTACACGATAGCGGTGGCCCCACGCCTCGAACTAAACACAAAGCTTTTCTTATAACACGTTTCAAACGAGGTTTTTTGTAAAAAAAAAATCATATCTCTTTGTACCAAACCCATAAAAGGAAACGTCTATTGATTAAATATCTATGATAGAAGTCTTATCTCTGGGAAATATAACATATTAACTAAATTAACAGACGATCTAAAGTAAAATAAGACAAAAAAGTTGGATTTAAAAGTGATTCCTAAAATTATTGCCAAAATATCTCATTGCTTCCTAATTTTTTTGACAATTTTGGCTTATGAAGCATGATTCATCATAGCAGTGTCATTAGAACTTAATTATAACCTAATTTTTTTGGTTGTAATAAGTATAATGTTATAATTATAATTTAGTGATAATAATTAATTGTTTGTTATGTCAAAAATAATGATCAAACTTAGTTGAAGTGGTAAACAGTAGGCTTTGTCTACTGTTTACAACTTTAGCTTATTACATAGGTATCAGATGTGCTCTTTTTTATGTCAGGTATTTCTTTTCATATATTAGAAGATAAGAGAAACTACCTGCGCTATTTTTATTTAATAAAACGTAAGAACTAACAGCACTTTTGATAATTTTACTTGATTCCTGCTGCAACCTAGGCAAATATATATTCATTTAGTACTTTAAGTGGTTGTTTTGTGTATTTTATTTAGATGCAAGTATTTCCAACCCGTTTTAGAGTACTTTCAAAATCTATTTCAAATATTTATTATTCAATAATATATAAATATTCAATAAATTTGTTTGAATAAATTTTATATTAATTTCTGCACAATAAAAAAAAAACGATTTTCCAAGGGGGTAACACTAGACACTTTATAGTCTGCAAATCAAAATACAAAAAATATTAAGGGTTGGGATGATAATTAAAATATTTGTAGAATATTAAGATTTAATTATAATTAAAAATGTTTTATTTGAATGTTTTACAGTTCTTAGTAATTATACGGAATAGCAATTATTGTTTAAATTAGAGTGACTTCTTCACCCAATTGTTCAATTTGTTGAGTCCCCCCGGTTAGTGGAATTAATTTATGTAATAAACAAAATTATAATTGAATTAACTTTTGTCTAGTTGTTAATGACCCTTATTAGGTGGTGGATATTAAATTTTGTAAGTGTAAATTTTGTAAGTGTAAACTTTTGGAAGTAAACAAAGCAGTGAGTGTTATCAGAATCCATGCAACTTTTGGGCGGGCTAAGATTTTTTTTTTAAATAAATAATGAATGTTTTCATTTATAAATCATTATATTTTTCGACAGCTTCTATAAATGAAATGGATGTCGTGTATAAAGCGATCGAAAATAAGAATCTGTCTAATTTCGATGTTTTTATGCGACTGCGCAATCGGGCCCCAGAAGGTGTACATTAACTGTCCGTATTTTGTGGAAATTCTCTAAAAATATTAAGTTTTTTGTTGAGTTCACATAGGCGCTGAGTGCTGGAATCGATGGAAGCGTTAAAATTCCGCGAAAAGTGCGTGCCAGTGTTGCCAGACGCGCCCGCAACTATGCCAGTGCGCGGTGCGTGTTGCGCTCTTACATGTTGCCATTAACAACACATTTTACTACTCCTAATATTTCGTGTAACACGGCAATATTTCTTATTCGCCTACACGACAAACTCTGTATGACAGAATATATGTGTTTTTATTGTTTATTTTTTATTTTAATTGTTACTTTGTAATTGTATATGTACCTTATTACGTTACAGATTTGATAATTTTTATTAGTAGATATAGATCTTACCAGTTTAATAGAAAGCCATATAAAAAGGTACAAAGCGTTACCTTTCTAAATAGTTGAAAAATAATTATTACACCAAAAATTTGTCTTTTTTACAAGTGTTTTCAATAAATATTAAAAAATAAAGACAATTATGTTGTTTTGGGCGTAGTTTGCTGGAAACCGGTACACTTATCACAATGTAGGGCTGTTTATATCTAATCTTGGTCTCCTACTGTGACTTTCAGATAAAAAGCATGTCTTTTAAAGACAAATTCTTCAAATTACCATTCTTGTTAACACAGAATACGGGCTTCGTTCAGGATTTACAATGTAATCATATTTTTCTTACATATAAAAATCACTAAGTTTGGATATTTTATTTTAAAATGAAATCAAGATATATTATATATATATATATATATGTCAATGTTATTTTGTGGTAGCAACACATTGAATTAGTCTATATTTTCAAATTACTTCGCATAAACATTACTGTTGACAATATAATTGAGGTTTTATTAAATGAATTTCTACATTAATAAAACGTATCTTGATTATTTTTCAAAGTGGATTATGGTATTATGAATTATTTTTGCGTTCAATGTAACGGCTGTATTGTGTGTTGCAAGGTTAAGAAAAATTTCTTTACTTGGTGTAACTTTATATGCATATACATTTCTTCGTAATTGATATTAGCGATTATTATGAAATATTTAAAATTATTACTTAAAAACGTATTTAAAAGTAATTTGATAATATCATGAAATATCATAAATTTATCCTGTACTGTTTTTACTATCCAATAAATGTATCTATACTTGTATTATTCCGTTGGTTTAAATGTTAATGAGTTATGTAGGTATACCTACCTATATAAATTAAAAATTTGGAAAAATTTGAATATTCACAGTAAGCAAGTAAGTAAATTAAATTTTTAATAATTACAGACATGGTAAAAATAAAAAAAAAGTCTGAGCTGTGTGTACGTACCTATTCAACTCAATTCCTTATCGCACTAAAATGTTGCTGTTTTCATTAAAGAAAATTAACAACGTTTCTATCACATATGTGTCACATAACGTAAACGAAATGGGGGGCTAACCGAAACCGAACCAAAACTCATTGCGTATGGTTGCAACTAAGGAGTTGGTACCCGACACGGCCGCATCAACGAATTGCACCGAGGCACAGCGAGTCCAGATCGAGTGCCAAGGGTCGCGCGGTATCTCCGCGTCGAGCGGGGGCGTCTTGGTTTCGCGACGGCTCGCCGCCGGGAAGACCGGGGCACGCCTCGCCGCCGCTCTCTGAGCCGTGACGTCCGGCCGGGGTCAGCGAACGCGGCGACCCTCCGGGATGCCGTTCGCATGCGCCCGCGCCCTTCCCGGGGCACCACGCACCACGCACCCAGCACCAAGCACCGCGCGATGTCTCAATCGGCCCTCGGCTAACGGATCGATCGCGTCGATCTATCACACGTGCATTCAGCGCCAGCGGCCCTTCTATTTGTAAACCGGCGAGGGCCGCGCATTCCGAGCGTGCCTCGCGCCCTGCGCCCTACTCCATCGGCATCAACGCTACGTCGCGTGAGTTACACTGCTGCCCCGTTACCAAGCTCTGGGCGCACGGTCCGCACCCGGCCGGCAGTGGAACTCGCCCGCCGCGATGCAGCCCTAAGCAGCGCGACGCGACCGCACGCCGCTCAACTCTCGAGTTCTATTAAAGGCAATGCCACTGTAACTGTCAAACGCCCCGATATTGTTGAGAGGACCTCGTCAAATTCCATTCGCCGTATTTGGAGTTGTAAATGGCTCTCGGCGACGAAGGGTTTAAGTGAAGTCCATATGCTGTTATGCATTACCTATAAACTTTGATACGATTCCGCTGTTAAGGAGCGTTTGGAGTCAAACTGAACGCGATATCAATAATGAAACATTGAAAAATGTAACAAGTCAATACATCCAAAAACAACTCTACTGACAATGATGATCTACCTATATCTTTCATGATATACACATAAACATGTTATATGCTATTCTCCCACTTTCTTGGCTAAGTGACGCGCAAATAGCTTTGAATAATGAGTAGCGATAATATCTTACGCCGATGTAGGGTTCCCGCGCGTCCGGCACGGGGGCTCCCTTGCGACACTACGGAACCCGCTCCCAATACCGACAGGGCTCCAACACCAATTTCGGTGCAGCTAACAATAGCGCATTAAGTGGCTGACCTCTTCCGATAATGCTCCGAAGCAAGGGTCCCCAATTGGAATATTTTATTTGGGCCCGCGTCCCTTTAGTGTGCCGCGGCAGTAATGCACGGCGATCGTCCGCTTTGAATTCTACTTGTACGTTGACGGTTACTTAAGTTAAAATAACTCAGTCAAAACAAACCTAAGCTAAAATAGTGAACAAAAACAATAACGATTAGAATATATAGAACAACAAATTGACGACAAGGTAAATATATTCGAGGGCAGCTCGAATGGCAATTATCGTCCCGAACTTCGACAAATAGATCTATCCTTTGACTGAGGAATTTGAGACTTAAATTGAGGAATTTCAGATTGTCATGTCCAATTTTTGAAACCCATATAATCTCGCCCTCATTAATGCTACAAAATTGAATAGTATAAACTATCCGTTGACAGTATGAATTGGGAATTTCAGCGAAAGAATTATTCGATCTGTATTTGCGCAAATGTTTTTTGTTGCAGGACCACGTGGAAACTTTCGTTGGTGCTCGTATGTGTAGGCTAGTTCGAGGAAGTACCACTGCCTCGCAGAAGACCAAGCTATAAGTATTATTTATTCTGTTACATTTCATCTGATAAGTGAGGTAGCCGAGGCCAAATGTTTTGAAGGTTTCGAACGCATCTGAGTGGTTGCAGATGCGGTTATATTGTCTATGGGCGACAGTGATCAGTTAACATCAGGTGAATCAACCACCTGTTTCGCTGCTGATTTTAACATAAAATAAACGTTCTTATATTCTCATAATACGCTATCCATTTACAACCCGATGCATGTCAACCTAAACATAGCTATTAATAGAGATGTCCTGTTAGACCACATAACGTTACAAAATTGCGTGTGCGTTTGTGTGCGTGTGTGACATGGCAATAACACAATGTGGTTTGTCACGCCAATCATAAAGTACACGAAAAACCGACCATACGTTCCCGAATAGTCAAGTACCTCCACTTACTGAAGATATATTGTTGCAGGTGAATTGAAAGATAAGCTTACAGAGGGGTACGGTAGATCATCGCAGCAGCTTCTGCTGTTGCGTGGTAAATGAACCAGCTCTAACGAAAAAAATCCTAGATCTGGATGAGATCGAGGATTTGTACCGCTGTTGTACACACAAATCTAGGGGATACCCTAGATTTGTGTGTACAACAGCGGTACATCTTCTTGAAGTATGTAAGAACAAATTACCTGCGAAGTACGAACACATGATTGTCGTTTGCTCCTTAAGTCTTGCGCCACAAATCCTTTTCACTACTAAACCTCGTTTCCTCAATTGCTGGATTTTCCGAATGTATGGAAGATACGTTGGGTGATTCCTCAGCACTATACTGGCGTAGTTTAAAATAAGATTTCTTTAAATTTATCTGAAATTAACGTTTAAATTGGCATTAATAAATACACAGATTCAAAGTATTTTTTGTTAATATTTTTTTTAGGCGGCCACATCTCTCTTACGTAGTGAGAAATACCTAAAAAAGGACAATGTATCCATGTACTCTAATATAACAAATATCTGATCTAATGAGATGAGGAATGAAATCATTATTTGCATATCTGATAATCCCAAATGCTTCGCTTTTGTGAATTTCTCACTTAGAGTGTATTGAAATAAAAGATGGTGATAGAAACTTAATTGCACATATCCTTTGCTTTGTATGATACACTTACATTCATTTAGATCAAAATAAAAAAATATATGTAAAGCAAAATAAAAAGAAGCGAAAGAAAGCGAAAGAAAGCGAAAGAAAAGCAGAAAGCGAACCTAGAAGAGTTAAAAAAATATCAATTCGTAAATAGATGCTACATGTTAATTTTAAGGACTCAAAAAGTTGTGATTAGTTAAGACTTAAAAGAAATAAATAATTAAATACAAAAAGTATAAAATTCCAGATGCATAATCAAGGCTCTTCTTGTGACCCCATTGGCAATTATAAGAATTCTGTTCAAAAGGACGTATTATTCGAGTATTTCTCCAAAGAATTACTGTTGCCGGGATCAATGACGATTGGCGCAAGAAATGTCATGCCAATTATTTGGTAGTGAAACATCGCATCTGCCCATTACACAATCGAAGTACATCTGTTTTGGGGGCAAGGGAAGATGGTGCGAAAGGAACCTGTTTTTATGCGAAATCTCACGCATCGTTCTATACGTAATCACTAAATCTAAAGCGACCAACATTTAGTTGTGGATCAACACTACAAAATCAAGCTGGGACTGCCTGCATACACAATACGAGGATAAAAATTAAAAGCCTATTATGCGACTAAGAATGGAACTGAATTTCTTAAATTTATTTCATTTCGGTTTTCGTTTTGCAAAATTATAATTGTTTTCTGCGGAACGAACAAAGAAGTTGCTGTTGTAGAGAATTATTATTTTTATAGTATGTAAACTGCATATTTTTACCCATAACACGTAGAAAAGAGTTTAACTTAAGTTTGTATTTACATGGGTAGAAATATCTTTTTTCCCCTATGAAATTTTCTTATTATTATATTATTTTCAATTATGTCAATGACTACTATTCACAGTAGAAATTTAATGGGTATAATATTTCTCTAATACATCCAAATGAGAAACATTTCTGACTCTGTTACCATTTCAGGCCACTTGAAATTTCTTCCATTAATACGGGTTATTAATGGAGTTTACGTTGTTATATAGTCTAATGTTTTGAAAATTCAGTATTGAAAATCCGTAAATTGTTCCAAAAATTACATTATTTATCTTAAAACGCTTCTAAAACAATAATATAAGGATGTTACTAAAGCATATAAATTTGAGCGCACCTACTTACTCGTCACTTGTGAATCATATTTCGGTCCTTCGAGCCGGATCAGACGGCAAACAAATATACACGACTAATGTATGTGATATTATTTTCGTAGCGCATATACTTTCGAAGTAAAAGAAAAGTGGGGAACATTCCACATTTATATGACACAAGTGATACATTTATTTCCTTTAAAGGCTTCGCTAATTATATAACACAATGGAATAACCAAGTTGCATTCTATCATTAACGAAATCGCGTCAGGAATCCAATCAGATGACTCACCGACGTGTTAATTTGCAATTAGCAGTATGTTAAAGAGGCGATGCGATACCGAACTGATGGAGTGCTAGTGTTCGCTGGAATGTTGATGAGCGCAGTGCTGCAGTGCTCTAAGTGACTCATGGCGAACTTTGAACCAGCCAGTGTTAGACGTCAAGAGCAAATTCCGTCGGAATGCGGATGCTTCCGAGAATTAACAGCTACGCGATCAATTCGATCGGCTTCTTCCCATCGCGCGATTGTATCAGAGCCGAATGAGTCCAATTTGCCTTCGTTCGTCGCCCGATCGTTGCCCGCCTATTGACAGATGAACACTGGCGTCCGCCAACTGCCTGACGTCTTATTAATACGAAAATTAGTTCTCACGACTGGGCTGGCTGCGGACGAGTCGCTCGGATCATTTCTCATCAATGCCCATTTGAGCAGAAGTCAGCTCGATAGAGACGCGAACGATGAGTCCGTTGTTTAGCTGACTAATTTAATAAAGCTGTAAATTGATTCGTTCATGTTATTGCAATTTGTCTGTGACTACATATTATACTTAACGCAAATAAGTTAAGCGTTCATTTCAAGTTATGCTCAATAGTTTAATATAACATTGAAACTACAGATCCATCTCTTAGGTTAAGTAATAAGCATACCAAAGTTCAGCGCCGTATTCCCCCTTATTGTATTATCCAATTTGTGTGGGAATTTAGAGCAGACATGTGAAATAATGTAAAGACTCAAGTACATCAGACATATATTGGAAAATTTTATATTTTCCTTAGTGAGGCCGTACCTAGAGTCATAATCATTGCGCGGTACGTGCTGCCGCGGTACAGCTTACGCTCGTATAATATCAATGCAGGCATTCCGCGCTAATGGTGCACCGGTGTGGCAACATTGTAGGTCGGTGGCGGCCGGGGCGGCGCGTGCTGGCGGCAGGTGCGCCCGCGCAGCCGGCATCCCCCACGCCCGTCCAAATCGCCTCACGTTCACATCTCCCCTCACCGAAAGCGCTGGATTGTCACGGATTAAGCCCGTATGTGCGGCAAGTCTATGGATGCAGGTGGCTCGGGATCGTGCTTCGTGGCAGTCTGTGAGGGAGGCCTATGTTTAGCAGTGGACTCAAACAGGCTGAAATGATGATGATGATGAAGTCTGGAAGCATTGAAGGTCTTACTGTCGCTAGCCCGGGCAGTCAACATTTATTGAAAGGTACGTGCAACGCATTTGTTTCGCGGGTTGTTACAAATGTCCATGATCATCCCTTAACATCAGGTAAATCACCAGGTGCAATACTTTTACATAAAAAAGTCAACAGCCTCAACACTTTATTAACATCATGATACAGTTTGTTGATCGACGAACAACGCAGTATCAGGCAGTTTAAGGACTTGGTTGTGTGACCAAGGGAATGTGGATTGTTATTAAGCCTGTTTGGTTATAGATACCAATAAAGATTGTAGGCACCACTGGGTGGTAGTGAAGTTCATGGATGATGAGTGAATAGTGTAGTATATTTATAGCACTTTTAAATATTCAACGTTCATTCCTTGTCACTAATATTCATTAAGACGGCACAAATTGTCAAAATAAAATTCCAGTCACTATAACAAGAACTTCATTTCAATGAATTCGATAATGCCGACAATAAAATCGATATCATCTTATAATTATGCAAGACGTTAAGTGCATTTTTGTGAGTAGTTATACGACAATCAAAATTCCGAATTTTACGATATTTTTACGGATCTTTAATGGAACCAGTAATTGCCCGATCATCTCTGTACGGTATCTATATTTTTCCACATGTTAAATATATTGACGGTCTACTTGATAAACATATCGGATTGATTTTCATCTCGTCAGATCCAACTTTACTATGATCTACCTTTTTTTCATATGGAAAAGAAAGCGTGCAATAATTGGTGGAAGTGGATATTCACTATCTGTCCCATATGCAGTTATAAACACGAATATTTATGTATATATACATAAAAATAAATGCACACGTTTTATTGTTTTCACTCCTTAGACCTCCATTTTTTTAGACTAACGCTGCGGGCGTCATGATTCAAAAACTCAAACGTCACTAAACATCTACCAATAGGGTAGCAAGTTCGAATCTCAATGGCGTGCGCCCATGAGTTAAAGGTGCCTGTATAAATGCCAATCTCTTTGTGCCCGGTGTAAGGCGTGGACTCACCAGGTGGCGGTGACAATCGCGACAGGTGTCAAGTCAAAGTTGGTAAAAGTTTAACAAATTTTAATGAAACGTGATAGCGCTACCTGTCTCTCTCTACCTGATTCAGGTATTAAAATACTTACGTAACTTTTCCCGAGTCTTTTCACTTTAACGAAATAGGATCGAGGCGGTCTGTTTTATCCATTAAATACATTTTGTTTTGAAACTAATTGACGTATGCTACAAAGATAACACTTCATCAGATGCCCTCGATACATTCAGAATTATGCTAAGAGCAATTTCGTTAAAAAGTAATTGAAAATCATTATCTGTATACCGGCCGCGTCACAGCGAATTTGTTTAGCATAACATAAGCTCAGCTTATCGTGGTTGTGTTCCAACAGTTGTTTTTGAACATAAAAGTGGCCAAGGCAACATTCGGCTGATTATGGGCGCTTAGTTCTCGCTGTCAGTCGAAATAGATTCGGCGCACGTCACGAGCGAAGACAACGCATAAAGGAGTTAAAATTGAACACTTAGGAGCAAAGGCGATAACCGAAGCCGGACTGTACGAAAGTGGAACAGGGTTTGTCAACATGGACCGTCAGCTGGCCCCGACGATAGCGCTTATCGCCAGCGGGACATAGTCCGCTCATTCACAAGCCGCTCCATTCATGCTCCCGGCCGCGATGCAACGGCCGTGCTGATCTCGCCCCTAGCCCGTCGCGAGAAGGCTCACAGTCGCCCGCCAGTTGGCACGGGGCGAGGGGAGGGATGTGGATCGAGGATATCGCGGGGTCAACGCGGATTGCAGCCGCCCGATAAACCACCGCGGCGTCAATCGAGCGAGCCACCAGCGCTGTGAACCGGTGGACGCTAACACCCTTTCACGCGCCCAGAGCGGCCCCCATGAGACAACGGTTATGAGTGGCACAACCGTCCATTCAACTACTGCGTGGTAGTAAACACGATAAGGAGGTCAACCGCGCGCCGATACCGGTGACGAGCTCCGTTGCAATCTCGCAAATCGACGGTCCGGCTCACGCGAACAAACAAACACGGGGGTTGACGTGTCGTTGGGAATTACAATATATTGAAACATTCTGCAGCGGTTAGTCATACAGCAAATGATATGGCATATTGATTCATTTATCTTGTTTAATCGTGACGCATATGCGGAAACCACTTCCGGGCTGTTTTTGTTACAGGGTCTGACCCCCGATCTTCGAGTAACTAATACATTTTTATTAGTCCAAGCAAGCTTTATCATTTGTATTTCGTAGAATTAATTAAGCGGTTGCGGAATTAGCAAAGAATTTCTGTTCGCTAATTAAAGTAGAATCGAAGAACAACGCTTTCAGTTTGGGTATTTTGAAAGGACCGAATTAGCACATGTAAGTTTTTCGGCAAACAATTGTCTACAATAACTATGTGATAGTCGTTACCGTTAGTTATTATAGTTTTATTAACAATCTGATTTTATACTTTTTCCTCGTATCGAATCATTCTTTTATGCTTGTTCTTTTTCTATAATACCGTGTCAACGTGAATTGTATTTATAGTCGGTGGCATAAGATTTCAATTACCATAGGCGGCGAGTGTTTGGGTTTAATGAGTGCTCAAAGTCCTATATATAAATTGTTTCAAACCGCCGCTGCGCAATAGCCGTTGTACATGTGCGTAGTTCTTGTATCTAATCTAAAACGTGGATCGCACAGATCTGGATGTTGCGGTAGAAGTACGGGCGGGCGAAAGGGGCATTCGTCATTTTGGGCATATTCTACTTCGAAGTGCTCAAAGTTTTTCGCAATTCCCCGACAAAAAGTCCAACACTTACGCTAGGAAACGGCGAATGTGCGTCTCTTGTTTCTTCTCCCGGACCTTCTGAAAGTGCTCCTTGAGGTGAGGTCCGGGAAATCGCAATTTCTATTTCACGAACGTGGTATTGAGGCCGCCGTTTGCGCCGCCCTCTATTTGTTCCTGATGTTTCCGAACGGGGAGGGGGCCTTATCGAAAGTTCAAATAACACGGAGCACGTCGATTGCGCGACGTCATTGGCGCCATCGCGAAATGCTAACGAGTTATCAATGTGAACGGTCTGTTTACACAGTTAACCGTAATCTTATCCGGTGACCTCCTTAGACTCTCCCGTTTCGAAATTGTATCATCGCAATTAGCGTTCGCTCATGACACGAGCGGTTGGTCGCCACAAGTGCGATTGTTCCACCCGGCTCGCTCACCCACTTGACCGTTTCGCAATCGGCGGTTTCCTTGAAATCCCTAATATATTCGATCGTTCGTACTCAACAAGTGCGTCGAGTTCGGACATGGATATCGCGTTCCACCTTCACTGCGGAATAAGCGTCGAACTACTAAACAGAAGATTGTTCGTCATTTGAGAGAACTCATAAACTTATAAGGATGTAAATAATCGCATCTTGAGCGCTGTGTCACCGTTAAAAACGTGTGAATGTGATGCTTTTCAATCGACGCCATTGTCGCGTTTAGTTGTAGGGCGATTGTCGGTTAGGAGTAACTGTACGTGTATCGATTAGGCCGGGCCACTGGCGTCGTGTGCAGGCGTCTTATCGCCCTGTGTCCTTATTACGGGCGCCGGAAGTACGCGCTCGACTCCGATCCGAGCAAACGTTCATTCATGTTCCACGTATTTATATATAGCGGATGGACTAACCCACCTCCTAAGTAGATAATGGCCCCCGCCGAAGGCACCACGTGTTTTTTATCCTCGATATGCGCAGCTACTAAAGGGAGGTCGCACCGGAAGCGTCTGCGAGATTAGGAATGGGTTTCGTTTGATTTCCGATTATGTGCGTTACGATTTACTTTGTAATTTGTAAATTATTTTGATATAAAACGAATAATGCAAGCAAAAAAAACCGCACGTTTTTACGAAAAACATCAGCGTCGAAAAACGACAGCGTTGCCACGAACAACTATTGATGTTCCCACTTCAATGGTCGGGAATGAAACCGGTTCTGATCAGAGCAATTTGAGAATGAGGTGTTGGGTGCGCTTATGCGCCGTAGGCCGTCGACGCGTCCCGGGAGGTTGACGGCGAGCCAACGACGTCGCAACGGGTGCCTGATAAGGGCCGCTTGTTTGCCCGGGCCGTCTGGGGGCGGCCGGGGCAAACATCGGCGCCGGAAGTGGTCACGAGCGGGAAAAGGGCTGGCGCGGGTTAATTGGCAGCGGTTTCAGATAACCCGACGCCTGGAAGCCGATAGCGCTTTGATGTCAGCCGCCCGCTTCCCTTCCGCAAACGATGACGCTTCGGCGCCTTTCTGTTGCCATCGCCTCCATGCTTGATATTCTAATGGGAGCTTTGAGGAAAATCACCGCGATAAGACATGTCACATAAGGGATTCCCGTAGGTGTGAAGTTCCAGTGACATTTCTCACTGTTACACTAAATGTCACCTTCTATCGAATCAGAAGATGTATTTAATGAATGTTTTATTTCGTTTCAACAAATAGCACAGTTATGTTAACAATTATAAATGATAATCTAGTAACAACACAAAATATTCAGGTTATCCTTACAGTCAAATGCTCTATCCGCTTAAGGCTCAAACAAATATCAGTGCTTCAGTACTATAAAAGTAATTACGGTCAGTACTATTAAAGTAATTACGGATGTAAAAGAAGGAATGTATAAAACTATATCGTTCACAAACATGTTTATGTTGAGTAAAGGCTTGCTCTGTAAAGAAAATATTGTGGCATATAAACTGACCAACTCGCGTCGCCGTCCCAGTAAAGGATATTTTGAATTTTTTAGAAAAAATAAATTGACGTGGGCACCGGGATTCAAACTCAGGTCGCTTCAACACGTCTCAATTCTTGAGACGTGATTTCCAATGGTTCAATCCGATCGCATTGAAATATTCCTTCAAGTATTTTGTCTCATTTGGAAATTTGGTTCAGACTTTAATGTTTGTACAGGTGATTAATTGCAATTGATTGCTTTTCCACGCTTGAATATAGCTGTATAAGGATATATGAGAAAATCACCCGATTTAAACAGTAAAATTATTGAAAGTTCAAATCTTGAATATAGTAATTATATTAATTGATCAATATGTAGATCAATAACGCATCTGAACTTGGACAGTCCTTATTAATTTTAGATTAATTTTCATTTTGTTATTAATTAACGTTGATAGGAAATGACCGGGTAGAGAATTTGGATACCTCGTGTGTTTTTAATTTTATGCTTGTTACCTTAAAGTACCAAAATATTTTGTCAAGTAAATTTTCACAAACATTTCGCAAAATTTTCCCAGTTTTACTTGTTTTACAAAATAATGTATATTAAATATTTAAGCATCGTATAATGGATTATTATACATATACATTAGGATTATCATTATAATGAGTAATGATTTATTATAAATAAAATCAAATAAAAAGCGATTTTCAAGTACTATTAATGTTGCCAACATTATTTTTACATACTAGCTTATGCCTGCGACTTTATATCGCACAATTTAATACCCAAAAGTCATATACAGATTTACAGACATATTTAAAAAAAATTATATCATTTTATTTATAAAAATCTGTTCCTACAAGCCATTTGAGATTTCTATATTTATTATGAAACCACTGACAGATATAGGAGTAGGAAAACTTTACGAAAATATCCTATAAATATTAGAAATTTATCCAGGGTTTTTCCAGATTACAGTTTGGGTCACATTATAAATTTATACATTATAAATATTGTTACTTGAATATAAGTGGTAAAAGTAACAGCCTATACATGTCCCACTGCAGGGCAAAGGCCTCCTCTATATAGAGGGTATCAGGGCATAGTCCACCACGCGGCCCCACTGCGGATTGGTGGACTTCACATATTTTCGAAATATATATATTTTTTTGTTATTATTTCGAAAATATGCAGGTTTCCTCACGATGTTTTCCTTCACCGCGGAGCACGTGATAAGTCAGCACTTAAAGTTAAAAACTTCATTGGTGCCGGCACCGGGGATCGAACTCAGGTTGCTCGAGTATATTGAATTAAAGGCGAGCGCCCGGACACTGAGCTATCACGGCTCTTATAATATAAGTGGTAATCAGTTATTATTAGGTCTCATTGTTATCAAAATTGGAGGATAATAGCAAACTCTTTCTATCATGGTTAATCACTCCTAATTAATTGTATTTGCCAAGGATCATTATTCAATTTAAGATGAACACTTTCAATTGCAAACAGAAAATGTTGATTAAGATGCAGAATGCAATATAAAATTAACTTTTTTATTATTACTACATAGATACATTCATAATAGTAGGTAGTAGTTTAAGTTATTAACAACGTTGTCAATCTGAGCTTAATTAATAAATCCTAACGTTTCAAAGTACTGTTCCAAGGTTTTGTTATTTCATTCAATCATTTTTATTTTTTTTATTAAATAGAAGGCTACATATAATATGATATTATATTCAATCAACATTGAATCATTTAAATTGATCTTAATTGAGATTAATCAAACAAAAAAACAACGACATCCTCCTTTCTCATTCTTCTCATATTTTTCATTTCATATTTTTTATCTCTCATACAACTGCCAAAGGTTTTTCTTTGCGTTTAAATCTCCCTATATGTGCTATTTCGTGGAGCTAGCATGCGATTAGTTAACACTATCTGATACTCGCGACTTTGTCCACGTTGCTTTCGACCCTTGCACCACTTCTTCACGTAGTGCTTATTAAAATCAATGTTCCCTAAAACTTTAATAACTTTACATAAAATGAAGGTATTACGATATTTTAGACAAGGGCCAATTGTTAAGAAATTAAACTTTTAATTTAAATCGAAATCTATTCAATATTTATTCCGTGATGTGCGCACAACGGCACATCACTATCATAATATTTATGTAGATTAATGTGCAAGTGATCTGACGTTTTACTATTATGTATGGAATAATGTACCCCGAAAGTCGAAGGTAAACGTAGGAGAGAAATGTATTGACGCAGGTCACCCAAACCTGATGAGTGCAGTCAATTAGAAGAGAGAGATACACACACAGTCTTTTCTTTTCCTATGACGATTTTGATGCATGATCTAACACGATTGACATAACACTGTATCTATCCTCTCTTACTCCAAAGAGATGACAAATGACTTAGTAGTTCACCTGATGAAATGTTGATGGATATTTTTATTAAGACGTAAATATTCTGATAGATCCTATAATAACTTTCTTCTGTAATTTTTTTACCGAACGGTTATCGTGAGGCCCTGTAAACAGGAAAGAGTTCCTTAAAAAGAAAAGAGGTACTGGATGTGGCAATAGACGTTTATGTTGTATGTGGACTAACTCACAACGATACTAATATCATTCTAGAAAGTAGCAGCATAGTTTAGATCGTATACGTGATTTATTCATTAGAGAATCTCAAAATTGATCTGTTTTGGAGTCTCCATTTTGGGCAGTTGTCAATTAAAAGTGATGGAATCGCTCCCCGAGCGTGTTTTTGTGTTTCAGTTGCGTAACAATTATAAAAATTCAATTTCAATTTCAATTTTAACGAAAGTCAGCGTGTTTAACCTTTGTTATCTCCTTAGTTGATTTAAGCTCTTGGCCAACGTTTGACGCTCATAATAGAGAAAAGAGATCGGGTTTGGGTTTTTTCCTAATTTAGATGTGGACATTGTTTACATGTATGTAATTATGTTAAACATATAATATGGATTGATATGAATAAATTTAAAGTAATGATACGTGTTTGATTCTTAACAGTGTTGGCAATTTCGACCACTTACCGCTATTATGAAGTTGAAGACATTATTTTCCGATACCTGAAAGTAGATATGAATTTGATTAGTTTTTGGTATACACTACATCTTATATTAGGTGTAATTGTTTCAAATCAAATCATTTATTCATCGAAAAAGAAAAATACATTAAACCTATCGATAGCATTTTTTTAAATATAACACCGCTTCGCAATGAGGTTCCTCTAACGGACAAGAAACAGGCTAAAGAAACTCTGTAGGTATCCGATATAAATAATATTTCTCTATATGTTGTAAGAGCAGTAAATGGCTTTTATCAGTATTTGGAAGTTACTTTAATTATCTCTTTTGCTTTGTTTAGGGCGGAAATAACATTTCACTCGATGAAACAATATCTGTAATAAGACTTAAAATAATTTTTGACTTAACGTTCCCGTTTTAACGAACACATCTGAATACAAAAATTTAACTTGGACGGAATAATTAAGAATAAAGTGAGAAGTAGAATGCCGTTACCCGCGTAATTTAGAATTTGAATATGGAATTTACAATTGCAAAATTCGTTTTTGACATAATTTGCTTGTCTTCCAGATCTTCCAATTATTAAGTTTTTTTATTTACAACTCTAGTATTAACAGGGTCTGAACGACCAGAACAAAGAAAAGAGGCCGGGACTAAAATGACCCAACAGAAACGTTGCTTAAGCAGAACTTGAAAAGGTGGTAAAATTTTTACGATAACTCATATTGTTCAGTATTGTATCATACAAGGAATCATACAGACTAACCAAGAATCTATATTTGATTCCGCATGAACAATTTCAAATGGCAATAAGGGCGATAATCGCTCCGGCACGTTTAGTGACGCTTGCCGCTCGAGTACAATATCTGGATTCGTCACGCAGAAGGGTTACCAATTAACACTCGTGATCTCGGCGACGTCATGTGAATATTTTATAACAGCTCTAAGCACGTCGCGACGGCTTCGGTGAGCCCCTTCAGAGTCCCTTCAAGTTAACCCAGAGTAACGTTTGACTTTTGAATCTTGTTGACACGCGTATCCACGAGGTTGCGAGTAACATAGTGTAGTCAACAGTGCAGTAATATATCCTTTGACCGACTTACTGACTAATAACGCAATGACCAATGACATGGTCGACAAATATTCGAGTAACAGCTCGTCTATATAGTTTGACTGCAGGCAAGTTTCTGTATCATATTATTATGTTATTACATATATGACCGATCATACAGATCAGTATACTTATAAGTCTATCCGGGTGGTTCGATATTACTCCATAATAGTCATTATGGAGTGATATCGAACCACCCGGATAGGTGGTTCCATACTCCATAATCCGAAACCTTCGGGTTTGCATCTCAGTTTTTTTTGTTTTCAAATTTAACATGAAAAATTATACATATAGGTTCGTAAGGTATCACAGGTTCGGAAAGCAGTTTCTGTTGAGAAGAGACCGGCAAGAAACTCAACAGGCAGTTGCTTTTTTTCAAAAATATCAGTTTACAATATAACATACAGGTATAGTAGTCTTATTCTAGCCGACGTGAGTATCAACAGTATTAACTCCACACATTGGCAACGTCGAGATATTCCGCAATGGTATGATATGCTTTAACCATAAGTTGACTTTTGATTTTACGTTTAAATTAATCAAGCGGCATACTTAATATCGACTATGGGATTTTATTATAAATGCGTACACTTTGCCCCATGAGTGACCTATTTACTTTTTGTAGACGAAACAATGGCGTTGTAAGTTTGTACTTATTTATAGTATTTATTTTATGTCTGTCACTATTCTTTAGGTAATAGTTAGGGTTATAATGTATATACATAATATTACAATAAATGTATTGCGAAGCAATAGTGAGTATATTACCCTATTTAAAATGTGTTTGAGTGAATTCCGGGCTCTGATATTGTAGATTGATCGGGCAGCTCTTTTTTGAAGAATAAATATAGAATTTATATCAAATGAGTAGTTCATTTCCCACAACAAAATGCCGTACGACAAGATACTGTGAAAATAACTGAAGTAAACAAGTCTGGAAGTGTCGTTGTCTGTTAGCTGTCTAACCCTTCAAATCGCAAAAACAGCAAAGCTTAGCCTATTCGTAAGAGATGATATATGGGGACTCCACTGGAGCTTTGAATCTGTTGTAATTCCCATAAATACCGCAGAATCTACTGGATTAATGGGTACGATACTTAATATTAAAATAAAACTTTGCCTTCTTATACTGGGAAGGCTAAAAAGAATACATCTAGTTTTTTTGGCATTTAATATTATTTAACCTAAACCTGCGTCGTCATAATTTAATAAATTCCGGTCAACCTTAAAAATTAGCGATGTATCGTCAGGAAACACTACATCATCACACAACCCACTGGCATAAAAGGGGAGATCATTAATATACACTAAAATAATAATGGGCCCAAGATTGATCCTTGTGGGACACCCATTTTCATCGGGAACCCAGCAGAAGTAATATCATTTATAGATACTTTTTGAATTCTATTATTAAGGTAAGAGGCAATGAGATTAAGGGCGATGCAGCGAATGCCATAATGATCTAGCTTCTGAAGGAGAGTTTTGTGGTTTACGCAGTCAAAGGCTTTTGAAAGGTCACGAAAGACACCTATTGCATCTTGTGACCTCTCCCAGGCGTTCTAATTATGTTGGACAAGTGCGACGCCCGTATCTGTTGACGATCTGGGTATAGGATGCGACCAACTTTAGGATCATCGGGTTTGTGAAAAAGGGCGAAAGAACTTAATTTTTTTTATGTTGAAAGTTGCCAATCGAGCAAACGGTTCACCTGATGTTAAGGGAATACCGTCATGGACATCCGGTACACCCGAGGGTTGCAGATGCATTGATAACCTTTTGAAAATTGGGGAATACTTTTGCTTCAAGCGTAAAGGTTTTATCAAGATTGTATTGCTCTATCGGCGTAACTCATTTTACTGTGACAGACAATGTTCGATATCAAAACTCCTGATTTCTAAATCTTTTTAACTTTTGACATCCAATTTGCGTGTCAACGTAGAAAGGGACGAGGTCCCTTCTCGTCTTCGGAGTCGTGATACTTCCCTTTACTACCTATTCATGTAATTACCGCTTGGCACAACCACAATTAAATGATGTGACATTGAAATGTCACCCTTTAGCCTTCCTTCCATTTATGAAATAAGTAGATGAACTAGTGGCTATCCAGATGTGGTTGAATTAATTAAATATATTAATTCGACCATTAAATTTCACAAATATTCGAATTAATTACATTCTCAATTTATTTTTCAAAATTTATTTTATCAATCGGAAATTTAAAAACGTGCCAGCGTATTTTGATTGAAATCAATCAATCTTGTTTCATATTCTTGATCCGAAATATAATGTATGCGGAATAATCTAGTTAAGGTAGGCGATTGGAAAATATTTTACACATTAATTTATTAAGTTTTGTTTAGTTATTTTAACGTATAAAAGAAACAATACTCAGAATCCGCGGCAATCGAGGTCTGCCGACTCAAGTCGACTCAAGACCCTTATGTACTAATATGTAGGTGCGAAAATCGTATATTTCAAGTGGACTGAGCGCGGAGTCAATAGCGAGGGTAGCAAGTGATGCGATTCACCGCACTCCATAACGTTGCAAGGTTCTGGTGTAGCCAGAAGTTACATAAAAGTATCGTAAAAACCAATAAAAATGCACAATTATTTTGTGTACACGTGCGAACATTTTTATTTAATAATGAGTTAGCGTGATTTGTAAAAAATCAAATATTATTTGGGCAAAATTAAAAAAAAAAATTATAGGTACTATGACTAAACGGTTAAGAGTTGAATAATTACAATAAAAAAATGTGGTTTAGGGTAGATAACAATTGTTAACTTTCTAAAGCATTGTTTTTAGTTGTTAAGATCCTTAATTTGTGACAAACCTAATAACTCAAAATCGCAATCTTGGAATAGGAAGATTGTAAGAAACATCGAATTGTTTTATATGATATTGTATATTTTTAGAGACTAATAAATAAATAAATAAAATAAGTAAACTAATACATAAATAATAATTTGACATGCAACTGTTGCCAGACGCTGTTATTAAATTACTACCCAAAATGCCACTCAAACTATTCTTTATGCATTTAGTTACAATCTGAATTAGCAGAGAGCTATAGTTATTTGATTTGAACATGAGGTAACAATTGTTCAGTTTGAAATATTTATTCCTACCTATAAACACTTAACGAAATTTAATATTAAATTGACATAACTGAATTGTGTAACGAGATTGTGAACCTTCCTTCATAGTGAGTCTCGTGCGTGTTGTCCAATCAATTCGAAAAAGAAAATCACTACCTACATTCACGAATTACCTATACTATTACTGCGAATTTCGATCGCTCCGCTGTTAACGAAAACTTCAACAAACACCGGTGTTACGGCCGTAACTCAACGGTTAAAAAGTAAATCCTCCTCCCCTATTATTCCACCTGACTGTAAGTCCGCGGCCGGGCATAAAGGATAACGAAATGCCATTAAAAAAAACCACTAAGCTCGCGGCGCGGCGTGGGTAAATAGGTTAAGCCGTTTCCCGCGTTAATTTTCCCGCCATTAATTAGGGTGTCTTCCGATTGGAGTGGCCCGCGAGGAGTGCATGCAGAAATCTGATAAGCGCGAACGGGTGGAACACCTGTTGGTCCTGTTTGCCCCGCGTTGGGGTTAGCCGGAGGGTCCGGGTTCGCACCTGCCAGTGGGGTCGACCGCCGCCTCCGTGAGCCTCACTCCGCTAGTACTAAGTCGTGTCTGGTTCCACTGTTACTGTTACGCTCGCACGAACATCTGCTGCGACGCGAAGCTCGACCACTATGCAGTCACAAGACTAAGTAAGTCGGAAACTAAGTAAAGTTGTTTGCTTGTAGGCTAAGTTAGAAAACATTAAGTTATCGGTCTGTTATTGAATTGGCGGTGGTTACTATATTTTTTGGTGATTTGGCGACAACCTTTGAGGTGTTTCGCATATTGAGATATCTTAAGCAGGCGATCGTTAATAAAACTGCTTAGGGGTAAGGTATTCGTGATAATTTACGAACTTTAATTATATATTAATGCAGTTTGAAGTTTAACATCGCAAAGCTTTTAAGTGTATTAATTTGGGAAACTGAATCAGCGAAGAGGTTGCCTGGAAGTTGTTAATTTGTTGACGAAGGTACATCGGACCCGCCTTTTGTGCCAACAGACAACACTATTTATGAAAATAGAGAAGGTACCGTTAAACCAACACAACGCGTATACAAGTTACACCCGTCCAGGGTGGTTCCAATCCACAGCCAACGATTAAGACAGTCAACCGCATTCAGTCCCCTTTCGCCGAATCCCTATGGGCAGAAAGTGACTATTCCTCCGTCAGCAGACCAGGCACGCATGAGCACATGCGTGCTAAACAAGGCGAAGTACCTTAACCAATTTATATTATGATAAATTTGTTAATCACTTTGTCTCGATCTACCCGACAGTCGCTCTAAGGGTATCGCTATAAGCGAAGAGTACCAAACAATGGAGTTGTCAAAGTAAAAAAAGTTATATACACTTGAAACAACTACCGATACCTTAAATTATTTTAAAGTGCTTTTAATATTCCCATTGGTAACCAAATCCTTTTCAAGGAGCATCTCCCTTTTCTGAAATTATTGACTTATAGCTAATGATTTCAGGCGAAATCTGCCAATATCTATTGAGGTTAAATTGGGGGATTGTTGTCCACAAATGATCAGAGTGAGCAACATTTTTTATATCTTTTACTTAGTATACATTTGGTTCATTAGGCTGCCAAAGTAACACATATACATACTTTTCTTTATTTATGATATATAGTTTTGGAACACCGTAGAATTAACCATTAAATTATAAATTATTATTAATTTAAAACTTAGTAACTACATGCTAATAGATTACAAAGATATTCAAGTGATCTTGTTCCTTGAATGCTTTTCCTATTGCAGGATGTTAATAGTTTTAAATAATATGTATGTTTAAAATTTATTAATTAACCTTTATGTGATGTATATTTAAATTTATAACTTTAGTATAAAATTATGAGTAGGAAATATTTTTTTTATAAATTAAAATTTTTAACTAAATTTTTGCCCCGTTTTATATTTAAAAAAATTATAAATAATACTTTCCATTATTAGATAATTACGCAATTAATTATTGAAATTATTCAATCTCATTTATTGCATAGATAAAATACTATATTGTTCAAATAAATGCATTATATAAAAATAAATAATATGAAATATTATAAAAAAATAAAATTTTATTGAAAACTAAATTGATAAAAAACACAGATACAATTCGCACTGGCCGAATTTTCGAAAATCGCGAAAAATAAAAATTATGAATTTGCCCCGTCGCGTCGCGTTCCATAGCTCCGATAACTATTCAAATTCGTAATTCCCAGGGCTGCGATATATTGCGGCAATGGAGCCGCAACGTCCTGGCTGTGCCCTTAAACTGCGGAAGAATCGGGCTGGCTGTGCGTACGCGTTGTGTGTGCGTGCGTGGCGCGTGGTGCGGGCGCGGCGGCGTGCGGGCGCGGCGCGGGCGGCGGCGCGCGGCCGGCCAATGGGCGCGCCGCCCGCGTGCGCCCGCCGCCGCGCGCCGCTGGCTCCCCAAACGCCGCTCTCGCCCCCGAACTGCGCCACTTTTGTGCACGTTTAGTCGTCCGCCACCCTCGCGCATCCCTTAACGCCAAGCCACCGCGGCCAGCTGGCACCCGCAGTGGCCCAGACGCGCCTAAAAAATTGTCGAAGCTGCGCACCCGCCACCGCGCCCCGGCCTCTTCGGGCAATTTTCCCCGCTTTCCCGGCGCCCCGAAGCCCCAACTTTGGACGGTTTCCGAACGAGGTGGGACTCCGATTTGTAATCAGACGAGTTAGAGTACCGGACATGTAATGGAAGCGGTGTGGTGGGCATATGGGCGGCGGCCCTTCGTCGGCCGGTGCGCGTGGTCTCGGGCCGATAATTCGGACTTTTAGGTATCGGGTGTTCGGAGGACGCTCTGGGGGATTCTAGATGAAAGCGCGGGGGCGCGGGGGTGCCCGGGGGCGGCGCGGCGGGGCCCGCGGCGGCGGCGATGTCGAGCAGAGAGCGCGCCGCGCCCTGTCCGCTGCGCCCCGGACCAAAAAAAACCACCCCCGCACCCCGAGCCTTTTGCCGCCAAACGATAGGCGCAAGCCTCCCCTACGAATCCCTGAGGTCGGTGCCGTGCCAACGCGACCCACGCGCAAATGAAAATTGCCCAAAATTTTCCGCGGCCGCTGCATCGCCCACGTCACGGACGCAGCACCGAAGCCGCCAATGTGCATCGAGAAAGTTTGGGACGATGATAAAAATTACATTCCATCATTTAAACGCATTTCTGATGGCGGAAATAATTTTTTAACAATGAATAAAGTTGCCAAAGATGGCGGCTAACTGGCACAGAGCGCGATTGCGTCGCAGGATCGCATTTACATTTTGAGCACGGTATTTTTGTCATTTAATCTATTTATGTAGTGGTTCAACATATACCTTACATAATTATCGTTGGAAATGAATGATGAAAAGAAATCCGACAAGTTTTATTTTAAAACGGAAGCTGTTACACTAATGGACCTTAATGACTGGGCCAAAAGGACTAAAGTCGGTGATAGTCATAACTGTAGGTATAATAAAGTACCTAAAAATATTAACTACTCTGGACCTCAAAAATGACAATTAAATTTTATTTACGTAGACTTGAATATTCCCAATTTTTTTATCGATAACTATTCTAAAAGTAAGCTAAGTTTTTTTTTAAATAGTTAATATAGGTTAAATAGTTTTTTTTTAAATAAACACTTATGTCCTTCGATAAATACTGGCTGTTACAGCTATAAAAATTAAATAACTTTGTACCGTTGCACAAAATAATAGCGTATGGGAGATTTTCGAAGCAATGAAAATTCGAAATAATTAAAAAGATAATAAAACAAGGAAAAAATTGTTTCTTATTCTTAATTGTTTCTTATAAACATTTAAAAATTATTTATATTATTTCAAAAATTTTTGTTCGAGTGCCCAAAATTTATACAAAACTTATATAAATAAATATTGATATATTGACGAAAAGCAGAAAAATGAGCGAAAACGGCGTTTATTTATATCCTAATAAATTAACGAAACGCAACAGTTGAAGCTATACGAAGCGATAGTAGTTTTAAAGGACGAAACGCGCCGGCAATTGTCAATTTTACTAAACAGCGCAGGAAAGAGCGTTTGGGACGCGACGCTACAACAAAGGCATTAGTAAACTTGTTCGAACAGCACGCTAAACGTCCAAAAGGTCTAAGGCGTCGGATCGTGCCGAGGATTGGCAAACCCGCCTGCCATCCCCATTGCCAAATGTCGCATCGCTGCGGAGAAAGTGTCAGACCGTAAGCTGTCGCTATCGTTTTATTTTGTGTGCACTGTATGGTGTGCCTTCGCTCCATTGTCATCACTCGTCCTTCTGCAAGTGCCATGCACCTCTTTTTAAGGGGCGAAATGTTGCAAGCTCTCAGCCTCGACTATTTACGTTTGTGTGTTACCATATTATTAACTAGGTCTTCAACTCTTTTGTTTTAGTTAAACCACCTTAACCGGCTCAACTTCTCGATGGTTAACGACTTTGCAGTGGTTACGTGGTAAGAAAAGTCCCGATAACATTACAGCGACCCTTTTACTGACAACTTCGTAACGAATCAGGTCGCTGAGAAATTACCCATTGACGCTGCTTTGACGGGATGCAACCCAGTCTCAGCTGGAGTCTTCGAGACAGTTTGAACCGCTAACCGAATTTAGCGAGCCGACAGTTTAGACACTATTTAGAACTAACCTAGACGAAGAAAACATGTAAAAAAGTAAAGGTAACAATGTAAGTGAAAAAGAGCCCGGTGTCTGGTGAGGAAACATTCAGAAAAAAACATAGAGCATAGAATATAAAGAGCTAAAAATGATGTATTAATTTTCCAGTTCATCTTCGAGGTACGAACAGAAGGTGTTTTCGTTAACGCGACATAACTCGAGTAATTTATGACGTGCCCCGAAAGGCCACCTGCTATTCGATATTTCTTGTAACATATCGACACATTGCTTGAAATGTTATTCTGTCGATCTGTACACGAATCACGTAAAACGACTGCGCGGATTTGATGCCTTAGTCTAACATTCGCTTTTTACAATGGAGCGGTATTTTTTGTGTTCAACAACTTTACTTCTCATAAGAAGAAACATTCACTAACATAGGTATACGATGTTACTGTACTTGTAAATACGAAATAATAAAATACCGAACGAAAAGAGACGCACGAAAAAGTTATGTCATTTGTGGCGAAGAAAAAGGTCGTAGAAACTCCTATCATTAACTCTTATCTAATTAGGATAGAAAGTTTGGCGGTCGGTGTAATGCAGCCCTTGCCTAATTCCACGTGCACCTGCATTACGTAAATATCTAGAACAATCTACATAAAGGCGCGGTGGGGGCGGTGTGCGGGAGGGGCGGGGGCCCAGCGCCCGGGTCAATGAACTTTCCACCCTTTATAAGCAACACTTACCTTCAATATTGCTACTGGTTAAGTTGGAAGTACACGAGGCACATCGGGTCAGGTCGATTGACGCTCTGGGTTTTTTTTATTCTGTTAAGTTGTTCTTGCTGCTATTACTTTCATTGTTTATATTGTTTTTCTGGAAACGTGTTATTCGGTGGGCTCCAAAATAAATCGTTCGATATGGTAAAGTTAATAATTTTTGTTTGATACTAATTACGTTTGTTTTCACAAATATAGATTTTTTGTAATGTGTTGTTGTACTTATCGAAATTAGATTATATTATACAGCTCCCAGAAATGTACATGATAACCCTAGAAAAGTTTGACATGAGATGACAAATAATAATAACAGGGCGCCTCTTAAAATTTTTGAACATTTTAATACTAGTACTGGTCAATAGCAACCGCTCCGTAGAAATATAATATCTAATTTAATATTCTGTATAACCTGCCGATGTGTGTCAACCAAAATGGCTTATGTAGCAACATTGCTTTAATTATGCGATAAAATGTAACAACTCATATCCATAGAGCAGGTACTTTTACTTATTAATGTCAACCTCGTCATTTTTCTATTGCCGTGTTAATTTAATACCTTTTTTTATTTACATTTAACAAAAACCATTTAAGTGGACATTTATTAGTTGAATCTACTTACTGATTGTGTTTTAAGTATCTCCCTATCTTTTGAGTAGAGCATGAATTTCTCTCAAATTAAAAAAAAAATACCACTTTTGCGACCCATAATTATTTAAAATAACTTTTGAAGTAAAACTTCTTTAGGCGCGACAAGGGAGTAACTCAGATTTTTTCTGACGGCAGTAACGCCATAAGTATATATCATATTTTTAAAATATGACATATACTTATGACGTTACTAAATATTTAATCATTTCAGTGATATATGCCGTCAACGCCAAAGAAGTTTTACTTCAATCGCGCGTAAAGGTTACACGCACACACTTTTTTTTGATCTAAGAAAACGTCGTGTATTTTCTAAAACGGTATAAATACATCACAAATAGTGCCAACAACGAACAAAACAACGAACCCGTTCGGAAAATAAATAATCACAACAAAGTAGCACCAACAAAGATTTATCTCTGAAAATAAGGAAATGCGGGTTGAAAAATTAAAATGCATTCGCGTTGGCATTGCTCTACACATGACACGTGCTAATAGATGGAATAATACGTTCGACGTTCAACGCGTATCTGGGTCGCATTTAATAATGCGTAAATAACAAATAACCAATTGGTAGGTGGGTCTCGACTCTTGAACGCGACGAGATTTTTGGTAAACATCAAGGGATGTCATAGAGATGTCGCTCTACTGTGACATTGCGGAGTACAAAGTTCGATGTTAATTACGTAAGCGGTAATTAAGTAAGAGTTTATTGCTGTCCTTGGCGTCCCCGAGGGAAGCGAAGGGCGGAAATAGAGTCGGGAACACGTGTGCCGCACGCCACGATAACGATTGTGCGCGCCCGAAACGTGATGTTTGCGGACGGGGAAGCAGCGTGTCGCCCTTATGGGGAGCATGTAGAGTTCAATATGGCGCGTCGGTTTGTTCGCGGGCCGCCGGGGGCGCAATCGTCCCAGTTAGCGGCGTAGGAAAAATATAAATTTGTCGTAAACGGTCGAGAACAGGAAAACGACACCGTTACGCGCGCAACACGTGGAAGGGACTTCCAAGTAACAGAGTACCTACACAGTGAGCGCTGACGCAAGCCGTGATCTCGTATTAATTATTACAATGGCCAACGTAAGTGCCCGTGTGTACGCGACATGTTTTCCTGGTCCGCCTTTGCTTTTGTTTTCGCCTCCGCTGAGCGTTACGGTAGCGGGGCGAAGTCGCGCAGTTGGGCGAAGAAAGTAATTCGCTCAATAACAGTTTTGAGTGTTTAATATTTCCTTTTTGGTCAGCATTGTTTGTCTTCATGAACACCCGTTATCGACGGCAAAACGCCGAAGCGCCGCAGCTATGAGATCACGACGAACATTCGTGGACGGCTGTGGCCACAATGCATGCGTTTTGTCGAAAAGTGACACGAGTCAGCCTTGATGGAATCCATTTCATCCCCTGGGCAAACCCCAATCGCTCTGAACAGTCTTATAATAGACACACAGACAAAAAAACTCAATTTTACACGTAAAACGTAATAATTCAGGCGCTACCGAATTAAATAAAACACATTTGAAAATGTAAGCGAAACGAAAACACCGATACGATAAAAAGCAAACAGAAGGATTAAAGAATGAATTGAGGAATGGAGAATTAAAACTAGGGCGCATGCTAGACGTAATTAAAAGAAACTAAATTAAGAATTACTAAAATCAGAGTCGTCCATCAGTTAGTCCCGTGACTATAGAAAGAAGTCTTGGTGTTTGAAAAGTCTGAAATTAAGGCTAAAACTAAACGCGATAAGCGCCGTATAATAGTTTTGTTCAACAAAGATCATGTTATATTTTTGAATCTTTATGAAGCCATATCGCCGGAATGGGTTCTTATTATGAGCTGATGCCATCTCTTTGGGCAGATTTTGTATGAGAATGAATGTTTGGCAGTTTAGATTTTATCTAAGCACACCTTAAGGCGAAATGTGACGTCACTATACGATCCGGTTCATAAATAAATTTTTCCACATACTTCATTGCAGTTTTATTTACTTTTAAGTCGATTAAATCTCTTCCCAAACATCGCAAAGTAATTTTTGGTTTTAAGTTAGTGTTTTCTTCCCAAACATTGTTAAAAACTGGAACGGAGGACAGAAACATGTTATCGAGCCATTATGCTATAAAAAGAGAATCAGTATACATTAAAATTGCACCAAACAGAACGTTAAACCACTTAAAACGAAGGAAATAGCATTCAGATTTCTACAAGGATATTGATTACAAAGTAAAGAAATTCCAAATTTTTGGAAAACAAACTAATTAAAAATAAAACATAATAATTGTTAAAAATGATTTAACGATGTCGAAAAAATATTCAACTCGTGTTAATTTCTAACAAACTTCGCATCGAATCGCGGAAAAAAACGGCAAAATTTGTTATTGGCTTCGTCTGATGATAAGACAGTTATGTATTTCAGATATAATCGATAAGTAAGCGACGGTAGATTTATAGCCGAGCAAGCCGCCGCGCGCTATCATGATGTATCTCCGATAAAACAATCATTGTAGGTAAATGACTTGTCATCGAGAGCCTATACCTACCTTCATGGCAATCATTCTCCCTCCGCCTACTCCAATGTAGTTGAGTCAATTTAAGTAGGTACATACAGAGGCAAGTGCCCACATAATAGGTATTTAATGCCCGCACCTACCGTTATTATGTATACGTTTTTTGTCCATGATTAATTTTTACCCGGCGACCTTTGATGCCTAGTGTCTCGGCGATGCGTTGAACATAATGAATATGTTTTAATAAATTAAATCGTATATCGAAGTCGACGATGGGGATCGCTTTTAGATGCGGCGAAACATCCACAATTCGCGATTGTGTCTTTCGTTTAGATTAGTATCTGCTTAGTAGCTGTAACGTTATCGTGTACATCCGACGAATGAGTTTGAAACGCATCTAGCTGCGTTACGTTTGGTCGTTCTGACGGACGGATCCGAGGGCACGTGTCTGCGCTGCGTGGTCACTCCGACGAACGGATGAGGAGGACGCGGGTGCGTATGGCTCGGAGGCGAGGCGGAATGTTCGCTCGCGGCGGCCGGGCCGTCGGAGATCGCGCCGCCTGCCTACTTGGGGCCTGCGCGAGGTGCCGCCGCCGCTCGGGCACGCCTCCCGGCGCCATCCGACCCAGCGGAATCCACCGTTGCCGAAGCACACTCCGAAGTGTGCACCAGAGCCCCCGGCGGCCGACGCGCCGCACGCTCACTTGCGCGAAATCCGCTCAATGCCCACCTACGGGTGCACGTCACACGGAGCTAATATTGTAATGGACGGCCGCGGATACATCGCGCGGCCCCAAGCCGGCAATGTATCGCGGAGAATGTAGATAATGGGGCGCGCGCGTGTGTGCGCGCCCGTCGGCACGGGGCCGCCTCGTGCGCCTGTGTGCGCCCGGCCCACCAACGAGGTTATCAATCTTTAATGAGTCGCTTATTATTTGGTATTTTGGAAGGAAACAAGAACGGGGGAAGAACAACGCTCTCGTGACAAATTCGCTCGAGAGTTTCAGCTCACAGGAGTCATTTAAATTATATAATGTATGAATAATTTCATAAATACGCACGCGATTGGGTAAATGTGGACGTCAACAACAATGCAAACTGTATAAAAGAAATGTCGTCATAATAGGCGACTGTGGAATGGGCCGCGTTCCCTGTGTCGCCTTTCTATTGGGGCATGGAAAAAACGTCTCGGCGTGCAGCGCGCGGCGCAGGAGAGTTGGCTAGAATTCCGCGGCCGCAGATTGACAGGCGCCATCGGTGCTCGAAAGAGAAAGTCGCGCATCAACGCCGGATACAGATCCTTTGAAATTCCACACGAATTATACGGACCATGCAAATTAAGTTGCGTCAAAGTTCGATGGAAATGTTTTTTTTAGAAAAATATTGTTCATCCTTCGTCACAACGTCGACTTTCTAAGTCGAAATCGGGACACGGTTAAGTGTTTTTTCTCGATTTTGTCAATGTTGATTCTAGCTTTTCACAATCAAACTGTGTTCATAGTTCATACATATAGTTTGCATGTAGACTTAGGCACCTTTGTCATATGTAAATTATTACTTTGCACATTAATTATCCATTTATCACAAACGTGGGTACCTATTAAAACTATTAACGGATTTGTATAAGCAGTGTTCAGAGAGTGATGCAATTGCGTAATCGCCTTGTTAAATCGTCTAAGTTGGATCGGGTGGGCCGTCCGAATCTGAACCGAATCTCGTCTGGGTTAGATCCAAAATCGCTTGCTCGTCTAACTCGGGTCTATTATGTAAAATATATTGAGCAAAGCAATAAGGCGCGCAAAACACCGATTTGAGAAATGTAATCATTAGCTGGCTGGAAATGTCGGTGGCTGCACAATAGAGTGGCGAGGTATGCAATAGCGAATCTCTCTCGCAACATTTCGAGGGACTTAACAAAAAAGTTACGTTCCACTTGGGGCCGCGGCTGGGAGCGCAACTTTGTTCATATAACCGACTTTGTTGTAATAAGTTGGCTCAATATAGCTATACAATAATATAATAACTACTTTGCCCGTGTAAATTATTCACATAGTATTACGATCAGTCCCTGAATAATGCTCGTAATATAATAATGTTTAACGGTATTTTTGTTCTCTTCTCTTTAAACAAAATTTCGTTATATGTCATTACCCTACATTCTTTTTAAAAAAAAACTTTTACATGAATGTTGTTGTGAAAACGATTACTTAATTCTCGTCTGGGGCAAACAGCGCCTTTAAAATAGTGTTTGAATCATCGAATTTAGTGGAGAATCACGGAAGTTATAGTGTACAGAAAAAGCATATTTGGGGGAAATTATATGGTTAATACAACGGCTTTGTATAAGCTTTGTTCTGTGTTAGATTCTTCTTCTGCTTATTGAGCCTAAGCTCTAACAGGAATTTTGTGTGATGAGGGCGGTAATAAGATCTTTAATAGAACCTTCAGATCAGATGAACCTTTTGCGTTGTTGCCAACTCCTCATAATTAAGAAAAAAATTAACAGTCATTGAGTTCTTTTAACAGAACTCTCTAATTCTGTTAAAGGAAAATCTTTTATTTAGGCATCTAAACAGGTAAGTAAGTAAAGACTTTCTCGCCGGACAACTGTAAACATCACAACGTAGTAATGGTTTGTCTAGTAGCACATTAGTTTTTTAATAAGTCACAACACGTTGTTTCCTCAACGTCACATCCTCATTTACTGTGGTACGTAACAGCAGCCGTGAGGCAGACCGGCGTGAAGTGTTAGTATTAAACTTCGTGATTATTCTGGTGAATGAGGTAATCGGACGTTTTAAAGTTTATCACGCATCTGCAAGCCATAGGATGTTGTAGATGTCCACGTGCGGCGGTATTTATGTGAACAGTCTGCTCACTTGACAACTTTTCACATTAAAAAAATCGGCCGAGGCTCCCGTTTCCAGTGCGATTCCGCGCAATAGTCGTCGCGTTCCGCCGTTAAGAAGGCGCGTCGGCGCGCCGACGTGCGGCCGCGGGCCGTAGGCCGCAAGCGGAGCGTCGCGCGGCGGGCGTATTTTTTCGTCGCGGCTGCACCGGCGCGACTGCAGCGGGCGGTGGGCGGCGGGCGGCGGGCGGCGGGCGGCGGGCGGCCGGCGCTGGAATGCAACAGGTAACCGATTCCAGGAAGGCCGCGGCCCGTTACCGTGCCGAATATCTCCGGCAGTCAAACGCGCCGACAAGTGCGGCGGCCACTTGCGACAACAGCGATGCGCCGCCCGCCCGCGCTCCCCCGCCCCTCCGTCCCGCGCCCCGCTGCATTCCAAGCGACATTGACTTAGAAACCAGTCGGACGGTCTCGCCGCATTCTACCCGCACCAGCCGTGCCCTCTGCATCCTCGGTTAGACGCGTTTACGAGCTCACGCTTGTGACGGGGCCCGATGCGATACGATTTTAGGGTCAGGCCACAGGATAAACGGATACCCGAGCTATTATTTACGCATCGGAGAGATAGATAATGGTAATAATTGCAGGGTACGCGGCGGACATGTTTTTTTGCGTGTGTTTTTAATGAGCGTTGTACACGGAATCTCGGTGCGAACCAGTTGTTTGTCACTGTATGGAATATGCATAGGCAATTATCAATGCGCAATTAATATTGGTTTTAAATGATCCTTATTCATGAATACCACATTTATGAAGATTTCAAGTGTTTTTATGGTGTTTACAAATTGATTGAGTAATAAAAAGAAAATAACAATTTTATGACTTTTCAGCCACATATTTTATTATATAAATTTATAGCCTCCTTATCCATATCACCAATTTGTTAAGACGATAAGAAACATTGATGGGATCATGGAAAAGATTCATGACAATCTCTTTTGTTGAGCAAACTCGAGAAACAATCTTCTTCAAAATGTCATTCGTAAAAAACTGCTTTATCCTGAACATGGTCTAAATGCTTGCAGAAATGAAAATTTACAATTGATACAATAATAACCCCCACACTAGGCGTAGCCTGTCCTATGGGGGAAGTTAACGAGCCGTGATAGCTCAGTGTCCGGGCACTCGCCTTTAATTCAATATACTCGAGCAACCCGAGTTCGATCTCCGGTGCCGGCACCAATGAAGTTTTTAAGTGCTGACTTATCACGTGCTCCGCGGAGAAGGAAACATCGTGAGGAAATCAGCATATTTACGAAATAATAACAAAAAAAATTATCAAAGATATGAGAAGTCCGCCAATCCGCCGTAGGGCCGCGTGGTGGACTATGCCCTGATACCCTCTGTATAGAAGAGGCCTTTGCCCAGCAGTGGGACATGTATAGACTGTTACTTTATTTTTTTTATACAGGGAGGCTTTTCTAAGTGTATCCATTTTTTTATAGATAGAAATAATGTTTTATAAAAATGATATATATTTAAATCACTCGTAATTAATTAATTACATTCATTTGAACTTATCTCAAAAAGTGTGTAATTTATGGGCAGATTTATTTTAGGCGCGATCATTCATAACTACCAGTTCGTTTCAAAAGTATACGACGCATTTATGAATGACTATCGCATTGTCAACAAGTTCTGTTTTTAACCGACTTCAAAAAAGGAGGAGGTTTCCCAATTAGACCGTATGTTTCCATTTTTTTAATGTGTGCTCGCGGATAACTTCGTCGTTTATGAACCGATTTTGATGTTTATTTTTTTGTTGGAAAGTAGATATCCCAAGGGTGGTACCATGATAAGGAAACCCGGATCTGAGGATGGCATCATAGAGAAATCAAGGGCAATCCTCAAATGTAATAGTTATCAACAATGTTTGAAGTCGGTTTTTTTTTTTGTTGAAAATTATACTTGTTAGGGAATAAAATGGAATTAAAAAAAAAATAAAGTTTGTTTTTATTTCAATAATCGTTTATTTATACACCGAGTCTGAACCTCCTGTGTGAATTTGGGCACCTCGAGAAAAGCCATCCTGTTTATATATATATATATATATATATATATATATATATATATACAGCGTGTCGTTACCACCGCGACAATAAATGAACACACATATAGAGGATAACCTTTCAAATTGTATTAAACATTTACATTCTTTGAACATCAATATTTACAGAGTTATTAAACTTTCCAAAACTAACGTCTTAAGAACACCCTTACGTATAAAACGGTAACGTAAAGTTCATTTGTAAAGGTCACAAAGCATATGATTGTGTTTAATGAATTTGAAAGAGATAAAACATACAGTTAGAGGGAGATATTTGTAGTGCGACGCTGCGGCCACGAATGAAAAAGTGTCTGAATGTATGTGTGTCAAATTTTGTTTCTTTTTTATTTAATTAGTTTGTTTGAAAAATATATTTTTTTTATTATGGATTTTTTAATGTTTTATATTTTTTATGATTATTGGCAAGTAGCGTTAGACGTGTGTTAATTTATTGTCGCGGTGGTAACGACACGCTGTATATATATATATATATATATATATATATATATATATGAATAATGACAATAAATCGTAGTAAGCATCCTGTCGTTGCCCATAACTGATAACATCAAACGTTCTGCAAGTAGTAAACGCTGTTGCAAGTTGATAGACTTGAATTTATAAAAAAATTGGACTTATTATACATTTTTAACTTTTATTTGAAAAGTGAAAAGTTTTTTATGTGAAAAGTTGCCAAACGAGCAGACGGTTCAACTGATGGTGAGTGAATACCGCCGCCCATGGACATTTGCTACACCCGAGGGTTACAGATGCGTTGACAACCGTTTGAAAATTGGGCTCCGGTTATCTCACTCACCAGACGAAACGCGAAAGTATTTGTCATCCTTCCACTTTACGCTGGTCTTCTGTGAGGTCATGGTACTTACCCGGACGGGCCTGCTCATTCGTGCAACAACCGAGACTGCTGCGTGGCGCTACCACCGTAAATACTTGTAACGTACTGGAAGTACGAACATCATTTCAAACAAATTGATTGAATATAGGATTGGCACCCGTACTATAAAATGCACTATATTTTTATTGCTAATTAAATTGTCGGATTTTTATTATATTAAATGCAAATTAAAACATGTCTACTGCGTGGCGTTGGGAATTTCAGAACGAAATAAAAGACGTTGATCTACTGTTTTGTTAGTCACCATCGTCAGTTGTTGTCCTACCCAACTAAACAACAATCATCGCTGAATACCGCATAATTTTCGAGGTTTTGTAAAATTGCTTATTCTGTACTTTATATAACAATATATAAAGCGTCAATAGTTCCATTACACCTCTCAACAAGAAGCAAATAAAAGAAAAATTACAGAAAGCATAGAAGTGAAAACCTCCGACTAACAATGGTGCCATGCTGTCGTAATAGTAAAATGGCGAGAAAAAAAAAAAAGAGAGCATTTATTAATATAATTAAAAGATATTATAATACGGATTCTTATGATTATTTCAAAAATAATAAAACTTATAACTTAGAACGCATGGAAAATAAAATATGAAAAAAGTATTAAGAAATATTATTTTTCAATAAATTTCCTAAAATTACGATATTTTTATGACCTATACAAAATAATACTACATTTTCCTCAACCCTTTTGAACATAACAGTACCGAGCTAAATTAAGACCTAAACCACACCTATATCAAAGGCTTAACCAGTTGAAGTCAGGAATTATGAGACAAAGTGCTATGTTATGTTATCCACTGGAAATGAGTAATTTAATCAATTAGACATGTAACCGCCTTATAAACTGATAATTAAGATATAACATTCGAATACAACGATTATTTAAATACTTTTAGTTAGAAAAGTACGATTTACAAATATTGCGACAACTCGCAAATTGTTCCATAGAAATATATAGTGGCGGGATTCGGCAGACTTTCGTGTGAGCCTGCATCGTTACGAACTTTCCGGAATCCGTGCGATTACATAAGCCCGCATTCTTGACGAGAAGCGGTCCATAAAAATTGTTAGACCGCAAGTGGCGTGAACTGGAACAGAGGCATATCAGCAGTTAGAGCGACCATAAGCATAATTAGGTCTAGTTTTGTGCGCGGTAATGTATTCTGGCTCTTTTACGCGCAGTCTACCGAAGGACGGGCACGGCCGCTCAACCGAGCAACCGAACCGACTATTCCCAATCCGAAGTTATAGACGCGCAACACCTACGAATAGTAGCAGGGCCGCAGCAGTTGTTGAACGAATGAGCAGCCTCCTCGATATACCACGGCTTCACATGAGACTGGCGTGAACTGGTAGTTTTAAGCTTTCGCGTTTCGCCTGTTGAGTGAGGTAGCTGAAGCCCAATTTTTAATATTGGGAATTAATCGATTCGAATTTCGAATTTGGCAATGAGTCAATTTATCCAAATCGTACGATATTGTAGATTCCCATGTACAGTAATTTACAGTACGGAAATCACTTAACATCAGATGAGGCGCTTACTCGCCTTCAAACGTTTAACATGAGAGACAAATTATTGTTATTGATCGTAAGATTGACCGTTGTCAGGATCGTTCAGGGTAAGGGCATAGAACTCATATTTTTGTCGAAGCACGTTTCGACCTACTTTTTCTATTTCTCAATTCCAGATAATATGCAGGAACCATCAAAGTCAATGTCAGCATGCTTACTTAAATATGAATATCTTATTAATTATATTAATATAAATATCTATTTACATATCCCAATACGTTTGTTTAGCAAGATTTCGACGCAAGTTATTTCCTAAGATAAAACAATAATACCAGTACTTATAAATTGTTTACCGATATTGATTTTGACATTATGTAAGATAAAATATTAAACAAATCAATAGTTTCGAAAACAAAAAACCCGCGGTAGGGAAAAAATTTGAAAGCATACATTTTGCCGCGACAAACCCACCATCATTTGGTAAATTGTAATTTAAACAAAAACAGGGACACTCATGACATGTCATTCATCAAAATCTGTTCAGCTTATTAGCAGTAACGTTAAATAAATATATAATTTGAAACTAAGGAAAGCTTTTATGGATACGACATAACTGATAAACATTCTAAAACGTTTTTTTAATTTAACCCACACACCAGAAATCATTTTCAATAGCATTTTTCTAGTCGCTCAGATCGAACTCACAACCACTGGTGTCTAAGTCTGGTTCACTATCCATTACGCCAACCGGGTCGTGGATTTTTTGAAAAACTCAACTCTATGCAAATTCTTGGCACTCTGCCATCCGATATGGTGAATACAACGAACGCGTAAAGTGATGCACGCTAGTTTTTGTGACAATGAGAGAATTCAAGCGGACATCTGGAGGAGTACGCATTAAAATGGCGTTGATCACGGTTGAGAACTAAGAAAAGAAGAAAGAAATAAATTTATTTAACATCACAAAGAAAAAAAAGA